GGACCTTAATTCTAATAAAATGTTGTAATAGAGATCTTAGGTGCTGCATAATGTTGGTTTCACAAAATTTGCAGCTTGCATTTATGAACATGCATATGTCCATGTATGGGGTCATAAAGATGTCTCTGATTTTAGACAATAAAATATCTCAAAATGAAGGCTAAAGAAATAAATTGTGAGACTTTGTGTTCCTACATTTTACCACAATGTGTAACATCAACTATTTCTTGTGTGAGCATGTCAGATAAGAATGTTAGTTCAAGAGCATGCCACACTTTGTAAACTTGTAATATAAATCAAAAGCGAAAAAAGACCGATAATTCACATTGAAAGCTGATAAAAGCCTAAGAATTGGCGTAATTTTTGCTCTCAGTCTAGTTCCAGCGAAGAGCAGATGGAGACGTAGTATTACATAGTAAACACTTGAGCTAAGCAGCAAAATTAAAGCTGGACAATCAGTAAATATTGTGACAAAGTCCTCGTTTTCCATCTGTAAATACATGGAGGTAGCTGCTGCACAGCCTCAAAGGGAGACATACAGCAGAGAGAGAAAGAGAGAGAGAGAAAGCTGACTCATGTCTCTCTGTTCAGTACTTGCTGACTCACCCACCATGTCACCCTGCAAGGCTACTCAAACACAGACTGGATGGTGGGCTGCATGGGGAGGGGTATCAAAGGCAATCTGCTGCCTCTGAAGCAATGGTGCAATTAAACACATACTGACAGCACTGTATGACTCAGATAAGGTGCTCTGTGCAACTGCAAAATAAAAGTTTGCCATAAGTTGACCTTGGTATGGAAGCCTGAAAGGAACATCCTTACAGTATTTTTTTATTTATTTCTGTACCTTGAGATTGTTGTCCTCCCAGGCACTCTGCCAGAGGGGTTTTCTGTCTGTGTGGTCTTTTTTCGCTTTCCAATGTTTCTTCAAGCTAGGATAAAAAGAAGTTTTGACACAGAGCTATCAGTAATGATGGAAAAAAACGACCAACGTCAAATATTAAATCGATGTCACCCTGGTAGTCGGCTGCGTCTTTGTCACTGACATCCTTTAGGAAAAGTTTATGAATAAAAATGAGACGGCAGTATGGAGGCAGAGAAGACTGGAAAAAGGTGCAAAAGTCACAGATAACTAAGTGACAAAATTAACACTTCGCTCCACAGCTCGACTCTCCCACTTTACGCCTCTTTCATTCACATTAATGAAAACAAAACCTGTATTTGTCAGAGTTTTTGTCATCAAGGAATATGTTTTAGCTTGTGATTGTCTCATCTTCTAATGAACATTTTTATCATATTTCTCACTTATAAAGTTTAGACTGTTGAAATCAGCTTGCAGTCATGAGGCAGTGTAAAAAGAGAGAAGGTGCTGAGGTATGATTGATGCATCAGTGGATTAAATCTTTACATAGCTATGGAAACATCCCAAGGCAGTGCAAAGATGATATTTTTCCCCATTAGGTAGGATTTAACTAGAGGAAAGTCCTGGTTATTCAATTTTGTCTTTGACTTCATGGATGATTTGAAAAACTCCTCCTTTTATCAGTCAGATTTCTGTAGCCTTTCACAAGCCTCAGAGCTCTCTGGGATCTGATGCTGCAGGTCCTGGCAGGCAGAAATAACAGCTGTGAAAAACCCACCAGGATGCTGCATCTGTGTGTGCATCGGAGATGATTCAATTTTGTGTTTCAGCTTTTTCCAGTTACAAAGTGAGAGGAAGCTCTGATTGTGATGAGTCCTGAGAGTCAGCCCTGTTGTCATGTTTCCTTCCCGTTTGTCACATCAGGTGATCGTCCAGATCCTTTAATTTAATACTGAACACAGCTGCTCATACTGTCATTATTAATGCTAAATTTCCTCTCTCGGTCTAATCAAGTCCTACTGTATCAGGATGTGACACTCATTTATCTGCAGCTTTTGTTGCCATGTTGTCTCACCGCTCTGTCAGTGTAACAAGCTGACTAAAGCAGTTTAAATCTCTTGGGCCCGGACAGTAATTATGTTAGCAGAGGGCATCATAGCTTGTTGTCGCTTCTTGAAGGGATGTTAAAAACCTGTACTCCACATCACACATATCCTTTATAAAACACTTTAACTGTAAAAATCTGATCTGTTTTAAATTTGTACTTCAATTCAGTTGCAATGATATTCAGCCCCGGTTTAAAAAAAAACTGTTACCTTGTGTAAAACATTAAAAAAAAAAACAACAAAAATGATTTTGATGGTTTACAAATCATTTAAACTACATATTTGCTCTGTTGTGGAAATCCCTACAAAGTCAGAGCAAACCATTAAAAAATTATCCAGAACTTCTGGTAACGTCTCTGACACAAACCGGAAGTTCCTCACAGGGGCTTTAACGCTCCTATTATCCTCAAATATTACTAACACATTTTACCCTTGGAGTCAATCTGACCCCAGGTATATTTGCCTTCAGAAAATGATTGACATGCAATTGTTAACCAAGATTTTCTGACAGGAACTTTGTTTATTTGTTGAGAACATAAATAACTCCTTAAAAATGAAACCTATCAATGATTTGAGCTGTTCTCTAGCGCCACCAATGGGCCAAACTTTTAAAGTAGAATTTATGTATTTAGAAAAGTTTTCATACAAATCTTCTCAAATTTGCTGATAACCTTTATGACCACAAGAGGATGAACCGGACTGGTTTTGGTGATGATATGGCCTATATTTCCTAGAGGGAATGGTTGTTTTTTCCCACCTCCCTGTTATGTTATCAACTCAAAAGTATCAAGTCTGCACCTGTAGGTATGGCGATGTTGGGTCACACACAGAGACGGGGAAGTTATACACAGCCAAAACAGCTTGGGGTCAAACTGACCCCAGAGGAACACTGTGCAATATATGTACAGCACATTAAAATATATCATCATGATAATTTTATGCTAAATCAGTTGTCCCCGTCAAATTAGGAAAAGTCATGAAATATGAAGCAAAAAAACTAAAGTTCACTACTATTTTTTAAATTATAAACATTGAATGGGGTCAAATTGACCCCAAGGATAATAGGAGGGTTAAGTTAAAGTGTCAATGCATCAACAGCAAAATGACCTCAGAGGGTCACAAGAAAATACTGTGTTAAAAAAAGTGGGTTTTCCGTTTTAGCTGATGTTTATGGAACAACAGAACCACCAAAGTTTTGTGTTTGCTGAATTATGCTGCTGAAGATGTTTGAAGTTGTGCTAATTCTGGATAATACACATGCTGAATAGTTTGGTTATCCTAAATGAGCTGAGCTGAGCTGAACTGGAGCCGATTACTTGTAGTAACTTAAATATTAGTAGAAAGAAGAAAAAAAGAAAAGCGAATCGCCAAGAGTCTTTAAAAAAGTACAATTGTCACCTCCAAGTTGCCATACAAAATAAGACGAAACTAAACATTTCAAGAAGTTATTTACACCCATTGAAAAATATCCATAGAATAAGTTCAACATAAAGCAAAACCCTAAAAACATTAAAGCAGCCACAGCATTAACAGACAGCAGCGCCACATAAAAGCATCAAAAATACATATATGTAGAGAAAAGAAAATACACTTAGACACAGGGGATGGAGTTTTCTGTGTGCGTATGCCCCCTGGTGGAGTACTGCTGACATTACTGAAGACTTTTAAGACTGTTTGCGTTTCTTCTTCCTTTGTTTGCAAACTTTAATCATCAGTAATGTAATTTTTCTCAACTGGAAGCAAATTAATATCAATGGTGAGTTCATGGACTGTATACAATGCATAATTAACCTTGTTTATTTAAAAGTCATCTGCCTTTTATAGCTTGATAAACAAAGAATTCAGAGTAACTGTATGTGTTTTCTTGGTCAGGTCTATAAGACAGAAGTGTAGTCTACAAACTAGAGGCTGTATAATGCTTATCTAAATGTTAAACTCTTTGTTTAACCAGAATCGTTTCAAAATAAGACACGGAATATTAATTAAATATGTTTAATAATAAACGTTGGCAGTTTTGTTTTGGCTCGGATTAAACCACATGAAAATAATGATTATGAACACTGATTATTCTAGTCGATAAAACAGGTACATTTGCTTTTCTGTGTCACTATCATAAGTGTCCATGCAGATAATGTTACCATGATAATAAAGGCCTCCGGACTTTGATTATATAATATGACTGATAATCTTGCACAGACTGGGTCACAGCCCTCATGCTGTGCTTCAAATGGACTGGTCCATAATGATTCACATTACTGGAAGTTCATCTGAACCAGGAAGAGCTGCACAATAACTCCTTAAGGTTACAGCAACTTACAGTGGACCTACTTCCTCTGTTGGAAATTTCCTTTCAAAGTAAAAGTCGGGGAGGAGGGCTGTTTAAAAATGACACATTTCAAAATAAATTTGGGGGGGGTCTTGAGATGACAATTTTCCAGTTTTGTCGAAAACAAACCAACTGACTTGTCACGATACACTTAGCAAATTTAGCCTATTTTTGGTTTGTGCTTGTAGAACCGGAAGAAGAGTTCTGACAAGCTGACATTGCCAAGTTCTTACAAAAACAACCAAAAATAAAGTTTCAGGATGTCAGTGTAGGAATATTTTGTAATAGCTAGAACCGACCAGGTTCAAGAGAAAAATGCTGTTTAATCCTCTAGTGTGCAAAGCAATTTTTGCATTATAGGTAATAAACTGTTGTGATGAATACGTTTTTTTTTTTTTAATCTAAAATGTAAGACATGAAATTGCAATCAAATTGCTCTACGTAAATTGTTTAATAGGAATGTAAAGGTAATGATTTAATGATATATTCCGGCATAAAATTAATTTATGGTCAAACACACCATAGCACCAATTTAGATGAGATGCTAAGGCAGAAGAAGAACTACCGCGTCTGCAGTGCAAAATAATTAATATGATGATTATTACTTCAAGGAAATGACAAAGAACTGATTATATATATTTTTTTTAAATCAAAGTAAGCGAAAGTTTAAAACTTTTATTTTGAAATCTCACCGGAAGCTTAAACCGTCCTATTGTTAGCTTGATGAACAGTGACCTGATAAACTTCGCAGTGTTTATCTGCGTTGTCAGTCGCATGATCTGATCTTAAAGGGCGTACATTAATACGTACTTTCAGACAACATATGGAGCCGTGTTGTTTTGATGCCTGAGTCAAAGTAAGCTTTATTTCTGCATTACATTTATCAATGAAAACAACAGCCTGCTAACGAATTATACAGCTAACCTTACTTTCATTTTGCAAATTATTAAAGGAGGCTGTGTTTTTACGGTAAACATGCACTGTCATTAACTTTTTTTCGTAGTTTCATGATACTGATACCTTAGTTTATGGTCAAACCGCTGGGAAACATTTACTGATTTATTTCCGTATTTGTTTCTCAGCACTGTAGGCTGAGTGGGTGTGTCTAATCAATCATGTATAATGTCTTCCGGAGTTATCAGGTGATATTCCAAGGAAAGTCTCTCAGGGCACAGAAAATCAAGAAATAACAACAGCTGGATTTGTCTTCAGTGTGTGGTTGTGTCCTCTCTTTGCAGACATGGCTGTGTTTGAGAACTGCTCTGTGGTTTTGGACCTGAAGAATGTGCCTTTCAAGAAGCAGAAGAAGCTGAAGTCTGCAGTGACAGAAAATGGGGGCAAGATTGTCTTTGTGATCAATGATAAGGTCAGGATGTGGTTAAATCCTACTGTTGAGGTTGTGACTGAGAATCAAGTTGTCTGCCGAACTGACAGTGAGAACAACAGTGAGACACTTGGCTTGATTCTGCAAGGATCACACTGTTATTACTGTTCACTGTCACCTAAAAAGAGTAGATTCTGACAGGCTCATACATTAGGGAACTGGAACGCAATACTTTGAAACAGACAGCATTCACCCTTGAACACTATCGCTAAAATTTGTAACACCATCGCTGTCGCCGGGTGATTTTACCCAAAATAATATACCCAAGAAAAAGTACTTGTCATCAAATTATATCAAAATAGGACATTACATGACAAAATTAAAGTAGTTTTCTTTTAGTTTTAATTGTGCAATGTCCAAAGGGAGAAAAATAGTGCCATAAAAAATCGACCATATAAAAATGCAACAAAATAACTGAAATTAGGCATCCATGAACAAAAAATTCATATGTATATATTTAAAAATGTAAAATTAGTTTCTTTTCCACCCATTCCCTGGGCATGTGAGTTTTCCCTGGTGAAGACTCAGGGTCCTTGGCACAATAAAAGCTGCAGCAGAGAGAACAAAAAAAACATATTGAGTGTGTAAAAAATGACCAGCTGACTAAAATATTTCTTATCACCATATTCCCTTGAAAATCACTACTTTGTGATAGATATTCATAACCACAGCGCTAAATGCAGATAGCATGCAAATTCCAGGACCACTCTTACTGACCTAATTCGCCTACATGCATCTATCAAATCCACCCAAACCTACTTACCCTTTATCTCTATTGCCGGGTAAAAAAGAGTAGAAAAAATGCTGATGCTACCCAGGGACCCATGATACTCAGACAAACGCAACGTAGCGAAAATCACGTAAACATGTTTGGTCGGGTGAAAATCGCCCGGTGATAGCGTTCTATGGTTAAATGATGCATTACTTTGATTTTTTATTAAGTGAAACTAATTAATTTGATGTAAAATGTAAACCTCTTAAGCAAGCAAGCTTTAGTTATACAGCACATTCAATTCAACGCGCTGCACTGGGTTTGACAACGAAAAAGCCAATAAAAACATAGAAAATGGGACTTAAAATGTGAAGAAACAGAAGAGGACATGCATAAAAAACATGAACATATAGAGAAAGTTAAAATAGTACTAAAAGGTAAGGAGGATTAAATATAAATTAAAGACAGAAAGCCAAAGGATCTGAGAGAACATCCTAGTTCATTTCCCAAAAGCACATCTTAGATATAGTCTGCTGTGAGGCCACACAGTACCATATAGATCAATAAAAGAACTTTAAAATCAATATGAAAACTAACAAGCAGCCAGTGTACAGGTTCTGAAATGTGTGCTTTCCTCCCGGTCTTTGAGAGCACCAGTGCTGCAGCATGGGGAATTAACTGCAGCTGGTTTTATTGTTTTCTTTAATAGACCAGGAAACAGAGCGTTACAGAAGTCTAGAGTAAGTCTGTGTTGCTCAGAGAGAGAAACAACCTCGTTTTAGTAACGCTCTATAGCCAATTAAAAGCTGTTTTTTGGTACAGACATCACATGCAGTTAAAATTCACAAAAACATCAACATGAATGTTTAAAACTATATGCATACACAGATGCTTTGACGGATATGTAGTCATGTAAATTTGCTTCAAAAACATGTAAAAGTCAGAAATATATTGGCAAAATGTGCACAAACTCAGCACTACATATGTTTTTATATGCATCAGCAAAAATCTCCGCTATCTTAATTTTATGTTCTCTACCTACATTTCCCACAGTGCTCTTTGGTAGTCACCAATGATGTGTCCAGCCTGAGCACCAACCGACGACATAGCATCCAAAAATGCCAAACACCGATCGTCGGGGTGGATTACATCTTCAAGTGTGTGGAGAAAGGTGTTCTTCTTCCTGTGGATGAATACAAGCTGGACTCCTCTCCGTCCTCTGCCTCCTCACCTCCAGTCCTTCCCTCCTCACCTAAGAAAATCCCTCTCATACAAGGTATTCATTTAAAAGGCTGGGTGGAAGAAGAAGTTGTTGCACATGCTGTTGTGGTTTCTCCTTTTTTATTTGGTTCTGTATTAGCATGACTCCTAATAGGAGAAAGGAAGTGTCTGCATGAGTTTAATCATAACTGATGGTGACTGAGAAAGTGCTTCAGTATCCAGGAGGCCCCTTTCTTTGACGCCTTTGAAAACCCCTAAACACACATTTTAATATCGATGCAGAAACCTTTTAAGATGAGCTTGAAATTAGTATTAAAAGACAAGGAAGTTACAGGTACTCTGTGTGTGCTGTCTCAGCCCCGAACAGATGACACTCATTGTAAATTAAATCACTGTTCCCACACAGTGACTCATGGTCTCTGTAAGACGTTTGTGTGTGCACAAAACTTAGATACAAGTTATTTTTCTTGTGGCTTTTAGTCCTGTAGTTCTGTCCTCCCTTGATAGATCCAAGATTGAAAAATCGACACTCTGCGCCATGGTCAGCAGGTTGAACCACATAGTCTTCTCAGCGTGGGTATGGGTGTGTTTGTTCACTGGGTGTGTTTGACTTTACTTTGTTTCATTTTCTGGTTTTCTAAAGTTCTCACTCAGCCATGCGTCAGCTCTGTGTATTAACAGCTTTAAGTGTCCGTACAGGAATCCATATGTCACTCTGCTATCACAGCTCATGTCAGCTCAGACTCATACATACACCTTTGTGTGAAGCATTCATTGCATTACATGTGGCTTAAAGTTGGGTGGGTCAATAATGTCTTTATGTGTCTTGCCCTCTGCAGAGTCTAAAGTCCCAATTAGCAAAGAGGTTGCTGAGCCATGCAAAAACCCTGCAAAGCCTGTGGTACCTGTCAGAGTGAGTGAGAAGAAAGAGGCTCCAGAAGAGGGCGGAAGAGGCCCGGGAAAGTTCAGGTGAATAACAATCATCCTCATGTTAGGCTGGAGAAGCACAGGAGTGTAGTAAAAGCAGAGATCAGACGGTATGAATGAAATTACTTTACAAAGAACCACATGACTGTATAAGTATGCTACAATCAAACCAGTAATAATGTTCGACTTGAGTTTAGGTGTATTAGGTGTTTGAAGTGTTGAAGTGCTGGTAAACTGAACATAATGGTAAGAGTGCTACTGTAAATTGCATATAGTCTGCATATACCATTGCTTAGGGATAGCATATATACTGCACATGTATTTGTATATTTATTATTGCACTAGAGTTGAATAAGCACAGATAAATGTTTTTTTTTTCTACGGCCACACCTAGTGACTCTCGAAGGTTTCAAATGATAGAAATATGATTAAATTAATTATCTAATGGAATTACTGATTGGTAATTTGAATTTATGAAGGATAGCTTCTTGAGATGTAGCATCTCATTTTCGAGGGGGTCCCTAAACAAACATACATTGAACTCAGGACACGTTACAATACATTAATTAACAATACATTAATATATAAACATGCATAACATGTAACAAACACAGACATCTTGCTCACCCTACTCCCACACACAACCCCAACCAACATACGCCTAACATACACAATACTTCAAACTTGTTAACAAGGATAAATTATGTGAACATAAATGTAAAAAAAGTAAAGAAAATAAGTAAGAAACAAGCAATTTTTGTAATGAGTCAGATGATTCAGCTTCCTTTTAGACTGTCAAGGTCAAGGTTGGTTATTACTTTGATTCAAAGTCAGGCAAGATTTATTTTCAGACTCAGGAAAAATAATCAACATGACGACCTGAAACAGCCGAACAAGTGAGGACTTTGATCCAAAGCTTTGTTCCTGGTTTGGCTATTCATGTTGTGACCTGGAGAAAACCATTGCTGCTGTAAAATTTAACAAGACAGAGTAAAAAATAATAGAAACTTACAAGTTCTTGCCAACTGTTGAATTTCACAGACATTACACTGAAACTGACCCTGATCTTCCAACATTTCCGGATAACTTTCAAGTGGCCAAGTATTCAATCTTTGAAAAGGTAAAGTTGCCGTTAATATGAAGTTTTTTAAAACCTAATTCTTGGTTTTATTTCAATCACTGATTTTAAAGGTTTGCATTTTGTCTCTAGGTGAACAGTAACACATGGTCGGTGCTGGAGCTGCAAAGTGCCAAAGGAAAGGAAGGACGGCAGTACCGTGTGGTCCGATACTGTAAGGAAGATATAACATCAAAGGTATAACATCTTTGGTAAATAAGTGCATGTGAAAGGTCATAGATGACCTGATTGTATGTGTTAAGCAAATGTTGATTTTACATTTCTAATAGCACTTTACCTTGTTAGAGTTCTTTTTCTCACATATTTAGTGTAACTTAATGTCAGTTTTTTTAGGTTTTTGCTTTTTCCTTTCACATTTTCTTTTAGCTTTAGCGTTTTAGTTCCTGTTCTCTTGATGAATCAGAAATTTTTAGCCCTGGTAGTTGAAGTCAGTCAAAGCTGGTCCTCCTTGAACCACAGAGCATTTTAAAACAAAGAAACTAACCTGTGTTTTTGCTAACAGGCGGCTGCGGTGAGGGACGTGATGGTGTTTCCGTCCACTTCAGCGGAGGCTCTGGAGGTCTACAAGGAACTGAGGAAGAACCCCAGCAAGTCTGGCATCAGGTTGAGGGACAGCTTCCCTACACACGTCCAGGCTCTGGGCTCTGATCCCCTCCAGCAGGTCTATGTTTTACTCATTTCTAGTCCAACCTAACAAAGATGTTTACTCGAACTGACTTCTGCTGAATCTGTTGAGCGTATAAGTTCATTTTGTGTACCTTTGTTTGACTGACAGCTGCTGCTGGAGGAGAAGCTGAACACTGGGAGCTTATCTAAAGAAGTGGGTGTATTTGTGGAGCTGCTGTGGACCGAGGCCCTCGGCTGTCTTGACAACATCCTCAGAGTTCCCATCAACAAGCTCAGCCTCAATGATGTGAGGTTTTCTCCATGGATTACTCTGCCACATCTGTATCTAAAGAAAGAAACTTCAGCTGTGCCATCAGCCTCTTGTTGATATGATGTCCAATCATGTCTCAGATGTTTGCTTTTGCCCCATGCTCTGTGTTTGTGTAGGTGAGCAGAGTTCAAGGTTTCTTGCTTCAGACTCAGAAGAAGCTCAAAGAGGGAAACTATGCTGATGTGGCATCTCTAATGGAAGAAGTTTACACCTTGCTGCCACATAAAGCACCGCCCGAACCCCTCACTGCAAAGCTCATCTCTCAGAAACTGGACCTCTGCCAGGTGACATTTACAAGACACAAAAATCTGTGTCTTAAATCTACACTGAACAGTAAATTCAAGCAGGTTTCGTGGTGAAAGTTTGATGTGATGCTTCTTTTGTCACAGTTTGATGTATGGTCTTCTTTTTTCCCCCCAAGTTAATTCGAGACATGCTGAATGTGAGTGAGATGACTCTGAGGAGCCCTGTGCCATCCTGTGTGGGGAAATACCGCGCTCTGCGGTGCAGCATTGAGGCCATTCCCCCCGGCAGCTCAGAGTTTCAGGCTGTGGTCGCTCCTCTTCAGCTCAGGTAGGGTACTTCCTCAAGGTCTGGTTTGATGTACATCTGCTGTCATCTGGCTTCTCTTTGAATACGTCAAATGTCTCAAATCTACCAAAAAAATAAAAGAGAGAAAATAAGACTGCAGGCTCCTTTTAAAGCCACGCAAGATTTAGCCGAAAGGGATGTGACTTTGGTTCAACTCGTGACATCACTAGTTGGTGAATCTCCTAAAGGAGCGTAATGAACAGAAACACTGCGCTCTGGTCCTCTGGAAACGTCACAGGTCGGATTCAGGGTTCAAAACATGCAACTAATTTTTATCATTGGTCAGTTTAAAAAGTTAAACACCAGTTAACTTTGTACTTTGTAGTATGAAAGAAGAAGAAAATGGACTTGTGAGGGGAAAGCCTTAAATAGACAGGAGCTGAAATGATGTTTTCCAAAGACACAAGCTTGAGATAAATAAAGTGGGTTTTTTTTAAAGCTTTAAGCCTGAAAATGAGCAAAACACCCCCTGTTTGAGGACAACAAGACAATATAACATGTTACACAGCATCATGTCCAACAGGCATGGAGAAATAATTGGAAATAAGCATCTCACATGCAGAGCCAAATGCTGAGGGTTGATTTTAAAAACAGACAATGTGGAGGACAGAGCAGTGGATGTTATCTAACCAAACATTTATGTAATTTCAGACTTTTATAAGATTTAATTACTGCAGCAAATGTCTGACCTCATTTCCCATGTCCCCATCTGTGCTGTTGTAGGGACATGCAGGTTCAACAGGTTCTGCGCGTGAACAGAGGGGCGGAGCTTCAGACGTTTAAGAGCGAGATCGGAAACATTAAGTCCCTCCTCCATTCCACCAGCCCAAGCAACTTTGTAGGAGTCCTTTCTCGGTGAGATTACACACACATTGACGTACGCACATGCACCCACAAACAAAATGCAGGGCTACATCTTCAACTGAACGGAGTCTGGCCCCAGGCTGTAATTCTATCCCTCTCTGTTTCTCCTTAGTGGTCTGCTGCTGCCTCACGCTGTAGTGGAGCATCATGGGATTGAGCTCACGGACGCTGGTAATCTGGGGAGTGGAATCTACTTCGGTGATTCCATGAGGTCAGTCAAAAATCTCAATACAATCTTCTCCTTTAGCCTGAAAACCTCAAAAACAAAGTATACCAAAAACAGCCCAAAGACACAAATGATGTTATTGCACCATAACAGCACGGACACTCTGTTTTGTCCATCTACAGAACCAGTTTGAAATACTCCAAGCCTAGCATGACCGAAGGCTCCCGGCTGCTGCTGGTGTGCGACGTGGCTTTGGGAAAGTGCAAAGACCTCTACAAACGAGACCTCACGCTGACTGAAGCCCCAGAAGGGTACAACAGCGTGCGTGGTGTCTGCCGCTCTCGTGGCAATCGCTCTGACTTTATGGTATGAAAAGAGTTTTTCCATCAAATTTAGACAAAAAGAAAAACCCACAGGAAGACACGCCTTTAGATAGATAGATTAGATTATAGATTTTATTTCGGTCATAATACAAAATAAACAGAAAAGAACAAGGCAGGTAAGACATATATATGTACATATATATATATATATATATATACAATTTACATCGTTGTTTGACCGAAAAAGTTTAGAGCTGAAGCCGAAGCTTATTTTGCCCACCTTTACCACACCACTGTATGACTATGGAAAGAACAGGATACATAAGTCAAACCAAAGACAACAATCCAGATAGAGCATAACAAAGGGAGTCACTTTTTTTTATCTCTCTCGTTTCCCTTCTTCTTTTCCCTTTTCCCTTTCCTCTCCCCTTAAGTTTCTTTCAGTCTCTCTCTTACTGTTCCTTTTATATCTTTTTTTTTCCCCCCTTCCCTTTTATTTTTACCCTTTTTCTTTTTCCTTTTCACCTCCTCATCTCCTTTTTCTTTATTCTTCTCCTCCTTTATGAGGCGGCTAAGAATAGTACTAAGAATAAATAATAAACATAAAAAGATTACAAAAAATTAAAACAAACAAAAATAATAAATAAATTAATAAATAAATAAATTCATTAATTAATTAATAAAAAATAAAACATAAAGAAATAAATAAAAATTTTAAAAAAGACCAAACAAAAAAGAAAAAAAAAAGTTTAGTTTAGTTGTGAGTTTTGTACGGTTTGTGTTGTAGGGCCTTTAAACTGAGACACTGTCTATTAAGATATTAAAAACTAGAATAGCTGTAGCTATCTGCACAGCTGAAATGTAAGTAGATTTCAGTTTAATCAAAACCCAGAGCGAGGATGGAAAAATACAAGGAACATTGACTTTTCAGATGAGTTTTGTAAGAGGCATGGAAACTGTCCACAAACTAAGCAGCTCTGATAGGTTGTGTAAGACGATCATTCAGGTAGGTGACTGAATCAGCAAGGCGTGGTCACCTTTTGTACCTGAAATTTGAGCTTAGAGTCAAAAGAGAACCAAAATTTGATTCATGGACTTGACTGGAAGGAAGATTTTATCCCCTAATTGAATCCCTTGAAAACTGTCACATATTTTATACATGGGGATTCGCTCCTAATGTCTGTGCGTCTTTGTCTGTGTTGTAGGATGATGAGTATGTGGTATACAGCCCTGATCAGGTCAAACTCAAGTATGTGGTTAAGTTCAGCTTGAAGGACGACAAGCTGAAGGAGTTCAGTCCTGACGTCAACATCTCAGCAGAACCGTGTCCACCCTCCACCAAACAAGGTGGGCGCCCGACACCTGCGAAATAGTGCAGCTCTTAATGTGTGCAAACAGGCACTGAGTGGATGTGTTGTTTGTGTTTAGAGCTCAGTGCAGGGGAGGACGGGATTGAGACCGGGATTGAAAACCCATTGAAGAAGGTGACAGCTGGGCTTTTGGACAGCTCTGGTCAGCAGCTCCCTCTGCAGGCCGTCCATGTGAAGTGCAAGCTGATGGATTTGCTCTCTCAGGTGATAAAGGGGCAACACATTTGTTTCTAACTCCACTATTTCTAAGTGATCATAATCGCTAAGTTCACGTAAAATCTTTCCTCCCTCTGTCGTGTTTCAGGTCGTCATTTTCCAGAAATACACCAATCAAAGCTCAGTGCCTATCGAGGCAAAGTACGTGTTCCCTTTGGATGACTCTGCAGCAGTGTGTGGATTCGAGGCTTTCATCAATGGAAAGCATATCATTGGACAGGTAACTCGACTTTTCTCACCACAGATTTCTTTGTTTATATTCTTTATTTACTGTATCCCTGTATCTCATTTCTTTGTTGGTTTATTTTGGATTTTTTATGGATTCTTTGTGAAACTAATGAAATCGTGTTTTGTGTCTTTGGATCCCAGGTGAAGGAGAAGGAGAAGGCTCGCAAGGAGTACAAGGAGGCCATTAAGAAAGGCCATGGAGCGTACCTCATGGACCAGGACGCCCCGGTACGTCTGCCATCTAATCTAAAAAAAAAAACTTGATTTAAACTCTATCCATCCACTTTAATCCAAATTAATCCATAACTATTTTTCAACAGTATAATCATCTCAATCCAAGCCATAGATAAATAGATGTAAATTACACTTGCCAAACCAGTTTGCAGACAATTACTCCTTTTTCTGTGACTGGAAGTATTTTCATTTCTTTGTTTCATTGCAGGATGTGTTCACCATCAGTGTGGGCAATCTGCCGCCTGGAGCGACCGTCCTCATCAAAGTTACCTTTGTGTCAGAGCTGACCGTCCAGTACAACAGTATCGGCTTCCGTCTGCCTGGGAGTGTGGCTCCATGGCAGGAGAGTGCAGCACTCAACCAAACCACACAAGTAAGAAGAACTTGCACCAGGGTCTAATAAAAAGCTGCACTTTTCAATTTAGAGGTCTGGTAATGGTGCAAAAAGTGTGGAGGGAGCAGAGCAACAGCAAAACAATCAGAGAGGAAACACAGTCGTCCTGTGTTTTGTTGTTTAATCAAGATAAATGCACAAGATCAACAAAAATGTTGCGGTTGCATGTAGTGTTTGGACTTACCTTAAAATGAAATGAAAGATATTGCGCCCTACAGTATGTGAGCGCTACATCGTTGCAGGGAAAAGAAATTTACACAACCTTATTGACATGTGTTTGTCGTCTCTCAACAGGTCACTGTGGAGAAGGTCTGTGTGACCGATGAGGACGCAAGTACAAGGTGAGTAAACTGCTCTAAATCCTGACTCAGGCAGTTTTAGTTTAACACATTTTCATTCGTTGGATTTGGATTTCTTTATTGCTGTCTCGTGGTTTGGGATTCTTTAGATATACATCTGAAAATTTTGATGTAGGAAAAATAACAGAATTGGAAGCAAACTCATGTTGCCTTATTATTTGTATCATATTGCATTGATATAACGCAGTAAGAAGCTGTTTTGAATGTGTTCTCAGAGAGTTCACCCTGGAGATGTCAATAGAAATGCCGTATGAGATCTCTCACCTGGCATGCCTCACTCACAAAGTCCAGACCAAGGTAAGTTTAGTGTTTTACAGCTTACTCCACATGTATTGAAGAGTGTTAAGGTGTGCTCTTGTTGTCCTCTTTCTGTATGTTTAAATGTAGCTTTCTCTGAATAGAGTTAAGACTTGCGGAAGTTTTGAGGTTTTTTTTTGCACAGCGCTGGAAATGGTCCACAGGAAGAGTTACCAGAATGTTAAGTTATTATTTGATAATAACACAGCTGTTCATGTTTCTTTGTGTGTGTTTGATCCCACAGAAAACAGACTGTAAAGCGGTTGTGAGAGTGCTGCCAGGAGAGATCGTGGGCTCAGGAGGTTTCACCATGTTAATCAGTCTGTCTAAGACCCACCTGCCCAGGATGTGGGTGGAGAATCACCCCGACAAAGACAGTCAGGTCTGTTTGACTTTTTTCTCTCTCCTCTCTCTCTCTTTCTCTGTCTCTTCTTTTTTTCTCTGATCTATCTCTTCTCTTTCTCTCTCTTTCAGGCCTGCATGCTGGTATTTTATCCAGAGTTTAAAGCTGATTCAAGTTCAGTGGATGAGGTCGTCCTGTTGATCGACACATCTGAGTCCATGAAGGGAGAGTCACTCCACATGGCTCAGAAAATCGCCCTACAGTTCATCAAACAGCTTCACTCAAATCTCAGACTCAATGTCATTTTATTTGGCACAGGTAGGTTTGGGAATTAATCTAAGTGAAACACAATAAAGATGAGGTGTTGAGTATAAAATCAAACCGTCAGTCCTGCAGTTTATGCGATTATCTTAAATTCTTGGGTGTAAGAGTTTTGGCTCTTCCTCAAACCCACTGAAGAGGCTAACTATCTCATACAACATGCAAGATTGAAATTATTGCCACCAGTGCAACAGCACCACATTTAGAGATGTTTCAATAGGTCAATAGATCACCTCCTTTATGTTTTCAATCTGTCTTTCAGATCACAGGGAGGCTTTCCTGACTGCACGGCCATTTCGTGAAGCTTTTCAAGAAGCCAAAAGCTTCATTAAGGTGCGTTTCCTTGCTGCCAAAAGAGGATTTTCAGAATGGTCTACTACTTTGTCCAGAACTATCACTGTATCTCTCCTTCATTCATCCCCCTGGCTCTTTGGTTGTGAGTGACAGCTGGCCTCACTCGTTAGAAGTCCACTTGATAACTAGATAAGTGGCACTACAAGTATGCATCTAATTACAAATCCATGAATATAATACGCTTCCTCTTTTTTCAGATGTATTTCAAAAAACAAAAGTATCTTGTATTTGGATTAACAGGGTACACAGCTTGGTTCCTCTTAAGTCATTTTGCATGGGCGAGGATGTTATCTGTCCGTTAGTGTTTGCTTATATAAAGTGCCGGAAACCAGAGAGATAAACTCACATTCAAGAGGATTGTCTTAAAATACAGAGAAGTATGAGACTTCAGGTGATATCCTAATGTCAATAATCCTAAATCAAGAGCCTCACAACTGCAGTTAGAGGTTGTTTTGGAGTCAACATACCTGTTTTGCACCATCTTGTCAATGCAAAACATGTTTATCTATTATAATCGATCATGCTGTACCTTTTATTGTTATTAACTGATGAAATGATTTCAAGTATAGATGTCAATCCTTCATCAACTTGTAGATTTCATAATCATAGAAAAAAAACTAAGAAACAGGGATTACAGGTATCATTTTAGCCGATTTAACTTGAAGTTACTCATGATCAAAGATTTGTTTTTACACAACATCAGGTCAGTGCGAAGTTTAAAAATACTGATGTGTGCACGTCATATTATTTCATATCAGTGTCATAAATCCCAAATATCCTGAACTGAAAGTGCAATTCAGTGACTGCTCAGTGTTCCCCTGCTAACCATTTAAACCGAGTGAGCTTAACTCAGGATGTGTGTTCCTCTGTTCCCCCTGCAGTCTTTTACTCCAGTAGGGGGCAGCACTGAGCTGTGGCGACCCCTGCGAGCTCTTAGCCTGCTGCCGCCCTCTAGTGGCGTGAGGAACCTGCTGCTTCTGTCTGACGGTCACATCCAGAACACGGAGCTCACTTTGAAGCTGCTCCGAGAGAACGCTCAGCACACCCGCCTCTTCACCTGTGGACTCAGGTTCGAACATATCCAGGGGGGTGCAGATACAAACTCTTTGAGCTCATATAAGAACAAAATAACATTTTATTAACAGAATTATTTGCAGTACATGGTTATCTTTCTTGTGATTACAAGAAAAAAATTGACTAATGAAGTTATTTTTTTCTTCCATTTCAGCCCAACAGCCAATCGCTACATGCTAAGAGCCCTGGCCCAGGCAGGGGGCGGAGCCTATGAGTTCTTTGACACAAAAGCAAAACACAACTGGTCAAAGCAGGTGAAATGACTTCCATTTTTCTCATTTAGTCATGCAAAATTCAGTCATTATCAGTGCCTAAAATATTTGTTTAAACAGAAAGAAAACCAGTACCGCAATCGCCTGTCTGTTAGCAATTCTTGTAAGAAACAAATACTGAAATTTAAAAGATCTTTCACTGAGAAGAAAAACAAAAAAGTAAGGCTGAGAGGAAATTTTGTAGTTTTTTTTTTGTTTGTTTAAAATGTGATTGTTTTTATTGTATGACAACAGCTCATGTAGTACCACTTTTCCACCTCTGGTAACAGATAAGAGATTATTCACAGTTAATGTTTCGGCAATAATGCATCACATGTTTCCAGCGAGGATCAGAGTTCCCGTGTTATTGCACCTTTTCCTGAAGTGCGTTGAAAGTTATTTTATTGAGAGCTGATGCTCGATAATGTGTCTTTTGTTTGTTCCTATTATGATGGCTCATGATGAAAGTGTTGTAACTCTAGAGACGTGCAGATATTCATTTATGGCTATTTTTCACAAACAGCTTTCCCCAGGGATACAAAACAAGAAGATCTGGCAAAAATCAAGACTTTTGTAATCTACTTTCTTGTAAATTTATTCTCTTATTTGTCTCCTTTTTGTAGGTGATCAGTCAGACCAATTGTATGCAGTCTCCTGGCTGTAGTTCAGTGTCAGTGAAGTGGCAGCAGTTCAATCCCAAAGCGCCTCCTCCTTTGCAAGCCCCAAAGCAGCTCAATGCTCTGTTCAACAACTGTCACACGCTGGTGTTTGGCTTTGTGCCACACTGCACTCAGGTATGCAATTTAAACTCAAGTTTAAGAAATGACGCAGACAGTTTGCGCCTCTTTGATTTTTTTTTACATTTCTCTGAGTTACTCTAGATATCAGTCCAGGCTGCAACTATTCCTCTTTGACAGCTTATCCTGTCTTTGATGTTCTACATTTCATTATTATGACATAAGGATTCAGTGGAAATATCTGATCCATAGCTTCTTTTCTCTTTATACAGTAGTTGGTAACAAACAGCCAGTGAAACATCACAGTTCTTTAAACACACAGAAGGTGAACACATGTCTTTTTCATTCAGGCCACACTGCTTGGAAACCTGAGCGGTCAGGGGCTTAAAACCATGGTGTCAACCACGGAGCTGCAGAAGACTAAGGGCACAGTAAGAACACACACATGCACACTCACCGGTCTCAATGATACCTACTAAAAACGTTTCATATCAGCCAATGCAGCGCCTCTGAAATCTGTTATCTTATTTATCAGCTTTATTTTTTAAAATCCTTTTAGCATTTTGTAATCAGAGTTTGATTGCTCTAATTACATCAAATTAAACTCTTCATTGGAGACACTCTTCATCCTGCTGTTCTCCTGCCTTATTTTTGTTGCATAGAGTGCCCTCCTCTGAATGTTCAAATCAAATTTCTGGTTTATTTTGGTGTCCTAATTAACTGACGACAATACGCAAAATTATAGTATAGTTATACACAGATAGACACTACATAACAGGTCATTAGTGAGCATCACTGTTGGAGTATGAAGGCAACATAAGGACTCTTCTTCATGTGTGTTCAGTTTCTTCACAAGCTCACAGCGAGAGCCATCATCAGGGATTATGAAGACGGATGTCTGGACAGCAACGAAACGGATCATGAGGTGTGTATGTGTGTGTGTCACTGAATGAGACCAAAGAACCTCAGTGAAGACGCCCCATCTGAACTCCACAAATTAGCCCGGTTTTGTTTCTTTTCCAGGGCAAGAAAGCAGAGCTGAAAGAGTACGTGGTTGAACTGAGTAAAGAGTTCTCCATCCTGTCTCAGTTCACCAGCTTTGTGGCCATCGAGGAAAGGGTTTGTGCAACTTCTTAGTCTTCTCCAAGTTGTTGTTTGTCCCTTGCTACCCTGGGCCTAGTTGTTGGAAATATTTGATCTGGATGGGATTAAAGTTGATCTGGCATCCACTCTTTCTTACTGGATATCAGCTAATCCAGCTCACTTTTGTCAAGAGTTTTCTGAGAACTGGAATGGATCGACTGAATCTAAATACAAATTCATGAAGACTACAAAACCCAGATTATCAGTGCTCTAAGTGGGATAACATGCCAGACACCCTGTCTTAAACCACGTAAAATCAGAGATCCTGACAGATGTTTTAATCAGATATTTGATATTTTGGGACAACTTCCTGAATATCTACTTTATCTATGTTGTCCCTGTGGAAATGTAGGGATAAAAAAGCCTAAATCAACCTTCTGCTGGGAACAAGATACTAATATTTTTTTGTGAATCAATTATCATAAATTGAGAATTGAACACAAACTACAGATTTTACTACATGCTTTGGGTTCTTTCTGACAACCCATTTCCAAGGATTGGTCCAGTCTTTAGAGGTTTATTGCTATCAGATTTTTCTCTTTGTGATTGTTGAGATTCAAATAAAAGGTATCGTTCTTGTTTTAGGACTCAGACATAACAGAGGAAGGCTTCACGGACATCCCCAAGCTGCTTGCAGAGGAAGATGTTGACTTTCTCCCTTACATTGGCTGGGAGTCTTACGGGGTCACCGAAAAGAAGAAAGCTGCAAAACTACACAGAGATGATGGTTCTTATGATTCTGAAAGTGATGATGTCAGTGTAGTTACAGAAAAAGAAGACAATTCGCTCATTGTTTTTTAAATACTCATATCTTAATGAGCTGAGTTTGTCTTCCTGTTGTAGGACATGGGTTGGGGCCTGCTTGGTGAACTTGATGAGATATCGGACGATGAAGAGCGCTATGAGGACTCTGAATCTACAGAGAGCAAATCCACGGTAAGTACTTTGACTTAAGTACTTTGACGTGACAGCAAAGATATGTTTCAGGACCTGATGCTGGTACTGTAAACACATAGACAGTGTGGAAAATTGAACTCCAGCTCCACAAACTTTTGCCTCTTCTGAGTGGCTTATCTGTAAATCTTTCAGAGCAGGTCAAGAAAGTATCATTTCTACAGTCAGCACCTCGGCCAATTAATATAAAATATCGATGTCAATGTCAATGTCAATGTCATAAAATATCAATTTTCTTGTGTTATTTTATTGCTTTTATGTAAAGCACTTTGGGTACCATTTGGGATATTGTAAAGTGCTATATAAATAAAATTTGATTGATTTGATTGATCAATGTGGATTTTTTTTTTGTTTTTTTAAAAAAAAAAATGTCAATGTTTTTTCTCCAGTTCTTTGTGCTTCAACAAAATACAGACAGAAAATAACATAAATTGATTTAAAGGTAATAGATCATTAAAGAGAGAGAAGAAATTCTTCTAGATTAAATGCCTGATTGAAAGTTTGGTCTTAAGATTAGTTTTAAAACACAAACAGAAGTGTGCAGATCAAGCTGAGGTTTTCTGAGAGACCTTTTGAGCGTAACAATTAATAAAGGAGTTGAACTTTAAAGTTAAACTTTTGTTCTCTTTCTGGGATGAACAAGTTCTTCTGTAGTCGTGGCATCCACTACATGAATGTCTATTTAATCTTCATTTAGTTTTAAAAAGTTCTCACTAATGGGAACATTGATGTCTCTAAGAAAGGCAGTGAGGATTTGCTGTTCGTTTTGGTTATGTGGTGGGATTACAGCATTGTAAAGCTGGATGTCATCTGTATAGAATTATTAATTGACAGGATCATTTAGAAAATGTGTCCGAACTGAGGTATTTGTAAGGAGAACAAAATAAGCCCAAGAACACTTCTTTGAGGAATCCTATAATTAAAGCTCCTGTGAGGGTTTTTTAACGTAAATGTAATGGACTGAAACTCGCACTAATTCCGCGAGTATAGGAAGCGAGCATACAGCGCCCATTGAACCCGATCCGCTGCTCCCATCAGCGAGATCCACGCAGCGATTACCGATATTTCTCTTGAGACTGGAAGAGATCTTGCGTGTTTCCCGGAGTCACAGAATGAGATCCCCTGATTGATGTATATAAACGGCGGTGTATATAAACAGCCACATCCCACAATCCTTGCCTCTCCTTTTGTCAAGTTAAGAACAGTTCAACGTATTGACTTTCTTTTATTTTGAAAATTAGCTGGATCTTTTACTCTGTAGCTGCTTACAACTTCCGCTGCTGCTCATGCTGCACTGAATTAATTCGCCGTGCTGGGGCGTCCGGCAAAAATAGAAGCCTTGTATCTGATCCAGTCGCTGATCCGCAGCTGAGCTGGACGAATTGTGTGGAATCACAAATGCTTGCGTATTGCGTATCCGTAGGACTGCTTCTTTAGCTGCTTGGCTGACACCTACCACCTTGCTTTGGTTTTGAGGCATTAAAAATTATGACACAAAATGCAGCACTTTTGTCACCGATGGTCTTGTTTGCTTTTGTTCATCATGAAAAGGCATCAGTATGAAGTGAAATGTTTTTTCATAACTTCCCACAGGGGCTTCCAGCATGTAGAGGAAAAGATAAAAAAAGACCACCTGGTCCACACACACTACACAAACCAAAAGCTTTACTAAAAAAAGGGATTTTTATGATTTTTATAAGTGATTTTAATAAGTCTCCCTTACTTTGGCTGGATTTCTTCCTAGCTCACTGAAAAGAAGAGAGCTGGAGGACTAAGCAGAGATGATGATTTTTATGATTCTGAAAGTGATAATGTCCGTGTAGTTACAGGGAAAAAAAGACAATTCGCTCGTTGTTTTTTAAATACTCATATCTTAATGAGCTGTGTTTGTCTTCCTGTTGTAGCGCCTGGATTTTGCCCAGCGTGTTGAACCTGAAGTGTACTGTGGGTCATATGGATTTGTAGAGAGTGAAACCACGGTAAGTACTTTGACATAAGTACTTTGACATGACAACAAAGATATGTTTCAGGACCTGATGCCGGTACTGTAAACACATAGACGGTGTGGAAAATTGAACTCCAGCTCCACAAACTTTTGCCTCTTTTGTGTGGCTTATCTGTAAACCTTTCAGAGCAGGTCAAGAAAGTATCATTTCTACAGTCAGCACCTCAGCCAATTAATATAAAATATCAATGTGGAATTTTTTTTTCAAAAAAAAATGTCAATGTTTTTTCTCCAGTTCTTTGTGCTTCAACAAAATACAGACAGAAAATAACATAAATTGATTTAAAGGTAATAGCTCGCTAAAGAGAGAGAAGAAATTATTCTGGATTAAATGCCTGATTGAAAGTTTGGTCTTAAGATTAGTTTTAAAACACAAACAGAAGTGTGCAGATCAAGCTGAAGTTTTCTGAGAGACCTTTTGAGCGTAACAATTAATAAAGGAGTTGAACTTTAAAGTTAAACTTTTGTTCTCTTTCTGGGATGAACAAGTTCTTCTGTAGTCGTGGCATCCACTACATGAATGTCTATTTAATCTTCATTTAGTTTTAAAAAGTTCTCACTAATGGGAACATTGATGTCTCTAAGAAAGGCAGTGAGGATTTGCTGTTCGTTTTGGTTATGTGGTGGGATTACAGCATTGTAAAGCTGGATGTCATCTGTATAGAATTATTAATTGACAGGATCATTTAGAAAATGTGTCCGAACTGAGGAATTGGAAAAAAATAAGCCCAAGAACACTTCTTTGAGGAATCCTATAATTAAAGCCCCTGAGAGGGTTTTTGAACAAAAATGTAATGGACTGAAACTCGCACTAATTCCGCGAGCATAGGAAGCGAGCATACAGCGCCCATTGAACCCGATCCGCCGCTCCCATCAGCGAGATGCACTCACGCGATAACCGATATTTCTCTTGAGACTGGAAGAGATCTTGCCTGTTTCCCAGAGTCACAGAATGAGATCCCCCGATTGATGTATATAAACGGCGGTGTATATAAACAGCCACATCCCACAATCCTTGCCTCTCCTTTTGTCAAGTTAAGAACAATTCAACGTATTGACTTTCTTTTATTTTGAAAATTAGATGGATATTTTACTCTGTAGCTGCATACAACCTCCGCTGCTGCTCATGCTGCACTGAATTAATGCGCCGTGCTGGGGCGTCCGGCAAAAAAGATAAAAAAAGACCACTTGGTCCACACACACTACACAAACCAAAAACTTTAATCAAAAAAGGGATTTTTATGATTTTTATAAGTGATTTTAATAAGTCTCCCTTACTTTGCCTGGATTCTTCCTAGCTCACTGAAAAGAAGAAAGCTGGAGGACTAAGCAGAGATGATGATTTTTATGATTCTGAAAGAGATGATGTCATTGAAGTTACAGAAAAAGAAGACAATTCGCTTGTTGTTTTTTAAGCACTCATATCTTAATGAGCTGTGTTTGTCTTCTTGTTGTAGGACAGGGCTTTGAACCTGTCGGATAAAGATGAGGAAATGGACGATGAAGAATGCTGTGAGGACTCTGAATCTACAGAGAGCGAATCATCGGTAAGTACTTTGACATAAGTACTTTGACGTGACAACAAAGATATGTTTCAGGACCTGATGCTGGTACTGTAAACACAGAGACGGTGTGGAAAATTGAACTCCAGCTGCACAAACTTTTGCCTCTTTTCTGTGGTTTATCTGTAAACCTTTCAGAGCAGGTCAAGAAAGTATAATTTCTACAGTCAGCACTTCAGCCAATTAATATAAAATATCAATGTGGATTTTTTATTTTTTTTTTTCAAAAAAAATTCTATGTTTTTTCTCCAGTTCTTTGTGCTTCAACAAAATACAGACAGAAAATAACATAAATTGATTAAAAGGTAGTAGCTCGCTAACACTACACAATCCAGAAGCTTTAATTAAAAAAAGGGATTTTTATGACTTTCATAAGTGATTTTAATAAGTGATTTTTAGAACTCATTAAAATGGATCAATATGATTTTCAGTCTATTCCATAAAGGTTCAAAAACTCCTCACAGAAGCTGTAAAGCCATAATTCTCTGACACTCAAACACCCAGGCTGACTAAAACCCTCCATTAAAGATAACACACGGTCAGAACAATCATCCTGTCTCGTAACATATTGCGTCAACATTAACGTATCACAGCAATACAATGAATGAAACAGCTGACATCGGTTTGCTTATGTCAGCAAGTTTTTATCAGAAGATGCAATTCAAATTAAAGCAGAAACCGACTATTTATTTCAACCTCCCGAGGACCAGGTAACTGTCACTTCATGTAACAATACTCAAGTTTTGTTGACTGACTTTATCTTAAAAACAGATTTTTGTGTGAGCTTCAAAGAGCTGGTCGAAGAAAATGATCTTTTGTTCAGAGTTTTAATTTTAACTTGATAGCAACAGTGAGGCTCTGACTCTTTTGTTTTCTTTGTGTCTCTTTTTTGTAGAGTCCTGAGTCTGATTTTGGTCTTGAGATATCAAATGCGATACAGATGTCTATGCGTCGAGCAAGAGGAGGGGCCGACCAAGAAGTGAAAAGGCTTCTGGGTGGTCCCTCACGCCATCGCGCCTCTTATTCCCCTGCCCCTCTTATTCGTCCATGTGGTCTTCTTCCCCCCCCTTGTCCTCCTCCTCCTGCCATTAGTTTCTCAGCCATCTCATTTCGTGCTCCTCGTCCTCAAGGTGGATTATTTGGTGGTCCTCCTCCTCCTCCTCCTCCTCCTCAAGGTGGATTATTTGGTGCTCCTCCTCCTCCTCCTCCTCAAGGCAGATTATCTGGTGGTCCTCGTCTTACCACCAGTGGTCTTCAAAGATCATTATGTAGTGGTCCTCTTCGTACCGACAGTGGTCTTCAAGCTGGACTATTTGGTGGTCCACCTCCTCCTCCTCCGTCCTCCACCGGTGTTCAAGTTGGTGGTATTCATTATCATGCTATGAGCTCTTTGCTGTCTCGACAGAATGCGATGGGGGATAAAATGGGGACATTTCGGAGAGCTTCACTGGACCCAGTGTTGGCGTCAGCCCCCCCTCCAGTTTCTGAGCCTCAAGGTATCAGAGAGGTTGACTCGAAGCAAAGAATGGAATCATGTTCTGTTCCTGATTTTCAATTGAGGTCCTTTGAAGGAAGCGATACTGAGATTTCTGTAGCACGTTTCGATAAGAGCATGAGGTCCAGTTTCAAAGATCAACAGCCTCAACAGGGTTTTGGTTACCAAGCCCATGCAGTTCCAGACAAATTCCAAACCCTTGGCGAAGAACACCAAATGGAAGATACTCCTTTTCCACTCAAAAAAAGATCCAGGGACACTTGGAGTGCCAAGGGACTTGAGGACAAGAGTGAACCTACCCCTGACGAAGATCAGCCTCGGGCCACTGTACTGAAGCGACTCCAAAAGACCATAGAAGTTCCTATAGTAGATCTCTGTGAAGGTCCTCCTCCTATAAAAGAAGGATCTTCACTGAGACGATTTCCAGAGGCTGTGATTCCTCATAGTGAAGATCAGCCTCAGGTCACTTTACAGAGATCACGCCAGAGGACCATAGAAGATTGCTGTGAATCTAAAGAAGGAGGATCTTCACTGAGACGATTTCAACGGGCTGTGATTCCTCATAGTGAAGATCCTCCTCAGGTCACATTACAGAGATCAAGCCAAAGGACCATGCAGATGACTGATGTGTGGCGTCCTTTCATGTGAGTCCAAAACCTTTTCAGAAAAGCTGTTGTTGTTGTTGGTTGTTGATCTTCTTGTTGTAACAGTTTGAGGGGCTTTGGTTTGCAAAGTGAAAGCAAACTAGGTTACCTGAATTGAATTGAAATATTGACGGTAAGTACTGTCCCTTGTCTGTTTGGGCAACTATGGATAATGAAGCTATAGAGGTTTGGCAAAGTCGAAAAATTGTTGTGAATTTAAAATGTTTAGCAGTGTTTCACACAAGAAGATGATACCCAAACAGGCATCACTGAAAATTCTGAGCCCCCATTTTCCGTTTTCTTTTTTTCCAGTTGTTTTTGTATTTTCACAAGTTTGCCAAGGTGAGGAGAGAGAGCAACAAACTCTTGTTGCTCTCTGCCCCTTCAGACTCAGATAACATTATAAACAGCCCCCAAATCAAGCTCCTCAAGCTTGTAAACCGGAACACACATGGTAGTCGAATTAAACTGCCTAATCGAGCTATAGCCAGAGAGAAACAGTTGGAGGCGGGTGAGATTTGCAGCTTGGTAAAAAAGGAGAAGCTGTGTGATAGACAGTCAATACATAAATAGATGTCTGAACATGATTGATTTCATTTTCACTCCGAGTGTCTGTGAATTTTCAGGGGAAAATCAGCCGATTCTGAAGAAAAGACGCTCAGGTGGACAAAGATCTTCAAGCTGCAGCATCCGGTAAGAGAAGAGCTACTTTCATTGCGTTTAACTCAATGTGGAAAAATATTCAATAATCAAAAAAAAACATACAACCAACAACATGGATTACTAATTGATTTTATTAAAGTCGAATAACTCCAGGTAATGTCTTAATGAAACATCATTCTGCCCGCTGACACATAAAAATACAGAATAATTGCACTAGTTATCACACTGCAACCACAGGGACCAATTCGTGTTGAAGTGTTTTACTTCCAAATGCATTTTTGCAGTGAATTTTAAATGATCCAATCAGACATGTCCTAAGACAATGTTTAAACATGCTTAGCCTTTCTCAGTTGCACTGTAATGGTGCACAGTATTAAATGTGTTTGTGAACAAAGTTTCCACACCCAGCTGATGCTTCCCGAGTAAATCAATGGAGAATTCGTTTTGTCTTAAGAGCATGCAGTACATCATGAAAAAATCTGATATTAGAGAGCACGAAATGTTTATTCTTACAAGGACAAGCAAGAAGCGTTTGAGCTGAAGCCACATTCGGCCGCATTTAGAGCCTGAGGTCAGTTTACAGGTCAACAGCTAATATACAAAAGTACAATGGAGACCTCAACCAAAGTCAGTAATAACACAGACAGGAGAGAGTCAAGCATAAGTTTACTGTACAGTTGATTTTTCGGTCCCCACCACTTTACAAAGGTAGTAAACAAAATTAAAATTTCCATCTGTGTGTTGCAGGAGGGCTACTGGGAGATAACCGGAGAACTGGGCAAATTGATAAATGTGCATGTGGATCTGTTCGCCAACGAATTCCTGAAAAACAAGGGCATCAACTCTCTGGGTGAGAAGTGTGAAAGTGTGAAAATCAAATTGTTATGTTGCATCGTTGGAGCCAAATCTGACATCTCTTGCTGTATGTTATAATCTTTCATGTCCAAATATTTGACTGAAGATGGCCCAGAGTGGTTTTGTAGGAGTTCTTTCAATGTTTTCAATTTCCTGGAAATGCAAGAGTGATCAGATTTTGTTATTCTTGGTTTTAATCCAGTAAAACACATTTAAATTTATCCCTCAACCCTGAAAGTAATATCTGCCAGTAACCAATCAGAGCACATGCCCTAAAAGTAACGTGAAAATCTGTTGTGTGTGTGTGTGTGTGTGTGTGTGTGTGTGTGTGTGTGTGTGTGTGTGTGTGTGTGTGTGTGTGTGTGTGTGTGTGTGTATCATGAAGGTGAGAGGGCCCGTGCTGACATCCTGAGGCTAGTGGCCACTCTTCTGGTTCTGCAGCTGATGAGGGTGGAGAAGCTGGAGGAAGGCAAACTGCTCTGCACCCTCTTCCGTCTGGACAACCCGTCTCAGTCCAGGTTTGTCCAAATAGATAAAAGCAAAAAGAGAGAGTATCACGATGTGCAGACGGTCTCGGTCTCCCTCACATGAACAGTAACCAGTGTTTACAGATCCGCCTTGAAAATACAGATTCTGCAGCAGCATCTTTCCCTGCTGGAGCCTTTCTGATTGATGAAATGAGCCAATAAATGCCGTTTTTAAGGGGGGAACATGGTTGCGCCTGAAGTTGCTGAATGCTCGATTATGCACTTACAGTACATAATCATACTTACAGTATGTGCGCTTCCACATGCACATACTGTAAATACTGTGCTATTATGCACTGCCAGCTTCTACCACGTCTTCTCCTCATCTCACGCCTGTCACTACCTTCAAGTGGAAAAACTTCCCCACTATCGCCCATGTGCGTTACACATTTCAGTCAAGGTGTGAGAGGGGTGTAAATATTGATGTTTCACGCTCCTCTCACATGATTTCATAAATGTTTTCTCCAACACTCACTTTTTCCTGGTTTTGGAAGCTTCTCTGATCCCAGCTGAATGTTTCCTTGCAGGCCTGAGCGCTGGGAGGAGGTGAAGAAGGCAGTGGACTGGGTTCGCTGGGCTGACCGGCAGTACCCGTGTGTCTACAGCAGACTGGAGTTTGGTTTGAGCTGGGAGTCCTCCACCCTTCAGCTGCTGGGATACCAAGCCCTCCCTCCCTTCTCCCCTCTCAAGGGTCTCACTCTGCAGTGGACCTCCGTCTCTTTGCTGGTCCGCTGAGCCAGCCAACAGGTTAGAGATGAAACGAGGAGGACACATAGTAACAGATGTCATTATTTTTTACATTTACATTATGCTGCCATGATTATAGACTTTTTAAAGCACTTTAAACTTGCCTGCATTTAAATCATGAAGAAAAAGTGGGCCGATTTTTAGGCACCAGTTTTTAATTAGATATTTTGTTGCACGCCAAATCAAAAAAGCTTTAAAGCCCCTGTGGTGATCTTTCTTTGTGTATGTTTTGCACCTCTGTGCTTTTCGTGTCTTTACTGATTTAATCCTGTATGCTAAGAAGTGTTATTGATGTAAAATCTCCTCAGAAAGGCGGTTACTTCAGCATGCTGTGGATTATAACCAAAGCCAAACATGCGTACCAGTCTCAGTCCAACTGCACCGTGTACATGACAGAGAAAATCAATCCTGAACTGTTTTATCTTGATATGTAATTCCAACAATGAGGGGTTTCCTTTCGTGCGATTTTAGCCAAACTTATATGACTAACAGTCAAAAACTCTTCACAGGGGTTTTAAATGAAAAACTTTTTAAGGCCAAAGTGAATGAGCAAAGATAACTGCTCTCATTTTCCGAAATATTTTTGAACTCTTTGTTGCAAGACGCTAGGAGTCTCTTGTTTGTGTGAAATATAAGGTTTTCAGATCGACTTGGTTAAAAAGGCTTCTTAAAGTCCCACTCCAATAGTTTTTTTTTTAAACTATTTAAAGCGTTATCAGTGGTCTTTAAACAGTGATTTTAAAGTTTTTAGCCAAAATCACGTTAACTGTGTTGTTTTCAAGTGTTTTTTTTCTGCAGAGCTCCAGCAGCTCATGAGCAATTCACCTCTGAGTCGTGGGCGGACACAGTGCTGCTCTGCACACTTCTCCTCGAGTTAGCTTGCAGCCTAACATTGCCAGTGTAGTAGAAGAAACAGGTAACAGAGGAGCTATTCAGCTCTCTGGCACTATTGTCTTTAGGGACACGATGAAAGTTAATATCATAATTAGCTTTCTTACGTTCATTTCAGCCAGCTAACGCAGACGCTCGTTCCGCGATCGTCCTCTCCATTTCTCCAAGCCTGGCCTGCACAGCGGGGCTCCAGGGGCGGAGCTTTGATTTGTTACGTAGGAAATCTCACTGTATCTGAACCTGCTGTTTGGGTCTTCCCGAGAGTCACATCGATTTGAATGCAGAAATACTTAGAAATGCAATTTCACACTTCTTTTTTTCATGATATGTCCGCTAGTATCAGAAAAAATGCCATATGAACATGGAGACAACAAGAAAAACATGATTTTCATTGGACTGGGTCTTTGAGCTTAAAGTTCCCATGAAATCAAGAGTGAAGTTTTTTTTATGATACGTCTCCCACATTGTTTTTTAAAACTGCCTTACTTTGAAATTGACTTTGAATACTCAAAGAAACACATAAAACACGGCGTACTTGTAATAATTTGGAATATATGTCTGAATACTCAACAAGTGTCTTAATCCTTACTACTTATCTTATTCCACCTAACTAGCCTTGTGATTGTGGGTCATTCTCAGTTAGTTTTATCGGTCCTTTATACAAGATGTTACAAGAAAAGTATAATTATATAAGCATTTTTCATTACAAGAGGAAGTTTAACGATGAGAAAATTTGTGCTTTGGTTACATTGTGATTTGGCAAAAACATGTTGAACAGAGATTTGTATGAAGATAAACCTTCTCTACTTCTCTTTTTTTGTCACAGTCTAATTTCAAAAACATGGGGTCAGAGGGTGTCTGGTAACTTGGGAGGCATTTTTATCGTCTGTTTTCTTTTTCTTATGGTCTGTGGTGTATCCAGAAAATACATAAAATGGTAAAAACTTCAGAAATTAATCATATATACAATAGATTAGAACTAAACTGTAATCAGGTGTGATGTTTTCTTTCTTGTGCCAGTTTTTATGTGTTTGTTTGTGAAATCTTGAGAATAAACTTCTTTTAAAATGTTCTTCTTGAGTCTTTTATACCGATTCACACACAATCTCTTTTTAAACTCCACTTCACACATCCGCCCTTGTGCAAACTCTAAACAGACCTCAACTGTGTACAACTGTGTTTTATCTTTTGGTGACATCTTCACCACAAATTTCAGCAGTCTTTCTCAGAAGAGTCACTTGATGTTGCAGCGTTGTTTGTCGGCTGATTTATAGAAAATTATTTAACATACGATGCAATGAGGACACTCACTTATTCACTCTGTAAGCTCTCCTGTGGTATTTCCAAGTGGTTACAGGGATTATTCTGTCCCATGGAGAAGAGAATATTTTGAAAGAAATATTGTTTTGCTGTGAGTTAAAAATGACAAGATGGAGAGTGACATCTTTTTTTGGCTGACACACGTACACACACACACACATATATATATATGTATATATACATATATATACACATATATATATGTATTTATATATATATAATTTATTTTTTTATTTTTGAATGAACTTCTGGGCCTTTCAATGATCTGGTTTTGAATGTTTATGAATGTATAAAATTTCTGCAGTTTGTCATATACGACAGATTGGCGCTACACTAAAATCTGGTGTGATAATTTCTTTGTTATGCAGCTTTATTATGGATATTACAATCTTGCTAATTTAGTGTCAAAAGCTTTTAAAAGATAAGAAGATTGTCCCAATAATTAGTGATGTATTGGTGTTTATTTTGTTTGTGTCTTCTCCTGTTTGACGATATTGACTAGTATGAGCTCTGAGCCTCTGAAATCATGGTGTCATGGAAGCCTGGGCAGAAGCTGTAAGTATCTTATACAATGAAAAAGTAAAAATGGAAAGAACCACTTCTGAGGAAATGTCATTTTCAACTCTGAAAGCTTTCAAAGAAGCTTTCAGACATTTTTTTGTCTTTTCGTTGAATCGTTTGAGGTTGACTTACTTCCTTTAAAGGTTCCTGTTTTCTTCGCTCCCACGTTAATGTGATATTTTTATGTAGCCACTGTAACCCAGCTTTTTTTTGTAGGTTAGAGTTCTGTGGTGAGAGGTTATTGTCCAAACTATTTACATCATGTCTGACACTTAGAAACTTTTGACTTCCTCCCAACATGAGAAAAACTTGAAACCAGACGCAGGTTCTCAGCATTCCAACTTGGTCCACGCTGTAGAGCAGATCTTCAAGGAAGCAGACAGTATCTTTGTGAGGGATGGAAGAAATCTACGCCAATGAAGAGTATCAAGAGTATGAAAAGTATGAAAACAGCAGAGGGCCCTCGACGCGTCAGACAGGTGAGAGCGTTAAGATATGTACAACATATCTATCACTATTTTATTCCTTCATGATCCATTTTGTGTTGCAGGTCCGAGGGGCTCACAGAGGAGGTTTCATAAAGCTGTTATTTTGTGCCTTGGGCTGCTGAGTCTTCTTCTTCTAGCTGGGATCATCGGCCTTGGTGTCCACTGTGAGTCTGTTGTATTTTAAATACAGTGCAAGACTACGAAGAAATGATCACATGGCAGTCAGTTTCAGAGGAGCAGAAATTAAGAGTATTATTAAACAGACAGGTGGAAAGGTGGGAAAAGCAATGGGAGGAAGTAAACCGAGAAAGAGAGTGAGTGACTAAAAAAAAGGAGACTGCCTCAATGTTACTATCTCTGTCTGTCTCTCCTTGGGTTAGACTTCTTTGAGTGAACTCCCAGATCCTCAGAGACTCTCATCGTGTTGCCTTCAGGGCTGTCATAATATCAGATTTTAAGATCACATCTTTGATTTATTTTAGACCAAAACTCAACCCGTGATTCGTCTGCAGAGTCCTCCACCAACAAAGCCAATCCGAATGAGCATCAGCTCCAGCTGTCCTCCCTGACCAAACAGAGAGACCTGCTGAACGTCAGCCTCACTGAAATGACCAAAGAGCTGCACAGACTTCAGGGTTTGCTGAAACAGAGTGAGTGCTCTGCCTCTGTGGTTTCTGCGCACAGCTGTCCGCTAACATGAAGTTTAGGTTCAACCTCAGTGTCATTATTCTGAGGACATGACGCTGTCAAAATCGTTCTCTCACTTCTCTTCTCATTCTCAGAGTTCTCATTTATCTGCTCTAAGTTACCATAGAAATGATACAAACACAGATGACACCAAAAGGCCACGTTAACACCTGGTGTTAACCTTTTTCCCGTGTCAGCTTTTACTGCGCACCCACTATGTGAAGGGTCAGTTTCGACCCGTGTCTTAAATCAGCTGTAAATTAGAATAAAAACAATTCTTTATCATCCAATTTGGTTCTCATCTCTAGGTTACCTTGTTAGGCTTCATTATGCGTAAAATTATTGCTTATAATAGTTTTTGTTGGGGGCCTCTGGGCCTTTCTTTGTCAGTATACCCCTCACACAGACATCTATACTAAATTGATCTCACATGTCTGGACATGCCTGATGTTTTTTTTTGTTTTGTGCAGGGAAAAACCAGGCAAAATGAGAATTTCCTAAATCTCACATGATTAGAAGAGGATCTGACTGTTAGTGTGGTGCCTGACAGTACACTTATGATTTCAGTTTTTGCTCTTTTTATTGGATATTAATTTAAACGAGTCAACAGAGACCCTAACAGGACAAGTGCCATACATTTTATAATTTGCTCAATTTGATTTTTTTATTTTTATTTTGTTGAAATAGAGGTTCCTGACAAAGTCAATAAGTCTTGATGCAAAAAAGCCAATTTATGCATTTCTTTTAAACATTTAGAAATAAAAACGTGACGGTGCAGACCTGCACCCTAGCTAACCACAAATGGGGAGTCTGAGAACAGGTGAAAAAACACCTGCAGGCCTGTTTGTTCTGCATCTCTGTCTGGTATACATGGAAAAGACATGTCAAAGTCAAAATTCGACAAAATAATTTAACTGGACAAATTTACTACTGTAAAGCACTAACCAGTGGATTTTCTCATGTGTTCAAACAGATCACTGGCTAGAATAACCAGGATAATCAGATTTTATACATGACCTTCCTTTCATTCATTCATTCATTCATTCATTTATTAATTAATTAATTTATTTATTTATTTATTTATTTATTTATTTATTTATTTATCTATTTATCTTAACCTCAGTATTGACCTCATATTTTCATCTTTATAAATTCAGTTTTTTTTCTTGGTCAAATATTTTTTCAGTGTGAAATGTTAAAACTAACTGAAGGTGGCAGTTGTAGATTTTCTGGTAGTGAGAAGCACGTTATGCATGTTTGTCTGTATTACTGTTGTAGCATCATTCTGGCAGCAGGTGGCAGACTTCAATTTTTTTAAGTTTGGCATTGATAACGTTGATTTTAACACTTCAGGACTATTATCTATGGAAATTGAGAATTAGGATATGAATGAGGGAAAATGGATTGTCAAAAAACCTGGGATATGGAGGTCTGATCATTTTTGATCATTTTAAGCATTCATTTCTTTTGTTCTTTTCTAGATAAAGAGGTTCAGAAAGAGTTTGTATTTCAATAATATATGCTCAAATGTATATATGTGTATGTATGTGTAGTTTTCTCTGTATTTATTCACATTATACTTTGGTGTTTTGTTTTTTCCTATTTTGTGTCTGTGTCAATCATGAGTGATTCAAAAAGTCTGCTGATCAGAAAAATAATCAGGACGATCACGAATTGTAGATGCATTAATAATATTACCTAATGCACTGAAGTATTACAGATACTTATGCACACATTCAGTATATCTGCATTAGTTTGAGAGAGTGAAGTTGCTTGTTTGCTCTCTTATGGTTTTTGTTTGTCGTCTTGTGCAGAGAAAACTTGTCCTGCTGGGTGGAGGATGTTTCATTGTTCCTGTTACTTCTTCACTGCGCAGACAAAGTCTTGGGTAGAAAGCAGACAAGACTGCAGAGCCAGAGGAGCAGATCTGGTGATCGTAGACAGTCCTGAAGAACAGGTAAGGTGTTCTTACTTCTCAAAATACCTTATTTAAACACAGCACAACCAAGTTCAGCTAAAGCAGTTTAATAAAAAAAACATGAATATTTTTAAAAGGAATTTCTCACCGACAACAAGAATGGGGACAGTTGGATCGGTTTGACTGACAGAGACAATGAAGGGACCTGGAAATGGACCGACGACACTCTTCTGACTCAGGGGTGAGAGAGTGAATGTTGAAATCAGGCACATGTAAAACTGTTCTTATGAGTATGCAGGTTGTTTTTCTCTATCAGTCTCTAATGATTTAATTCCCAATTCAAATAAAATATTCCATTTCAAACACCTGCTGACTTGAGATTAAAACTTGTTGATTAATTTCAGTCAGGAAAATAAATAAGAGCTGTGATTTTTATATTAATTATGTGTTAATTTCTATATTTTGATCATAAAAGTATTTGAATGTTATCCTCTTGTAGGTACTGGTCGGATAATAATCCTGATAATGGTGGTGGAGATCCACAGTGGGGTGAAGAAGACTGTGTTTACCTCAAATCTGACCGTAAAACGGAGGGTAACTGGAACGACCTGAGATGTGACTCTACTTTGATGTGGATCTGTGAAAAAATGGCTTAGAGTTAAGGTTAAAATATTACCTTTATGGGGGGAAAAAAGAAGAATTAGCTTCAAGTGTTTCATTTATGCAGGCTTCTTAAATGCTGTTGTCATTTTTGTATAAAACTGGAAAATAAAAACATGCTTCTGCTAAACATTAAAAAAGTTTGAAACTAAAATAAACTTCAGTCAAAGTAATGTTCACAAACTCATAAAAGATGCAAATTCAAACACATGAGAAATACTCCAAAACAAAAGGATCTCAGCCTTCATACAGTTCCTTCATTTAGACCCACTGCTGTGAGGTGATTTACGTCTAACACAGGTAGGTCACTATGGTAACTTCTTCTGAAATCTTAATCTGATCTCTTATTTTTTTACAAGATTATTGCCAAAATTACTTATTTTTATGATAGAAAAAACAGATTGAACTCTTGAAATTGAAAAACTTTTTTGAGTATTACCTCAGCTAAACACGTCAACCAAACATACAATAAGGTTAAAAGAGAGAAATGTTGTCCAGCTGTGTTCTGTGTATTGGTGGGGCATTAAAAGGGCCGCCTTTTTGATTTAACATTTTTATTTTTACATTTTTTTACACTGAAAAGTGATCCTGGGGGCACTTTTTTCACATTTTACGTGCCAAAACTTTTTTATTTAATTACTGAAAAAACACCTTTTCACATTTAAGGACACCCTGTCATGTCATGTTTCATCCTTTGGACAAGCAGCTGCTTCAGGAGTTTTTCATGCATACTACATGGAGGGCATCTTATGATGTTTATCTGTTAAAGAAGTATCTGAGAAGGCACTTTTTCAGCAGCATTTTTTCAGATGTGCCCCCCACCCCTTCACTGGCTGAATTATATCCCCTATATGTTTTTTCTTTAACTGATGTTTTTATGGTCCAAGTCTATTCTCTTTGCCTTTAAAATAAGAGATGCGTGTTTATTTTACTATGGTAGTTCCAGATAGTTCTGTAATGTCTGTTTCATTTCTGTCAATGTGTCCACTGTGTTTAATCTCTGAGGAACTAAATTAATTTACAGTATCATAGTCTGTAAATAGTTGAATGTTCTGCTTTTTCCTCTAACAGCGTATGTTAGGAAACTCTTCAGTGAGGGGTGAGTGGAGGTCTGTCAGGGGTAAAAGTCACATCACTTATTACGCACATCTCTTACGTCACTTATTTCAAGCTAACTCCTGAATTTTTCTTTAGAAAAACTGTAACAAAGTCATTTTCAAATTTCAGTAATGTAATTCAGCAGTTAACCAGAGTAACGCAGTGTGAAATACACATAAAAGACCCGCCTTTGAGATTCAAAGGGAGAAATATCTAATTTGATATAGATATCAAATTAGAACTAGCACACACATTTCTGGGCTTTTTTTTAATTTCTTATCCAGTCATTTTTGAGAAGCTCTTTCCACAAGTTGTTATCGGAAATTCTCATTATCTACTGATTGAAAATATAGGTTTCACACTAATTCATCATAAATAAATACATTAAAAAGCTGGTAAAAACATTGCTTCATTTTCATGTGGTTTTGAAAGACCTGGTAAGAGGAAGTGTGAATGTAGTGTCCTATTACGATAAGAAACACTTCTCAGTTTCTGTTTTTTTTTCTTCTTCCTTTTAAGGAGAAGCTGTAAAGAGGGTTTAAATAAAGGTTAGTAGAACTACCTAAGGCTTCTGTATGCTTAGTTTTCTTTCTTATAGTCGTAAGGAAAAACCTGCAACTCTTAAAATTACTATAGTTAATCATGAATAAAAAATAAGCTCTATACTCTAATCAGGTGCAATGTTTTCTTTAGACGAGGGCTCATGATGGTGTTTTCAACTGTCTTTGGGAAAATCATGATTAACACCCAAGATAAAAACCTTTAATCTCGTAACAATGGTATGGTTAACAAAAAGTCCAAAATCATTTGAAATTTGTGCCCCAGCAACTACTTTAGTGAGACCATTTCTCCTTAAAAGTTCTAAGTTTGATTTCCAACTTTTACCACTTCCATTAAGAATCCTAAAATGGAATATTTGATCAATTTTTTATGACGTAAAAGGAAAAATTACCTCATACAAACCCACTTTTAAAAAGGGAATTATCCTTTTAAATGTCAAATTACACTTGACAGATCCTCTTGTCAGTCCGTCTGTTTAAACCTGTAAATTTAAAGGCTCTTTAACATCTTTTTATACAGTTACACAGACGTGGCTTATTTGAGGATAGAGTTTTTATGGTGGTTGTTGTTCGCTTACAACGATTTCATCACCTCTGATCGTTTGATACTGATGACGTCTTCACAAATTGAGAAAATCTTGAAACGAGGGAGATTTTTAGCATTCATCTCAGTCCACGCTACACAGAGGACCAATGGAGGAAATCTACGCCAATGCTGAACTTGAGAAACCTGACGACAGAGGAGAATGGGGTCCATTGTGTGTGTCGGGTTTAAGGAGATTTAACAGTGTTGCTTTTTTGTGTCTTGGGCTGCTGAGTCTTCTCCTGTTTGCTGTGATGATCGGCCTCAGCGTCCAATGTGAGTGAGTTTTTGTTCAGAATGAAACTGTAATTTTCAGCTGTCACTTTTCCAAATTTATCTTTATCCAATCTTGACTTTTCTCGCTTCTGTCTTCACCTCTTACAGCATATTCATCAACTTCTTGTCCTGGAAACAGGTTTTAAGTGTTTTGAAAACTATGAAATTGTAAATTTGATGGTTTGATATTCTTTGAAAAATAGGAGAAACTGAAACCATTATGACTTTGGGGTGTTTGAGGTCCTTAGTGTAAAGGAAAGGACGTGTGTCTTATTTATTTCAGGCCACAATTCAGCCCGTGAGTCCTTCGCCATAAAAGCCAAGCTGTCCTCCCTGACTGAGGAGAGAAACCTGCTGAACGCCAGCCTCACCGAAATGACCAAAAAGCTGAAAAGACTCAGAGGTAAGTCCAAACAGACAGAACACCCTGCCTTTTGTTCTAGTTAAAAGTAAGGCTGCTTCGTTTTTAACAGTTTGAAACCAATTGGTTAGTTTTTGGCCGAGGCACCAAGGTTGTCTGCTGTGGACTCAACGTCATTTGATTACTCACCAAGATTTTGAGTAATAAAACTTCTTTTTGCAGGTGTGCCTATTACAATTATTTCAGATTTGTTGTCATTTACTCATAAAAAGTAGATTAACATCAATGATTTTATTTTCCCTGTGTAAAGTTGTGTCATCCGCGTAACAGTGAAGCTATACGTTATATTTACGAATGATATTACCAAGCGGTAGCAAGTAAATGAAAAGAGAGTTGGACCCAGAACTGATCCCTGTGGAACCCCATACTTTAAGTTTGCTGTTAATGATACTGAACCAGCCAGTGATACCATAAGAGATCTGTTGTCCAGGTGACCTGAACGTGTTTAAAGCCAGAGAAGTCATTTTATAGTCAAACTCAACAAAAATGTGGTATTACAAGAAAAAAAAAGTAAATTGATGAGAACAAAGACATAATTTTAGGGGCGTTAAGACTGAATATTTTTAGAAAGGACATGAGTTTATGAGGAGAAAGTCAATCTTTTCATGCAGTGAGTTTATACAGAAGAGCAGCTGTTTGGATCAAAAAGAGGAACCTGTCGCAACTTGGGAAATTTTACCGAAGTAATCTTGATTAAAAAAAAAAAAGAAATCTTTATCTTTATGTTACATGAGCACCTCTTTATCAGAAGTATCAGTGTTTTAGTTTCAGAAGTTGCGCAAGACAGACAAACAGGCAGCCTGTAAACACTTTTGCAACTCCTGTTTTCTTTATCTGTTCAGTTGAAAATCCGGTGGCTTGCTGTTTTTTTTTAAATTTTTTATAATATATATAATATAACATCTTTATTCGCTTAAATTTATGACTTGATTGTGACACACTTACCCTTTGCTTTGAAATACAACCGTTTTCCTCATAAAATCACAACTTTATTCTGTAAATTCTGTATTATTATGTATTAAATTATTATTATGTATCAAATTAATTAATGAATCTTCTCATAAATTCATGAACGTTTTGTAAAATCACCGCTTTATTCCCATAATTCTCACATCTTTTGTATGTCAGCTACATGTGTGTGGTTTCCCCCATTTTAATAGCTCTGTTTCCCCATCTAAGGACACAACACATACCCAGCTTTATAATCAATTAATTTTTAATAAGTTCAAAGATTACTAAGTGAACCTTACGTCTTTGGAGAAGACATGAAACCAGAGATTTAAAAAAGACAGGGAAATGTCAATCAAGATCATAAATTAGTTCAGAATTACATTTATTCCACTTCTGCACATCTATTTTAATTGATCGCCCCCTAATGGTCAATTGAAGGACACAAGACAAGCAGAATTGATACACTACAAATGATTAAACATAACTCATTTCAAAGATGTTGTTTTTCTTGTTTTGATTTGTTAAGAAAGTACTTGGCAATAACTCTCATTTTGCTTGTAATTATTCCTTCATTGCGGCTGATTACATTAATATTCTGTATTTGCTGCTCATTAGTGCCTCGTGTTTGTTTGTTTTTTTTACAGAGAAAACTTGTCCTGCAGATTGGACGATGTTCGGTTGCTCCTGTTATTTTTTCTCCACTGAAAGAAAGTCTTGGGCATTGAGCAGACAAGACTGCAGAGACAGAGGAGCAGATCTGGTGATCATTGACAGTCTGGAAGAAGAGGTGATACTGCTCTGTGCAGAGTTAAACTTATCTTAAAGGGTTTAGGGCCGTCAAATGATTAAAGCATCTTAAAGCTGCTTTTCCTTATTTTTTGATTACCAGAAGCATTAATGCTTGCTTGTGGGATATTTTGACTCAGTTTGACGCAAAGTGGCTTCACAAAATGCATCAGCTTGAAGATGAAAAAGATGGAAAGTAGATCTCGTGCATAGAAGAACTTGAAACTTTTTAATATAACTTTAATCTTTGTCCCTTTTCTTCACAGAAATTTCTCACTAATGTCTCGAATCATTCGACATGGATTGGTTTGAGTGACAGAGATCATGAAGGGACCTGGAAGTGGACAGATGGCACTCCGCTGACTCTTGCGTAAGGCAACATAGTGAATGCTGTTGTACAGATTTGGATTCATTATTTCTGAATCCAATGAATCATATTCTCATTGACCTCTTACAGGTTCTGGGCAGTAGAGCAGCCTGATAATGGTGGTGGTGATCCGAGATATGAAGAGGAAGACTGTGTTCATTTCGTGTCCGCCAAGACAAAACCTGAGAAAAGGTGGAACGACGTGGGATGTCACCTATCACTGTTTTGGATCTGTGAAAAATAGCCCCACTTTAACCGAGAGCTGAAATATTACACCCGTTTTTGGTACATTGTTAAATTTGTCAGTTAAAATAAAAAACTCATTGTTCAAACACAACATATTTTTTCAGGCTCTAGAATCAAAGTGCTCTCCAAAATGCAACCCAGTCCAGTTTTTAAAGAGTTTACAATACAGTGTTGGATAATCAAGGTCTTTTTTTATTGTATCTTCCGTAGCCTAAACAAAGTTCAATGAAAGGCTGCCAGATAGCATACAATTTTGAGGCTCACCCTCTTATGATAAAGCTAATCTTTTCAAATTTAAAGGGATATTCCTGCTTAAAATTAAATTACAGAAAATGTATGATCATTTCTTCATGGAAATACAATCAGACCGAGACGCTAAGGCAGAAGAACTACCGCGTTTGCAGTGCAAAATGATTAATATGTGATTATTACTTTAAGGAAATGATAAAGACATGATCATAAATGTTCTTCCTTGAGCTGCGTCACCCCCGCAGCAGTCCCCTGTTGGTGATTTTTGATAACAGATATGTTTGATTCTGTTCTGATTGTTTGATTATTAGTGTTAGATAATAGATTGCTAAATAATTCACTTTGAATACAGAGCACTTAGCAGAGTAGGGGTAAGTATAGCCTTTTGTTTTGTCCTCATGTTTTATGTTTAGGAGCTCAGATGAGGTGTTTGCAATTTGTCGAAGAGTTTGTTTTACTGTTAGGTAAGTTTATTCAGATAACTTCTGTGTATTGATTTGGCATTTGCTCATCTAAAGATCATTTAACCTGCTATTGTATTCCATACTGCTTGTTTTCTTGGAAGTGGGAAGAGTTGGGGTCACACATAGTGGTATTTCCAGGGATGTAACAATCAAACTTCAACTCCTCTTAACTTCACTGTGAACCATACCCCCTGTTTTGTGCTTTACGTTTCTCTCTGTAGAGTTTACAAGCTGAACTGCATAAATAAGTTGCTTCATTTGTACACCAAAAGTGTCCCAAAAATGCAAAATAACAAGACAGGAGACATTTGGTTTGTGCCACTCTGGTATGTTTTCATAAAACTTGGCACATCCATATTTTTTAAACACTTCAAAGTTCACCGTCTTTTGTTTTGAATACATGATTTTGACAAAATGATATGAGAGTTTACAGACAGTGTTGCTGCAAACCAGCAAGGAGGTAAATTTTCACACATGCAGTATTGCACTTGGTGTGTTCGCACTATTTAAGCTTCCTCAGTTCACACTGCACATTTGCATCATTTGACATGAACTTGCAACCAATTCTGTCTTTACATTGACTTTGCATGTAATTCATTCATTCACTCAAACACTTTCGTTTGCTTCCAGTATGAACATAACATCATATTAAGGATGTATAGGATAAAACTTCATGTTTGGCTTCCTGTTGAACTCATGCTTGCTTCACATTAAGATCATGTATAGTGAGGGGATGATAATGCTTAATAGAGTCCCAACAGGGTGGACCAGACCTCAATGCTTCTTGTCAAGGACTCGTCAGGAATACTCAGCTACAAACTAAAGTTACAAACAAGTTAACAACATGCACTGACATGAAGATGGTTTATTGATTCAAAAATGATTTATTTCTACAGCCAAGACAAAAAAAATTCCTCAGTTTTGATGGTCAATGTCACTTCTATGGCACTGGTATAATCTTCTCTGTGGCAAGACTCTGCCACCTCCCGTTTTATTTTGGTTGACCTTCCTGTCTTCCTTGTTTCCCTGGTCTGGCTTGACTGTGTTTCAGAGCACTCTCCCTCCCTCTTTTGCTGGTTCTGAGCTCTCCGTGTTTTCTAATTTACTTCAAATACTAAGGTACACTGGATTAATATTGTTGCCACAGTGTTTACAGGCTAACAAATCTTAACACCCTGCCTGTATTGTAAACTTGTCAAACATTTGTGTGTGAAAAGGACACAGTTCCTGTGACCAGTTATTTTCCATCCTGTTCACATCTTTTATGACGCTTTGAAACCTGTGACTTCCTCACAAGTTAGAAAAAAAGCATGAATCTGAAACCTTTAGAAGTTTCAATATTCAGACTGAGTACGCATATAGAGATGACTTTCATCGATGGCTGAGCGATGGAGGAAATCTACGCCAATGTTGAGTGTAAAGAACCTGTTGCGAGAACCTCCTCAATAAATCAGACAGGTAAGAGTGTTCAGTCAGACTGATCTAAAGTATTTAGAAATATTAACAATCATTCATCGTGATTTTATATCTTCACGGTCCATTCCGTGTTTCAGATCCGAGGAGCTCAAAGAGGAGATTTCATGAAGCTGTTATTTGGTTCCTGGGGCTGCTGAGTCTTCTCCTGCTGGCTGGGCTCATCGGTCTTGGTGTCTACTGTGAGTCACTGAGTCACTTAATATGTTTGCATCCATATTGACCTTCCAGAGATTTGAGTTTTAACATTCAGTCAGAGATTTTATCGTTATCTAAAAGTGTCAATTCTGAGCCCTCTTTTTAATTTACGATCTTTATTAATAACGTTGTTTCCTTCCCAACAGACTGTATTTTACCTTTATGCAGATGATATTATTTTACTCTGCTCTGCTGATTTTTGCCCTCTTAGCTGTTGAGAAACTGCAATATGCTTTTAATCGTCTTCAAAATGCCTTTATTACTCTTAAAATAGTTCTCCACACAAGCAAAACAAATTTTATGATCTTCTCCAGAGCATTACAGATGTTTTATTGATCTCTTCCACTTTAGTTTGAGAAATATCTTGGTATTTGGCTGGATGTTTTGTTCACATTTAAGCACCGTATTGTAACTATTAGGAATAAACTTGGGCAGAAACTTGGTTTTCTATACAGACACAGAATAAACCTCCCTCCTGAGCACAGGAAAAATGTAAATGAAGCTTTTTCTATGGTAAATTTGTCTCTGATGTATCTCGACATCATTGTAAATGAGGAAAACCTCAATAATTTTTGATAATTTAAGTAATAAATTTAAATTTTAAAAATTTAAAAAGGGTCTCTGGGCAGAGCGTACATATGAAAAAAGCCCAACTCTAGATTCTGTCTTCCATAAACTGATCAATCTGCTTTCAGAATTATAGATAAGTATTTTCTTTTTTGCTTTTAATTCTATTCCATGCAGAATAACCTAATAATAATCTGTTCCTGGTGCTAGCATGTATGTGAATATTTGCTCAGTAATCAACAAAATCATGCAGCGATCAAGGGTTATAATATATCCCTTTATAAAGATAAGTGCCAGGCTAATGTGGTTGAAAAGTGCTGGATCATAAACTCGAACCCACAAGAGATTTTAAACCCTTATAAAACAAGAGGTAAATTAGCAAGAACTTTACTTTTTTTAGTTTTATTCCTCTGTCATGAATGCATCTATTCAAAGAGGACTGGACAGAGATCAGAGCAGTAGTAAAAGTAGTAGTGCAGTTAATTTTTTATGTTAGAATTCATGTATCTTGTCTTATTTCAGACAACAACACAACCCGTGATTTATCTGCAGAGTTCTCCGCCGTCAAAGCCAATCTTACTGAGCAGAGAGACCTGCTGAACGTCAGCCTCTCTGAAACGACCGAAGAGCTGAAGAGACTCCAGGGTTTGCTGAAAAAGAGTGAGTGCTCTGCCTCGGTGGTTTTTGCACACAGCTGTCTGCCGCATCGAATCAGATCACACCTCGGTGTCTTTATTTTGAGGACACAGGTTTTTTTCACTTCTCTTTACAGTTTTGGAGTACAAACAACCAGCCAGTGATTGAAAGTGGAAGAATTCACATCTAAATGCTTTCACTTCTTTTAAAATTAGCTGATGTGAGCAAAAAGTGATATTTGACTGCTCTCATCCATGGCAGAGGATGTCATATAAAGCACCCACCATTCACTGATTTCATTCCCACAGCCACGTTGATCAGTTTTGGGGCCAAGGATATTTTGGTAGGACCTGTAATCATACTTCCTACCTTTAGCTTGAGTGATGACCAACTCCACCACTGAGACACAGGATCCTCTAAATGCATTAGTTTGACATTTGCTGTTTGATTTACAGAGAAAACTTGTCCTGCTGGATGGAGGATGTTTCGTTGTTCCTGTTACCTCTTCTCTAAACAGAAAAAGTCTTGGGACAGAAGCAGACAAGACTGCAGAGCCAGAGAAGCAGATCTGGTAATCGTTGACAGTTTGGAAGAACAGGTAAGGGTAAAATTCAATTAAATATCTTATTTAGACACTGACAAAACTAAAGACCATCCTTTTAATAGATAAGAGTATCAAAAGTTACGTCAAGAGCTGAGGGATCACAGATGTAGGGTGGTGCTCGACCATGTAGCCCTTTTTAAAAACCAGCAATATGATCTTAAAACCAATTCTTAAACTAGCAGGTGACCTGAGAAAGTCTGCAAGAATGGGAGAAATGTGTTCACTTCTTCTTTCCATTGTTTCTGTTCTTCTTCGTGGGTATTGGTCATTTATTTTTGGTTTTTCTGTATAATGTTAGAAGCTTACAAGAGTGTTTCCTGTTTCACTATGTTGCCCTGTGCCCCTGTTGTGTCAAGCAAACTTTTACCTCTAAGTTTTTTTTTTTCTTCCTATTGTCATAGTTTCCACATGCTTCTCATTTTCTCGTCTGTCTTTTCCTCCTTCTGTGTTGCTTCAGTATCTGTATGTCCTCTGTGCTCCAGCGTCCTTCTTGTGTTGCTTCTCAGTTTTTTCGTGTTTTGGTTATCATAGATAAATAATTTTGTTGAAACATTCACACCTGATGATCAGTTCAGTCTCAGTGATTATAGACACACTCTGATGAAAATCCAGTTTTTCTCATATTTTTATATGTTCATGTGGTATTTTACCGATGCTACAGGACATATCATGAGAAAACTAAATGCGAAATTCCTCCTCTGAGTAATTCTGTGTTGAATCTCTGGCAGACCCAAACGGCAGGTTCAGAAACAGTGAGATTTCGTACGTAACCAATCCAAGCCCCGCTATGCAGGCCACACTCTGCATATAGAGCAGAAATACAGAGGAAGATCACAAAACAGCGTTGCGTTAGCGGATTGCAATGCTTGTAAGAAAGCTAATTATGATATTAACTTTCATTGTGTCCCTAAAGACATTAGTGTCTGAGAGCTGAATAGCCTATGTTACCTGCTACTTCTACTACAACGGCAATGTTAGGCTGCAAGCTAACATGAACATGAGTGTGCAGAGCAGCGCTGACTCCGCCCACGACTCAACAACTTCATAATCACAATCTAAAGACCACTGAGAATACTTGAAATGGGAAAAGATCAGAGTGGGACTTCAAGAGGATTATCATTTTATCATGTCAAACTACTTTTACTGATGTAGTGAAATTAAAATATAAGAACCTTTTTACAGGAATTCCTCGTCAACAACATCAAGGAAGACACTTGGTTTGGTCTGAGTGACAAAGACAAGGAGGGGACCTGGAAATGGGTGGATGACACTCCACTGACTAAAGCGTAAGACAATCAATCAATAGTAGTAGTTTTGGCACTGTGGACAGGTCCTGAGTCCCAAGGACTTATACATCTATGAGGAAAAAAGTGAAAAATCTTGTGATGAATCTTCTGTTGACCTCTTGTAGGTTCTGGTCCAGTAAACAGCCTGATAGTGGTGGTGGAAGTTCAAAATGGGGCGAAGAAGACTGTGCTCATTTCCAAGCCATTAAAAATAAGGAGATAAACTGGAATGATCGGAATTGTGATGTGTCCATGCTGTGGGTCTGTGAAAAATAGATTTGCATTTGCAGAGTGTTCAAACAAAACTTTTTTTTACACTGTAAGTAATTCATTGCAAAAGCCCTTTCAATGGTATTATTGTCATTCTTGTGTCCAAAAACAAATGAGGCTTTTTTTATACTCTCACATTATCCGATTTTCAGTTTGTTACCAACTGTAAGTTGAAAGACATATTTTGTATTTTTTATATTTTTGTATAAACTATCCCCCATATTAAGTTTGTTTTACATTAGTCCTCTTAGTTTATGTACTTTATCTTTTATCCAGTTATTTTTGTCTCATCTTCAAATGTTTGACCTTCTTTCTTCGCTGGTTGCTTCCCATTAATTGTAAAATAAAGAATCAAAAATATTGTACATGTTGTTTTCTGATTAAAATGCCAACAAAACTCAGTGTTTGGTCACAGTCAGCATAAGTTAAACACGCTTGATGAAGACTTCTGAAACCAATCCCTGCCTCTGTTTTCGTGACATAAATAAAGACACGTTTTCTCCAGTGAGGGGATACTACCCATGCTTTTTTATCACCTCCAAAGCTTGTGACTCTTTCACAATTTAAGAAAACTTGAACTTAAAAGCAAAAGAGGTTTTTTGGCATTCAAATGAAGTCCACACAGCAGAGCAGACCCTTGAGGAAACAGCTGGAATCTTTGTTTGGAGGAAATCTACGCCAGTGCTGAATATGAAAAACCTGTTGGCATACCTTCAGTTCATCAAAAGGGTAAGAGTGCTCGGTCTGACTGACCTTTTTGGAAACATTAACAATTTTCTGTGGCTATTATATTTTATTTATGGTCAATTTGTTGTTTCAGGTACAAGAGCTCACAGAGGAAATCTCATGGTTCTGGGTTTGCTAAGTTTTCTCCTGCTGGCTTGGATCTTCGTCTTCAGCATCAACCGTCAGCATAAGCATTTTAAGGTAAGTCAAAAAAACATTTTATATTAACCCCAAAAACTGTAGATTGAATGCAGTTTTATTGTGCGTGGTATGGTGTGAATTTTTCCACAGATCTACATTTTTTATCTTTTTTTAGGCAGATTAAAAACTCTCTACCAAAAATACCAAAAGGAACAAGGGTGACAAGGAGGGAGGGCGCAAAGCAATAACAGCAAATACCCCTGTACCTCCTTCCACAGAGAGTGTGATGATGTGAGTGAGTCAAAGGCTGGGCAATGTGTGTTCTGCTGTCAGTACACCTTATGGTTACACCAGAGTAGTGGACAACAGAAGAAGACACGGTTACATCTGCTAGGGCTGTCTTTACCAGCTACCAGCTAAACATACTGTCCCATCTCACTTTATGTGTACTCAAATCAAGTAAAGAGCCTACAGGTTCTCCCTTTACTTGCCTGCATGCTTCAATACCAATGACTCAACAGACCTTTTTAAGTTGATGTAGCAGCCTTGAATTCTGGTCCAGACGGGTCCTGGACCAACTGGGATCCATTGCACCACTAGTTTTAACACAAGAGATAAACAGTGTTGTCCTGTATGTATTCCTTGACTAGCAGAAAGATAGCACTGATAGCAAAATTAAACAATTGACTTTGCTCCATATCTGCCCCAATCATTTTAGTTCATTTCATTCAGCTCCTCATGTCCTATAGTAACCCTCACTGGTACTGCATTGTACTTCTTCCTTCTTCTTACCTCCTCCCTCTCCTCTTTACTTGCCGTCTACTACACATACAAAGTTTCAAAACACAGAAACTTTAAAAAATAAAATAAAAATCCTGTTGTGAACTGATGCAGAATTCTGACAAATAAAAAAATTAGATCTGGTGACGGTGTCAACAGGCAGAAGTCAAATAAACTCATAAATACACCACTGCTGTCATGACTGTGGGTGTGAAAAAGAAACTGTTTCTGTGGTCAGAGGTTGTTGTCCACCCTGTTTTCTTCATTGGTGAAACTTGTGACTTCCTCTCAATTTAAAAAAAAAAACTTGAACTTGAAAGCAGAAGAAGTTTTCCAGCATTAGAATAAAGTCCACACTGCAGAGCAGACCTTCAAAGAAACAGCTAGTATCCTTGTAAACGATGGAGGGAATCTACGCCAATGTTGATTATGAAAAACCTGCCGACAAAAGACCCTCGATACATGAGAATGGTAAGAGTGTTTAGTCAGACTAAACTATTCAGAAACTTTTATATTTTAACAACACTATTACACTTTCTTCAAGGTCCATTCAGTGCTGCAGGTCCAAGGAGCTCACAGAAAAATCGGGGAGGTGTCATTTGGTTTCTGGGGCTGCTGAGTCTTCTCCTGCTGGCTGGGATCGTCGCCCTTGGTGTCCACTGTGAGTGTGTGCAGTTTAATTATAAAGACTAAAGGTCCTTACACACAAGGAACGACGCGAAATTACGAAATATTCGGAGGCGAATTTTGACGTGCCTGACTATACACGTCAAGTGCGATGCGATTTTGCGGGTGGAAGCGAGAAGACTAACAGCAGACTGACTGATTTTCAGTTCTGATTACACACCAGTGTTGAGATGTCTGTCTGTCATGATAGCATGTACTGAGTCAGGGCCAGTACCAGATAAGCACATTAAACTATAATCCATAAACGTAAGATAACAACCGAGACCTAATGGCGCTGTGACAGCGCGTGATTGAGTTTGCGACAGTGAAAATACACATGGTATGTCGTATCTGAACAGGTTAGCTTACGAGCTAAAGTTACTTAGCACAGATAAAAGTTAAAACAAAGACGTTTAGCAAACTGTTAACGCACACAAATCATCGTCATATGAGAGATCCGACGCTATGACTCTCCACAAGTTGTCGTTATCTTTGTAATGATTGTGTCTTTTATCAAAAAGCACTCTGTTCTCCAACACGTAAACAATCAGCTGGTCGGCCATGTTGGATATATCGCAGGACGTCGCTGATGTGAATGCTTGTATTGACAGGATACAGGTTTGAATTAAAATATTGACGTCCGAAATAATCGCACAAAAAAACGCTCCATGTGTGTGTAAGGACCTTAAATCAAAAATATTCTACATTCACTCCACAAATAGAAGATTCAGTACAGTTTTTAATCCGTGTTTAAGCATAAGCATCCGTGTTTAACAGTAAACCTCAAATTCTCACTCTGTGTGCGCTTGTGTGTGTGTGTGTGTGTGTGTGTGTGTGTGTGTGTGTGTGTGTGTGTGTGTGTGTGTGTGTGTGTGTGTGTGTGTGTGTATGTGGATGAGTAAGGGTGTGCCTGTGTCTTTGTGGGTGTATGGGTGAGAGGGTCAGGTTTTATTGTTGTTTTTAGAGCTATATTTTTTGTTTGAAAAGTGCCAAACAAATAAAGTTGAATTTGAATTTGAATTTGAAGTTAATGTATGGTATGAATTGATCAGTCTCAGAATAGTTGCTGGAAAAACTGTCAAGAGACGTTGTCTTACGAGGAAATTTCTACTAACATTACTTTTGATACATGAAGTTTTGTCTTTGATTTATTTCAGGCCACATCTCAGCTCGGGATTCATATTCTGAGTTCTCTACCATCGTAGCCAATCTCACTGAGCGTCTGTCTTCCCTGACTGAGCAGAGAGACCTGCTGAACGTCAGCCTCTCTGAAATGACTAAAGAGCTGCAGTGCTTGAGTGAGTGCTCGTCCTCTGTGGTTTCTGCACACAGGTGCCTGTGAGCATAGAGGTCTAAATAAACCACAGTGAGAGAACTTGACACAGTTACACTTTTTTTTTTTAATTGCCACAGTCTCAGAGTCAACAGAATATATACTTGAACAAGTTGTTTTGTAAAAATCATAATGTTCATTCCTAGTTATGTGGATGAATCTTCCAGGGAATTCATGGGAAAGACTATGAAGATGGCTGTTAGTATTAACATATTTTAGGGTCTTCTGCTCAGGCATGTCTTTTGTTGGTGATTTACAGAGAAAACTTGTCCGCCAGAATGGAGGATGTTTGGGTGCTCCTGTTACTTCTTCTCCAAAAAGTCTGCATCTTGGGAAGAGACAGAGAAGCAGATCTGGTGATCATAAACAGTGTGGAAGAACAGGTAGTGAGCTCTGCACAAAGATGAACTCATGCAGGTTAAATCATATTTGGACATTTTTCACGATTATTTTCCAACAATGACTTTTTTCACTTCGGTCTTTAGTATAAATAGCATTTTAATAGCATTGTGAGTCCAATTATTTTGTATTTCCATCCAGTCTTGAAGTCTATATGAACAACCGATTCTTTCCAGGGTCTTAATTTGAATATTGTGATCGACTTTCTGGATATTACACCTCTTGGTCTTCAGAGAGTGTGAAATGGTCCTCTTGGTCTCTTAACAGACACTAACTTCTTGGTTAAAGTTTGGGACCCTCTGTTCTGAATGCTTTAAAAATGTAGTTTTATTTGTTCAATGTAATTGTGCTAATATATTCTCAGACACATTTCTGTTTTTACCTTCTACAGCACTTTCTCTTTAATGCCACAGAAAATGCAGCATGGATTGGTTTGAGTGACCGAGCTGAAGAGGGGACCTGGAAATGGATAGATGACACTCCTCTTAATCTCACGTAAGACAACAGGGAATGTTTTACACTTGAGTTAAACTCAGGCACATGTTCAACTGCTTCTATGGATTGCTGGACTGCTAATTTTTAATTGTCCTCTCAGTTAGTTAAACCTGCTACACTATATTGTTGACAAATTTCATTGTTCATTATAAAAACTTAATTTTTGCGTCAAATCTTTTGGGGCCAATTGAGGATGGTAAAAAAAATCCAGTGAAAGCTCTTTTTCACGTTAATCTCTGACAGGTTCTGGCCGGAGGATCAGCCTGATAATGGTGCTAATCCAACAGTTGAGGAAGACTGTATTCATCTCAGAGCTGGAAGGACAAAAGTGGAAAACTGGAACGATGGACAATGTACTTGGTCTCTGCACTGGATCTGTGAAAAGCTAGTAACATAATGAGCAAGCTGGAGTAATAAAGATAATATATTATAATAAGGTAAAATAAAGATTTTCACTTGTTGTATGATAAAAAAAAATATGTATATGCACTCATCATTTGTTGCAATTTTCTTTCATGTTGCTTCTTGGACTGGCTGCCACAAGTTTATCTAATAAAAGTCTTTAAAAGAAGTAAATGTAAAGAAGTTCTTGAAATGTAATTTTTACCCCTGAAATTGCGGTATGCATAAAAAATTCTTGGAATTGTGAGAAAAAGCTCAAAATTCTTACTTTGATCTCAGAATTCCAACTGTAATCTCAGAATTGTGACTTTAATCGTAGAATTCTGAGTTTAAAGTCAGAAATTTGACTTTTATTTCAGAATTTCGACTTTTTTTAAATAATAAATAATAATTAAAAAAAATATATATCAAAAATTGTTTATTCAGTAGCCCTCATCTTCTTTCGTACCATTATGTCACCATAAAATTAATAATTTTCTCAATTCTTACCTGGTAGTATAAAATGTCTTTCAGAAGAACAAAAAGATATTTCTTGGGAATCTTATCACAAAAAATAATCTAATGTTCTCTGCATTATAATCTAAGTAAATAGTTCAGAAATGCTTAATTTCATCACTTATACAGATGCTTGGATATCTCAACACTTGCCTGCTCTCAAAGTTGTTGCCTAGTTTGTTAAGGGTACTGGTGGGTCTAGCACAGGTTAGCTAAAAGATCCTGTGAGAAAAAAAGTGATTGAGAAACAAACTGTATAACATCATCTTGCATGTTTCCTGTGGCAAAAACGTCCCCTGTGCCTATTAGTGAGACTGTTTATCTCCAGAAATATCACATTAACTCGTTTATCTCCACATTTCCACTGATTGTAAAGTAAGAGTCCTTTCTATGTCAGATTTTCAGTTTCCTTTATGTCTGTGCACCTAATTTAAGATGATGCCAGTTTCATTCAGCTCCTCGTGCCTTTGTAGCTCTTTCACTGGTTCTGCATTCTGTCTCTAATGTGAGTTCAGTGGAAACAGGTTGCAGTGTTTGCGGTGAGTGGTTTTTATTCAAATAATTTTTATCACATTGCATATTTAAGAACATATGACTTCCTCGTAAGTGGATAAAAGCCTGACCCAGAAAGCAGAAGAAGTTTTACAGCATTCAGACTCTGTCCATGCTGCAGACCAGACCTTTAGGAAACAGCCAGCATCTTTTGGAGCAATGGAGGAAATCTATGCCAATGTTGAGAAGAAAGACAAAACTGTTACACCTGTTGACTGCATACATCAGACAGGTGAGAGTGTTCAGTCTGAGCTAAGTAAAGACACACATTTCCTCCTTACATTTCCTGTACAGTCTGCTCTGTGTTTCAGGTCCAAGGAGCTCAAAGAGGAGATTTCATGAAGCTGCTATTTGGTTTTTGGGGCTGCTGAGTCTTCTCCTGCATGCTGGGGTCATCGCCCTTGGCGTCTACTGTGAGTCAGTTTTTTATTATTTTAAATTATTACTTGGAAACTTGTTTTTAAGAATTCATGTTCTCCTGTAAAGCATCCACTTAACCAAGTTATCTTGTCCTTGCTTCTGGCCTCTCTATTTTCCTTTGCAAACTTTTTCTTTACCTTCACATTTTAGGTGTTTTGAAAATCATGATAGTTTACGGGGGCTTTCTGGAATCAAATCACATTATTCTGGTGACTCTAAGCAGAAAAAAACATTCAGCAAGAATTGGTGAAGTCTGAAGCACTCTTGTTTTAAACCATTGACAATTTCTTGGTTGTCACAGTGTCTACATCTCAACCTGATGACACATTCTGATGCAATTCAGCATAAACCTTTTTTTAAAGAATACATTTAACATTGACTCTGAAATGGAGAATTAGTGCCATTTTGAAACATAACTCTTTATTAGTTACATTTAACAAGCACACCTTTTTGTTTCGCACTGAATTTCCTTTTTTATGTACACTAAAAAACAAAGTTGTTTCCTGACAGTGGTTTGCAGTATAACATTAGGTCAAGATGATCTGTTTCAATATATTTGCAAGAAAAGGACATCACCTCCACAATGAGATACTGCATCTCCTGTGTCTGGATTTGTCATCCCTTCATAACAAGAAGTGGTGAACTGATGTAGTTAAAAAAATACTTAATAATCTTAAACTTCTGAGAACAGGGGGAACATTGGATAATGTTTTGACAAAAAAATAATTTCATCCAGGATGGAAATCCTGAAATAAATCCTGGATGTTCATAAAATATGTATCTTCAATTCATTTCAGGCTACATCTCAACTCGGGATTCATCTGCAGAGTTCTCTACCGTCATAGCCAATCTTACTGAGCGTCTGTCCTCCCTGACTGAACAGACAGACCTGCTGAATGTCAGCCTCTCTGAAGTGTCCAAAGAGCTGCACTGTTTGAGTGAGTGCTCTTCCTCTGTGGTTTCTGCACACAGTTTAGAGCTGAGAACAAACCACATTGTCATTTTTCAAAGACCATGACTGATTTTGACCCTAACTTCTGTTTATTTGCCTTGAAATTCATAGGAAAATAAACTGTATGTGCAAATGTAAATCATAAAACAAATGGTTCTATGTCTGTTTGGATGAGTTTCACATCCTCATAAATAATTGGACCTGCTTTTCAACTTCTTCATATAGTTCATTCCTACTCATGTGGGGTGAACCCTTCCAGGGAAACTAGACCCTAAACAAATTTACACAAATATGTAGTTCTCACATTTTAGCAATGACCACCAAAATCTGCCAAATTAGGCTCCTAAATTAAATCTCTAGGTTCAGATTTTCAACCAAACAGCCAAATAATGTGTTAGTATGAGTAATAATGTGTCATAATTTAATGCAAAACTAATAACAGCATCTTTGTAATTCCGGGTCTCATAACACAGAACAACTTCCACAACTTTAACCAGTTATAAAATGTAATTAATACAATTATTATGAAACGTTTCCAAAAATAAAGTATTTAATTGTTCAACCTTACAGGTTAGTGGGTCATTGTTTGCTGTTTCTTGTCTGTTTTTGAAAACTTATCTTTGTCCATTCTTTTTTTCAGAGAAACAGTGTCCTCCAGGATGGACCATGTTTGGATGTTCCTGTTATTTCTTCTCCACACAGAAAAAGTCTTGGGATGACAGCAGAGCAGACTGTAGAGACAAAGGAGCAGATCTGGTTGTCATAGAAAGTTTAGAAGAACAGGTAATGTATTTACCGGGGAGTTTTCAGGGACAAACTAGTGACTCAAGAACTGACTCAACATGTCTTCTCACTCTGTTCAGTCTTAATCTACAATCTAAGATTAAACGCCATAAAGTTTCCCAGAGGCAAAATGAAAACATGTTGAGCTCCCCCTACTGACTGGCTGCAGTAAAGGTGTTTACAATTGGATATCATTTCTTGAAACGATAAATGTTGCTATATTTTCATAGATTTGTCCTTCTTGATTCATTTAAACTTACGTTTAAAGCTTTAAAGCACTTACAATAATAATTTTAAAACAAAATAATGTGTTGAATTTTTGTCCACCATAGTTACCATTTATTTAAAAACTGTTTTCTAAAAAGAAAAGCACAAAAAGACAGAAATAAATGCAGAACGTGTTCATGTGACTCTCATTTTACATATTTATGTTTAAAAAATTGAGAAAAATTTGGGCACACATTGGTGTTAACTAAAATATAATAAATACAGGTTTTATATCTTCTACAGGAATTCCTCACTAATAATAATCAAGGAGGGGCTTGGATTGGTTTGAGTGATAGAGATGATGAAGGGACCTGGAAATGGATAGATGACACTCCACTGACTCAGGGGTAAGAAGCACTGTAGATGTTAAACACCTTGGTTTGTATTCAGGCTTCATATTTTCTATGATGATCTTGACAATTTTGACAATCAAACAATTAAAGGGACAACATTTTCTTTTGACAATGTTTCTGGAAAAATGAGAACTCTCCTATATCTTGAAAAAAAATAATAACTTCGCGAATTCACTGTCCTGTCTCTCCCTTGTAGGTTCTGGTGGAGCAAGCAGCCCGATAACGGTGGTGGAGATCCACGGTGGGGGGAAGAAGACTGTGCTCATTTTTGGGCCATCAGGAGCAAAGTGAAAAACTGGAATGATCGAAAGTGTGATGTGACCATGCTGTGGATCTGTGAAAAATAGCTTATAGGAGTGCAAATACATCAATGTAGAGATGTTTTGTTCAAATGAAGACCTCTGAGTTTTACTTTGGTGTGGTATAGGAAGCGGTCATGGGCGGGGGGAAGTTGCATTTTGTGTGATAAGCAACTTCATAATCACACATTCAGCATTGTGTCAGGGTGGGACCTGTGATAACAGAGGCTATGTATTATGCTGCTGTGTATATCTGCTATTTGGGTCTGAAAGTGTTATAGCACACTTTTTTTATTTTTAAAGAATCACCTTCTAGTGATTGTTTTTCATGCTTTTATTTTGGTAATTTTCTACGTGTATTTCAGTTGATTCATTCCTGCGTAACAAGAAAATGCTTTTATTTTGAAGCAATTTTGGCAAAATGTATGTTAAAAATGGGTTTAAGAAAAAACTTAACAGAACAGTTAGAAAGTAAAATAAAATTTAAAAAAAAATTATTCATCACAGAGGCACATGCCATTACATTGTTTTTGGATTCACATTGAGTCTTTAAAGAACTAAATTAATACATTTTCAAAAAAGTAAGAGAGGCTACAGCTAGATCACTAGCATTCCTGTTTCCTCTTCTACTTCCTCTTTCAATTTTGTTTGTTTCCCTTATTTACTGTCTCTTCAACTACTTACTTGAACAGCTGGCTCACTAAAGCTGGAAAAACTGGATCCTGCAGACATGATAATATAAAGCCATCACACAGTTACAAGTGTGGGTCAAGATAAAGGTGAGAACATCGACAAACTCAGGTTATATTTAAACCTACATGTCATCTGACATGAAGGACTGGACTATGCTGTTCTTGTCTCAGTTCACAAACACTGGGCAACAAGTGAATTATAAACAGAAGCACATCTGCCAACTTAACAGTAGGTGGCGTCGTGCCCCTTTTCTGCTCATAACTACTTGACCTACGACATCATGTACCAAACAGTCATGTTGGTAAGAGGCTAACGGGTTGTTCATTGAACAGTAAGATATCCTGTGACTTTGACATGAGACAGCTTTGCATTTTTTGATGTCCTTTCTTTTTCTGTCAAAGTTTTTTTTTTTACTACTTGGTTTCCTTTCATTATCTGGTTATGTTAGTCCAACTTGGAAAAGTTGGATTTAGTTCAGACTAACATGTTTACATGTTGGACTAAAACCATTGATCAATTTTCTCTTAACAGCATATAAAAATCCTGACTTTGTAAAATGTTGATGGCAGATTTTTACGGTTTTTAAATTATCTAAACTCTAGATTTTGATGGAAACAGTACAAAGACAAAAAAAATCTAATTTTGAAATTAAAAAGTTTATTTTTTTTGTTCAAAAATGTACACTCAGTTTAAATTTGATTCCAGCAACATGTTTCAAAAAAGTTGAAACATACAATAAAACTCTGAAAAAACAAACAAACTTAAAAGCACTCATGGAGGAACACCTCCCAACTGATCACATTAATATGCAACAGGTTATTGGATTGAATGGAAGTAAAAGGTTGATAACAGGGAGGCTCAGTCTCTGTATGAAAAACATCACCACTCTATGAGGGACAGAGTGAGCAAGAAGTTCAACAAATTTAACAAAAATAAGATTTAAACAGAAAAAATTTTCATAAAACTTTTATTATTTTTTTTGTGAAAAAAGACGCTTTTTCCAAATCTGATAGCAGCATCAAGTTTTAAAAAGTTGAAAAATTCCCCTCTCCAATCTTTTTCTTCTTTTTTTCTTCTTCTCCTTTTTCTTTTTCTTCATTTTTTTTTTCTTCTCCTCTTGATTTAGGATTCTCCAAATAAAAATGAAAGTCAGAAATACTCCACCAGTTACCCAAAGCTTTTTTGTCGCTGTGGTTTCCATCCTTGCTGTTGTCCACCTTCAGCTCTTGGGTCTCAATCTTCTTAAGGAAAGGCTCACAGATGGCTTCTGCTCTTTTTTCTGCAATTTTTTCCAGCCTGGTTTTCAAATGGCTGCTCACCTTCTCTTCCAAAAGGTCTTCATAAACCCCTCTGTAGTAGGGAAGAGGTGGTTGTTCGGAACGGCAATATCCATGGAATTTCTTACTCCTAACACAATAACTAAACATGTATTCACAAAAGCACCAGAAACCTGCAAAGAAAATGATGGCATAGAAGCCGTAGTTCTGAAAAGAAAAACACAAAAGAGTTAAAGATGGTCACTCATTTTTATCTGACATTTTATTATTTTCAATCAGTTAAGTCCATCTGTCCTATCATCTGTCTGTCTGTACCTTTGTCTGTCTGTCTGTCTGTCTGTCTGTCTGTCTGTCATCCATGAATTTTACTGACCTTTGAAAAATAGACGCTTATTTTAAAGCTCCTGTGAGCTGTTTTTTAATGTGTGTGCAACAAACCAAAACTCATATATGTGCCTTTTTATGATATATAAAAATATACAAGAACATTTCTTTCAGCTGACATTGCCTCAGGTCAGAGCAAGTGGGCAGGTGTCAGCCAAGCAGCCGTAGAAACATATAATAATTAATAATCAAACATTTAATAATTTCTGAATGGATGAGATTTTTTTTGCCTAAAGACACAACTCAAACATGTGGAGGACATTATTTGCAAAGACAACCACAATAGGACAAGGACAACAAGGCTGGACTAAAACACCTGCATTATCATAATGAAAACACTTAAAGATATTTCCCCCAACCAGTGACATGAGAGCCACTGTGATCCTGGAATAACGTTCCTGAGCGTTAAATTACCCAAAATGTTTGGATTCTTATCAACCAGGGTAAAAATTTTATAATAGATAGATAGGTGATTCAATTATTTAGTAAAATTCAACAAATCTTTTCCATATGAGCAGAGACACTTAGATGTTTTTATCTCTCAATAAATTTCATGTTCCAGCAATCTTAATAATATGGTTAAAAGCTAAGTCATGTTACTTACTATCGATGCAGTCTTAATATCATCTTTGATGCGGTTCTCCGTGTAAGTCAGGTTTGACCTGCAAGGAATTCCAGTTTGGGAAGGGTCCTTGTTTGTCCATAGGCACAATAACCAGTCACCGTCAAAGAGAACAGCGGTGAACCATATGACTAACAGAATGAAAAAGTCCATCCCGAACTTAAGAAAACTTCTGAGGCAAACATTTCCATGCTGAAAACACCAATGTGAAAAAATCCTCCTCCGGTGGATGGGCTTAGTGATGTTGACCAACCAGGCGAGAATGACAGGAGGGAGAAAAATGTACAGTAGACCATTCAGATATTCACCCTCTTTGCATGAGCACACAAAATCGACATTAAATAGGTATTGCACTATGAAGAAGATGCCAATCAACAGGACTGCACTCATAGCATGAGTGAAAACTGTGACGAGCCTTTGAGGAAAATCGTGAGTGAAATGAGGCATGCTGGTAAAAATGTCAGATATTCTGTTGAAAAACAGCTCCAAGTTTGTTTGTTTTTTGCCTGCCCTGAAAAGACTTAGCCTACACAGCCGATGAAACTCTCTATTCTAATAACTGAGAGAGGAGGTTTCAATTTTATACCCAGAAATGAAAGGAGAACAGAGTGAGAATGTTTTGACCTCATCAACCAGCCTCCAGTATTTGCATGATCGAGACATTTTACTTTCTCTTTTGAAGCCAAAACAAAGCCACAAAGGACATATAAACTTATTGAGAGCACCAATAGTGAAAAGGTCCTTTTACAACAAATCATTATACCATTAATTTTCTAATCAACAGGCAGAAATGCTTCACAAAATTCAGAATCTAAAAGAGTTTCCCCTCTAAACTTTATTTTTGGTGTGATTCTGGAGAGATCCCTAGGGTTTCTAGAAATGGAAATTTTACCTTTCCTCATTTGTCAGAGATGTATGTGCATGTTCAAGTTGTATCATGTTATCCCAAGGTGATCCAGTCGGTTATGGATGATGATACAGATTTTTCTCCAGGCTTTGTGCTCATGGAAAGTCCCTGAGGTCTGTTAACTTTGTCTCTGATTTTCTCTCTGGGGGAACCTATCTGCAGGACATGTCCTGTCTCTGGTGCTTGTGTCAATGGAAAACCCACGGCTATTTTTTCATCTGTTGTCCACATCAAAGTTTATGGAACTACACTCAATAAAAGACATCAAACTCTAGGTATGAGATTACACCTAAATGAATACTCACCACCCTCTCATGTATCTGCGGCATCTTTAGCGTGTCTAGATACTGAAACAAAACAATGCAAAAATGCCAACACTTATTTTCCCATGGTGCTGTTCTCTAATTTGGTTAGACTTTGCACACATTACATCTGTCACATGAAGACTTGTGGTTGGCAAAACTTCCTTGCGGTCATAAAATGTGCTTGCGCCTCAGCTCTATCGGGTGATTTCCAGTAAAACCAGATGGAACCAAACCTCGGAGCTCAGCACAGAATAACCTCTTCTCAAAGATTGAAGAACAACTTCTCTTTTAACTCAAGAATGAAATTAGACTCCTGCCAAGTTTAGGGCCTCTGTCTGATTCAAAATGATTTGGTCAAAGCTTTTGTCCTGTCACTGAAGATGTAAGTTTGGGCATTGCTGTATACAGGTAATGAGCATAAAAGTAGACTTAATGTTGAAAGAAGGCAATGAATTACATGTCATGAGAAGAATTTTAAAAAAAAATCGTGATCAATAAAATCAAAATTCTCATCCACAAGATGAGCTGCTGAAGAAACAACTCTGTCTTTACAATTTTCATTTAAACTGTTCTCATTAAATGAAACATTCAACTATCAAAAGTCAACATGATAAGATTTTTATCTAGTATTGTTTTTGCCGGCCTGTTTTAATTTTGGTTTTAGTCTAGTCTTTGTGTCAAACTGTCATTTTTGGTTTTTATTAGTTTTAGTCGCGTTCAAACTCACTTTTTTTTCACCAAGTTTTAGTCGACTAAAACTCTGAGTATTTTAGTCTAGCTTTAGTCAGAATATCCCATGACTATTTTAGTCTAGATTTAGTCACAAAAACCCATGACTATTTTAGTCAAGTTTTAGTCGACTAAAACTCTAGCATTTAGTCGGCAAAAACTGATGACGTTTTAGTCTAGTATTAGTCAATGATTTTAATCTCTTTTTAGTAACGGAATTCTGTTTAACCCAGTTAAAATAGTATAATTACCTAGTTAAGTATAGAACAGATAAAACCAAATTTTTATTGGAGTCAAACCAACCGCAAATCAAACGCGGTTATTTTATTGTTATTGTATTGTTACCTTATAGACTACATCTATTCCAGACGTAGAAGATGCTCTGCTGAGCAGACTGCTCAACATATTTATTTAACCAAACATGTAGGTACACACACGTGAATTTAAATCAAATAAATAAATGAAATACTGTAGCATCATATGACTGACAACACGCACTAGACACGTGCTAAACACACACGCTAGGCTAGATACATGCTACACACACATGCACGCTAGACACACGCTAGACACACACTACACACACGCTAGGCTAGACACAGGCTAAATACACACAGGCGCGCTGGACACACGCTGTCTTAACTAAGCTTGAGTTCAGCATGGAAGACCATGGGCTCTATTTTCTTGCCCGCCGGCAGTGCAGCAGACGGTGGCGCACCCCGGCAGGCAGTGGTATTTTCGTCTGCGTGTTTCCTGTGGCACAAACGTCCCCTGTGCCTATTAGTAAGACTGTTTATCTCCATAAATATCTCATTAACTCGTTTATCTCCACATTTCCACCAATCGTAAAGTAAGAGTCCTTTCTATGTCAGATTTTCAGTTTCCTTCATGTCTGTGCTCCTGATTAAAGATGATGCTAGTTTCATTCAGCTCCTCGTGCCTTTGTAGCTCTTTCACTGGTTCTGCATTCTGTCTCTAATGTTAGTTCAGTGGAAACAGGCCGCAGTGTTTGTGGTGAGTGGTTTTTATTCACACTTTTTTCATCACGTCGCATATTTGTGAATGTATGACTTCCTCGTAAATGAAGAAAAGCCTGACCCAGAGAGCAGAAGAAGTTTTACAGCATTCAGACTCTGTCCATGCTGCAGACCAGACCTTTAGGAAACAGCCAGCATCTCTTGGAGCAATGGAGGAAATCTATGTCAATGTTGAGATGACGGACAAAACTGTTAAACCTGTTGACTGCATACATCAGACAGGTGAGAATGTTCAGTCTGAGCTAAGTAAAGACACACATTTCCTCCATACATTTCCTGTACAGTCTGCTCTGTGTTTCAGATCCAAGGAGCTCAAAGGGTAGATTTCATGAAGCTGTTATTTGGTTTTTGGGGCTGCTGAGTCTTCTCCTGCTGGCTGGGGTCATCGCCCTTGGAGTCTACTGTGAGTCAGTATTTGTATGATTTTAAATCATTAGTTGGAAACTTGTTTTTAAGAGTTCATGTTCTCCTGTAAAGCATCCACGTAACCACGTTATCTTGTCCTTGCTGTTCTGGCCTCTCTATTTTCCTTTGCAAACTTTTTCTTTACGTTCACATTTTAGGTGTTTTGAAAATCATGATAGTTTACGGGGGCTTTCTGGAATCAAATCACATTATTCTGGTGACTCTAAGCAGAAAAAAAACATTCAGCAAAAATTAGTGAAGTCTGATGCACTCTCGTTTTAAACCATAAAGAATACATTTAACATTGACTTTGAGATATAATGCCATTTTAAAACATAACTCTTTATTAGTAAAGTTATATTTAACAAGCAAAATCAGTACAGATATATATCTGGTCATCTGTCACAACAGAGTATTTCTTAGAAACAAAAAAAGACAAACAAAAAAAAACAAAATTCTTTCCTTGCAGTGGTTTGCAGAATAATATTAGATCAATATCAATTGTTTCAATATCAATCAATCGATCGATCACTTTATTTATAAAGCACTTTTTATACATAAACTTGTATCACAAAGTGCTGTACACTTTGGGAACACAAAATAAAATACAAAATAAATTACCAACTGCAAAACCCCACCTACCCTCCAAGCCAGCATTTAACAGAGACCCCCCCTCCCCCCACCCACACACCCACACACACACACACACACACACATACACATACACACACTGACAACCACCAAGACACCAAGTCAGGGCTCAACAGGAAGCCACAGAGGACCAAGGAAACGCTATCTTAAACTAAAATGGCGAAACACAGGAGCCGAGGCTAAACTGATAAAACCATGATAAAAAATAAAATGAAAAAAACAACAGCAATAATAATAATAATAATAATAATAATAATAATAATAATAATAATAATAATAATAACATATTATATAATAAAACTGTTTTAAAATCAAACAATAAAAGAAAGTAAACAAATAGTGTTAAAATATAAGGTAATAATTCTGGGACTAAAGTGGAGTAAAATACTTAAGATAAAAAGAGTAGACTAAAAGAGAGGCTAGAAGAATAAAACAATAATCAGCTAAAGGCCAGACTAAAAAGGAAGGTCTTGAGTTTGCGTTTAAAAATATGAACTGTAGGTGTCGCTCTCAGGCCTTCAGGCAGACTGTTCCACAGAGAGGGGCCATGATAATAAAACGATACTTCAACGTATGTTTTGGTTCTAACTTTGGGGACTATTAAAAGACCACTACCTGAAAACCTGAGGGCTCTACTGGGCTCATATCGTAAAAGCAAATCAGATGAATAAGAAGGACCAAGACCATTAAGACATTTATAAACTAATAAAAGAATCTTAAAATGAATTCTAAAAGATACAGGAAGCAAGTGCGTAGACTTTAAAATTGGTGTAATGTGGGCTCTTCTCCTCGTCTTCGTCAGCATGGCCAATATATTTGCAGGAAAAGGACATCACCTCCAAAATGAGATACTGCATCTCCTGGGCCTATCCTTCAATGGATAGATTTTAAAAATCCGCAAAAATTGTTACTCAAGTGTCTGAATTTTTCATCTCTTCATAACAAGAAGTGCTGGACTGATGTAGTTAAAAAATACTTAATAATCTTAAACTTATTTGCTAATGTTTTGACAAAAAAATCAGTTTAATCCAGGATGCATGGGGTTTTAAATGTTCATAAAATATGTATCTTTTATTCATTCCAGGCTACATCTCAACCCGGGATTCTTCTGCAGAGTTCTCTACCGTCATAGCCAATCTTACTGAGCGTCTGTCCTCCCTGACCGAACAGAGAGACCTGCTGAATGTCAGCCTCTCTGAAGTGTCCAAAGAGCTGCACTGTTTGAGTGAGTGCTCTTCCTCTGTGGTTTCTGCACACAGTTTAGAGCTGAGAACAAACCACATAAGCATTTTTCATGACCATGTCTGATTTTGACTCTAACTTCTGTTTATTTGCCTTGAAATTCATAGGAAAATGAACTGTATGTGCAAATGAAAATCAAAGACAAGACAAATGGCTCTACGTCTGGTTTATTTAGTGTTAGTTGCCACAGTCTCAGAGCAACATTATCTATGTTTTGATGAGATTCACATCCTCATAAAAAAATTGGACCTGCTTTTCAACTTCTTCATGAAGTTCATTCCTACTCATCTAACATAAAAAGTGGAACATAAAAGTAATAACGGGTGAAAACGATAGGGAGACAAAGAGGTAGACCTCTCAGGAGCTTCATATGTAACAAGTTAAAAGACTTTTTCCACATTTTAGAGCTTTCCAGAAAAAAGAGAAGGCTGACTCTTTTTATGAATCCAACACTTGCATGATATTGAGCACATTTACAAAGTCTTTATGACAGTCATGTAAAGAGCATACATTACAACTAGCAATGCTTATAACAGGGGTGTCAAAGTCAAATGGACGGAGGGCCAAATAAAAAATTTAGCTACAAGCCGAGGGCCGGACTGATCGAATGTTCATTGAAAATTTTTTAAATGACGCATATAGTCTAGTGAACCTAATTGAACCTACTGAAAACCTAACAAATATATTCCAGTATGATCAGCTAAATAAAGCAATATTTTCTTATGGCTCTGTCAGTAATCTTTAATTTTCAACAGACACAAAAGACAAATTTCCTTTATATAAAAATCCCCATAACATGAACATTAAATGAAAGAAACCGGTATTATTCAAGGCACCATCAGTAGCCTATATTTTCTATTTTAGCAAAAGTGGGCTAAATTTACTTCAAAGAAAAAAATAATAATAGCAATTTTCTATCATCCACTCAACTGAAATATTTTTAAAATATAATTGGATTGAAATACAATAAAATAAAGTGCAAAAATCTATTAATCAAAAACAACACTTTCTTCAAGGAGAAGTAACATGCAGTGAAAACAAATATTAAACTTTAACTTTTAAACTTGAAATGAGTAAAAACTCTAAATATGTGATTGCACAGTAATGTTCACTTGTTTGAGGTTGAGGGTGATACTTGGTGGTGTCCCATCATTTCCACAAGTTCATCAATGTTCGGGGTAAGGCTCTGAGCTGAGGAAATCCTCAGAATTGAGTGAAGGTGTTCAGCAGTAAGTCGACTTCTGTGTGATGTTTTGTTCAGGTTCATCAAAGAAAACAGTTGTTCACACAGGTATGTGCTGCCAAACATAGACAACGTTTGAGCAGCCTGGATGCGCAGCTGGGGCATTGTGTCGGGGAGGAAACGGGCAAACTCCGCTGTGTTAATAAATATTGAAATGAAGCAGCCTACTGCTCGGTGCGTCACCGTTGCATTGTGGGAAATGTAGTATTGGTGCGTGTAAAAGATCTGCGGGCTGCCGGCTTGCTGCGGTCTGCGGGCCGGTTCTAATAATAAATCAAGATCATCCCAGGGGCCGTAAAAAACCTTCTCGCGGGCCGGATGTGGCCCGCGGGCCTTGACTCTGACATATGTGGCTTATAAAGTGGACATACTACCTTTTAAGTTATGTGTAATAATGTGTCATAATTTAATTCAAAACTAATAACAGCATCTTTTTTTATTTCTGGGTCTCATAACACAGAACAACTCCCACAACTTAAACAAATTATAAAATGTAATTATCACAATTATTATAAAAATGTTTCCAAAAATAAAGTATTTAATTGTTCAACCCTACAGGTTAGTGGGTCATTGTTTGCTGTTTCTTGTCTGTTTTTGAAAACTTATCTTTGTCCTTTCTTTTTTTCAGAGAAAAAGTGTCCTCCAGGATGGACCATGTTTGGATGTTCCTGTTATTTCTTCTCCACACAGAAAAAGTCTTGGGATGACAGCAGAGCAGACTGTAGAGACAAAGGAGCAGATCTGGTTATCATAGAAAGTTTCACAGAACAGGTAATGTATTTACCGCGGAGTTTTCAGGGACAAACTGGTGACTCAAGAACTGACTCAACATGTCTTCTCACTCTGTTCAATCTTAATCTACAATCTAATTAATGTTTAATTACATTAATGTTTAAAGCTTTAAAGCACTTATATTAATAGTTTTAAAACAAAATAATGTGTTGAAGTTTTTGTCCACCATAGTTACTGTTTATTTAAAAACAGTTTTCTAAAAAAGAAAAGCACAAAAAAAACAGAAATAAATGCAGAACATGTTCATGTGACTCTCAATTTATGTTTAAAACATTGAGATAAATTTGGGCACAGGTTGGTGGAAACTAAAATATAATAAATACAAGGTTTTATATCTTCTACAGGAATTCCTCACTAATAATAAGAAAGGAGAGGCTTGGATTGGTTTGAGTGATAGAGATGATGAAGGGACCTGGAAATGGATAGATGACACTCCACTGACTCAGGGGTAAGAAGCACTGTGGATGTTAAACACCTTGGTTTGGATTCAGGCTTCATATTTTCTATGATGATCTTGACAATTTTGACAATCAAACAATTAAAGGGACAACATTTTCTTTTGACAATGTTTCTGGAAAAATGCTAACTCTCCTATATCTTCAAAAAAAATAACTTCACTGTCCTGTCTCTCCCTTGTAGGTTCTGGTGGTGGGAGCAGCCCAATAACGGTGGTGGAGATCCACAGTGGGGGGAAGAAGACTGTGCTCATTTAAGAGCCGATAAGAGCAAAGAGGACAACTGGAATGATCGCAAGTGTGATGTGACCATGTTTTGGATCTGTGAAAAATAGCTTATAGGAGTGCAAATACATCAATGTAGAGATCCTTTGTTCAAATGAAGAGCTCTGAGTTTACTTTGGTGTGGTATAGGAAGAGGTCATGGGCGGGGGGAAGTTGCATTTTGTGTGATAAGAAACTAAGTTGTGTCAGGGTGGGACCTGTGATCTTAGGGGCTCTCTCATTTTCTCAAATGTTTTCAAATGTTCTCTGGTGTCAAATGACACCAGACACCCCAGGCTTTCACCAACACTTTTGCCTCTCTACATTTGCTATGTGATGTATTATGCTGCTGTGTATATCTGCTATTTGGGTCTGAAAGTGGTATAGCACAAATTTAACTCAAATGTCATCGGCCATTTCTTACGGTGTTCAAATCCTTATTTATCTATATCACCAGCCCTGTGTCTAAAACTTTTTTAAAAGACATCACTTCATAAAGTGATTGTTTTTCATGCTTTTATTTTGGTCATTTTCTCTGTATTTCAGTTTATTTATTCCTGCATTACAAGGACATGCTTTTATTTTGTAGCAATTTTGTCAAAATGTACGTGATATATACATTAAAACTGGATAGAAAAAAAACTGTTAGAAAGTAAAATAGAATAATTAAATTCATCACAGAGGAACAAGTCACTACATTTTTTTTGGATTCACAATGAGTCTTTAAAGAACTAAATTAATACATTTAAAAAAGTAAGAGCAGCTACTGCTAGATCGCTCGCAGCTCCTGTTTCCTTGTCTTCTTTCTTCTGTTTTATGGCACATGGTGACCAGTATAAAGGACCATACACCAATCACTCATGTTATTACAGTAGGTTTATTTTTCGCACAAAGGTAACATTTAGTTTATTAAGGAGATGGTCATTTTGAGTTCCAGTATATTGCAGCAGGCCTAATTCAAACAAATTTAGGTTTGCTTTAATTTTTTTCATAAAGCTCCTGTGAGGAGTTTTTATGTTGATGAAATAGCCTAAAACTTATATTGATGTTTTTTCATATTTAAAAGCAGAAAAAAAAAGGGACAAGATCGACAATTTTGATGTCTTCATTTTTAATGCCTGAAACCAGTGCAAAGGGGAAGGCATCATCCAAGCAGCTTTACTTTTATGATTTCCACATAAAATATTTACTAGATAATTCATTTGACTGTCAAAACGCAGCAGGATGCAATCTATTAGTCAGAGGTCACGACTGAAGTATCAAGATCACTGATTCCTAAATTCCTTAAAGCAGCTTTAAGAGGAATTTCCTTCACCTTGGCCAAATACTCCAGATAGATTCCTCAAAAGGCACAACTACAGGATTAGGAAAAGCTAGATTCAAATCAATCAGTGATTGAAATACTTCAACAATTCAATTTTGTTTGTTTCCCTTATTTACTGTCTCTTAAACTACTTACTTGAACAGCTGGCTCAAGTAAAGCTGGAAAAACTGGATCCTGCAGACATGATAATATAAAGCCATCACACAGTTACAAGTGTGGGTCAAGATAAAGGTGAGAACATCGACAAACTCAGGTTATATTTAAACCTACATGTCGTCTGACATGAAGGACTGGACTATGCTGTTCTTGTCTCAGTTCACAAACACTGGGCAAAAAATGAATTATAAACAGAAGCACATCTGCCAACTTAACAGTAGGTGGCGTCATGCCCCTTTTCTGCTCATAACTACTTGACCTACGACATCATGTACCAAACAATCGTGTTGGTGAGGCTAACGGGTTGTTCATTGAACAGTAAGATATCCTGTGACTGTTAGTCGAACTTTGAAAAGTTGGATTTAGTTCAGACTGACATGTTTACATGTTGGACTAAAACCATTGATCAATTTTCTCTTAACAGCATAAAAACATCCTGACTTTGTAAAATGTTGATGGCAGATTTTTATGGTTTTTAAATTATTGAAACCCTAGATTTAGATGGAAACAGTACAAAGACAACAAATCAAATTTTAAATTAAAAGCTTATTATTTCTTTGTTCAAAAATATACACTCAGTTTAAATTTGATTCCAGCAACAGGTTTCAAAAAATTTGATCTACAGGATCAGATGACGTAGAGGCCATAGTTCTGGAAAGAAAGACACAAAAGTTTTAGATGGTCACTCAAAACTTCAAGAATCACAAAAGGTCAAGAAATTTTAAGTTTTAGTCAAACTAGTCAAAGTTACTTTCTGTTCTTCAACTTTAACAGAAAATAAAGGACAAACACAACTTTTGTGCTTATCAAGGAGCAGATTTGAAACGTGAACAAAAGCTCAGCTGTCCACGCTTTAATCAGCCAAATTCTACTGTTTTTCATTTCATACCAATGTATGTTTTCAACCATTATTTAAAAGGCAGCAGAGTGGGACTGCACAGGCAAAATGGCATTTTGATTTTCAATCAGTTAAGTCCATCTGTCCTATCGTCTGTCTGTTTGTCTGTCATTCATTCATGGGTTTTACTGACGTAGGAAAAATAGACGCTCATTTAAAAAAAAAAGCTGCATTATCATAATGAAAACACTTAAAGATATTTCCCCCAACTAGTGACATGTGACACAAGCCACTGTGATCCTGGAATAACATTCCTGAGCGTTAAATTACCAAAATTGTTTGGATTTTTATCAACTATGGTAAAAAAAAAATTGTAGACAGGTGATTTAATTATTTAGTAAAATTCTACAATATCTTTTCCATATACGGTTAATGGTTAAAAGCTAAGTTATGTTACTTACGATCAATTTAATCTTCATGTCAGCTTTGATGCGGCTCTCCATGTAAGTCAGGTTTGAACTGCAAGGAATTCCAGTTTGGGAAGGGTCCAGGTTTGTACTTATTCACAAGTACCAGTCTCCATCAAAGAGAACAGCGGTGATCCATATGACTCCCAGAATTACATAGTCTATCGGGAACTTAAGAAGACTGCTGAGGAAAACGTTTCCACACTGAAAACACCAGTGTGAAAAAATCCTCCTCTGGTGGATGGGCTCAGTGATGTTGACCAACCATGCAAGAATGACAGGAGGGAGAAAAATGTACAGTAGACCATTCAGATATTCACCCTCTTTGCACGAGCACACAAAATCCATGTCAAAAATGTATTGTAGTATGAAGAAGACGCCGATCAAAAGGACTGCACTCATAGCATGAGTGAAAACTGCGACGAGCCTTTGAGGAAAATCGTGAGTGAAATGAGGCATGCTGGTAAAAATGTCAGATATTCTGTTGAAAAACAGCTCCAAGTTTGTTTTTTTGCCTGCCCTGAAAAGACTTAGCCTGCACAGCCGATGAAACTCTCTATTCTAATGACTGAGAGAGGAGGTCTTAGTTTTATGCCCAGAAGTGAAAGGTGAACAGAGTGCCAATGTTTTGACCTCATCAAACCAGCCTCCAGTATTTGCATGATCGAGACATTTTGCTTTCTCTTTTGAAACCAAAACAAAACCACTAAAGACTTATAAGTGTATTGAGAGTACTAATAGTAAAAAGTTCCTTTTACAACAGATCATTATTTTCTAATCAACAGGCAGAAATACTTCACAAAATTCAGAATCTAAAAGAGTTTCCCCTCTAAACTCTATTTTTGGTGTGATTCTGGAGAGGTCCCTAAGGTTTCTAGAAATGGAAATTTTACCTTTCCTCATTTGTTAGAGATGTGTGTGCATGTTCAAGTTGTATCATGTTATCCCAAGATGATCCAGTTGGTCATGGATGATGATACAGATTTTTCTCCAGGCTTTGTGCTCATGGAAAGCTCCTGAGGTCTGATAACTGTCTCTATCTGATTTTCTCTCATCTTGTTGTCTGCATCAAAGTTTAAATGTTTAAAGAACTTCTCTCAGTAAGGGTATAACAATAGAAGACGTAAGACTCTAGGTATGAGATTACACCTAAAATGAATTCCCACCACCCTCTCATGTACCTGCAATGTCTTTAGCGGAAATGTGCATGTGGTTTTTGTGTGCGTCTAGATACTGAAACAAAACAATGCAAAAATACCAACACTTATTTTCCCATGGTGCTGTTTCTCTAATTTGGTTAGACTTTGCACGCATTACATCTGTCACATGAAGACTTGTGGTTGGCAAAACCTCCTTGCAGTTTTAAAATATGCCTGCGCCTCAGCTCTATCAGGTGATTTCCACTGAAAACAGATTGTACCAAACCTCAGAGCTCAGCACAGAATAACCTCTTCTCAAAGATTGAAGTACAACTTCTCTTCTAACTCAGGATTATAACCCTGAATGGACTTCGACTCCTGCCAAATTTAGGGCCTCTGTCTGATTAAAAAAATGATTTGGTCAAAGCTTTTGTCCTGTCACTGAAGATGTAATATGAAAGAAGGCAATGAATTACGTGTCATGTTTAGTCTAGTTTTAGTCGACAAAAACTGATGACGTTTTAGTCTAGTATTAGTCAATGATTTTAATCTCTTTTTAGTAATGTAATTCTGTGTAACCCAGTTAAAATAGTATAATTACCTAGTTAAGTATAGAACAGATAAAACCAAATTTTTAATTGAGTCAAATCAAACGCAGTTATTTTATTGTTATCGTATTGTTACCTTATAGACTACGTCTATTCCAAATGTGGAAGATGCTCTGCTGAGCAGACTGCTCAACATATTTTTTTAACCAAACATGTAGGTACTCACACGTGAATTTAAATCAAATAAATAAATGAAATACTGTAGCATCATATGACTGACAACACGCACTAGACACATGCTAAACACACACGCTAGGCTAGACACACGCTGTCTTAACTAAGCTTGAGTTCAGCACGGAAGACTGTGGGCTCTATTTTCGTGCCCGCTGGCGGTGCGGCAGACGGTGGCGCACCCCGCACAGTGGTATTTTCATCTGCCAGAGCCTGGCGCACTGCCAGTTTGGTATTTTCGTAGACTGAGGCGCACCAAGGTCCACCAAGCTGGGCGTGGTGGCGCGGTAGGTGGAGGTGTCAACAGAATCAGCTGGCACAGGGACATTTTCGTGCAGGCATGTCTTTTGTTGGTGATTTACAGAGAAAACTTGTCCGCCAGAATGGAGGATGTTTGGTTGCTCCTGTTACTTTTTCTCCACAAAGTCTGCATCTTGGGAAATGAGCAGGAAAGACTACAGAGACAGAGGAGCAGATCTGGTGATCATAAACAGTGTGGAAGAACAAGCTCTTTTGCTCAGAATTCCAACTTTAATCTTAGAATTTTGACTTTTCTCTCAGAATTCTGATTTTAATCTCAGAATTCTGACTTTTATTTCAGAATTCTGATTTTTTTTTTCCCCAAGATAATTCTTCAAAAACATATATCCAACCTTTTTTTGACAGTGGTAATGTTCTCTGCATTATAGTCTAAGTAAATAGTTTAGAAATGCTTAATTTCATCACTTATACAGATGCTTGTATATCTCAACACTTGCCTGCTCTCAAAGTTGTTGCCTAGTTTGTTAAGGGTACTGGTGGGTCCAGCACAGGTTAGCTAAAGGGATTGAGAAACATACTCTAAAACATCATCTTGCATGTTTCCTGTGGCACAAACGTCCCCTGTGCCTATTAGTAAGACTGTTTATCTCCATAAATATCTCATTAACTCGTTTATCTCCACATTTCCACCAATCGTAAAGTAAGAGTCCTTTCTATGTCAGATTTTCAGTTTCCTTCATGTCTGTGCTCCTGATTAAAGATGATGCTAGTTTCATTCAGCTCCTCGTGCCTTTGTAGCTCTTTCACTGGTTCTGCATTCTGTCTCTAATGTGAGTTCAGGGGAAACAGGCCGCAGTGTTTGTGGTGAGTGGTTTTTATTCACACTTTTTTCATCACGTCGCAAATTTGTGAATGTATGACTTCCTCATAAGTGGATAAAAGTCTGACCCAGAGAGCAGAAGAAGTTTTACAGCATTCAGACTCTGTCCATGCTGCAGACCAGACCTTTAGGAAACATCCAGTATCTTTTGGAGCAATGGAGGAAATCTATGTCAATGTTGAGATGAAAGACAAAACTGTTACACCTGTTGACTGCATACATCAGACAGGTGAGAGTGTTCAGTCTGAGCTAAGTAAAGACACACATTTCCTCCTTACATTTCCTGTACAGTCTGCTCTGCGTTTCAGGTCCAAGGAGCTCAAAGAGGAGATTTCATGAAGCTGCTATTTGGTTTTTGGGGCTGCTGAGTCTTCTCCTCCTTGCTGGGGTCATCGCCCTTGGAGTCTACTGTGAGTCAGTTTTTGTATTATTTTAAATCATTAGTTGGAAACTTGTTTTTAAGAGTTCATGTTCTCCTGTAAAGCATCCACTTAACCAAGTTATCTTGTCCTTGCTGTTCTGGCCTCTCTATTTTCCTTTGCAAACTTTTTCTTTATGCTCACATTTTAGGTGTTTTGAAAATCATGATAGTTTATGGGGGCTTTCTGGAATCAAATCACATTATTCTGGTGACTGAGCAAAAAAAACATTCAGCAAAAATAAGTGAAGTCTGATGCACTCTCGTTTTAAACCATTGACAATTTCTTGGTTGTCACAGTGTCTAGATCTCAACCTCATAACACCTTCTGATGCATTTCAGCATAAACCTTTTTTTAAAGAATACATTTAACATTGACTTTGAAATGGAGATATAATGCCATTTTAAAACACAACTCTTTATTAGTAAAGTTATTTTTTACAAGCAAAATCACAGATATATATCTGGTCATCTGTCACAACAGAGCATTTCTGAGAAACAAAAAAAGACAAAAAAAACAAAATTCTTTCCTTGCAGTGGTTTGCAGAATAATATTAGGTCAAGATGAGTTGTTTCAATATCAATCAATCAATCGATCACTTTATTTATAAAGCACTTTTCATACATAAACTTGTATCACAGAGTGCTGTACACTTTGGGAACACAAAATAAAATACAAAATAAAATACCAACTGCAAAACCCCACCCACAGCCCACATTTAACTGAGACCCCCCCCCCCCCCCCACACACACACACACACACACACACACACACACACACACACACATACACACACTGACAACCACCGAGACACCAAGTCAGGGCTCAACAGGAAGCCGCAGAGGACCAAGGAAATGCTATCTTAAACTAAAATGGCGAAACACAGGAGCTGAGGCTAAACTGATAAAACCATGACAAGATATAAAAATTAAATTAAAAAAAACAACAGCAATAATAATAATAATAATAATAATAATAATAGTAATAATAATAATAATAATAATAATAAAATATTATATAATAAAACTGTTTGAAAATCAAACAATAAAAGAAAGTAAACAAATAGTGTGAAAATATAAGGTAATAATTCTAGGACTAAAGTGGAGTAAAATACTTAAGATAAAAAGAGTAGACTAAAAGAGAGGCTAGAAGAATAAAACAATAATCAGCTAAAGGCCAGACTAAAAAGGAAGGTCTTGAGTTTGCGTTTAAAAAAATGAACTGTAGGTGTCGCTCTCAGGCCTTCAGGCAGACTGTTCCACAAACAGGGGCCATGATAATAAAACGATGCCTCACCGTATGTTTTGGTTCTAACTTTGGGGACTATTAAAAGACCACTACCTGAAAACCTGAGGGTTCTACTCGGCTCATATCGTAAAAGCAAATCAGATAAATGAGAAGGACCAAGACCATTAAGACATTTATAAACTAATAAAAGAACCTTAAAATGATACAGGAAGCCAATGCAGAGACTTTAAAACTGGTGTAATGTGGGCTCTTCTCCTTGTCTTTGTCAGCATGGAAAAGGACATCACCTCCAAACTGAGATACTACATCTTCTGGGCCTATCCTTCAATGAATAGATTTTAAAAATCTGCAAAAATTGTTACTCGAGTGTCTGGATTTGTCATCCCTTCATAACAAGAAGTGCTGAACTGATGTAGTTAAAAAATACTTCATAATCTTAAACTTATTGGCTAATGTTTTGACAAAAAATCAATTTAATCCAGGATGCCTGAGGTTTTAAATGTTCAGAAAATGTGTATCTTTAACTCATTCCAGGCTACATCTCAACCCGGGATTCATCTGCAGAGTTCTCTACCATCGTAGCCAATCTTACTGAGCGTCTGTCCTCCCTGACTGAACAGAGAGACCTGCTGAATGTCAGCCTCTCTGAAGTGTCCAAAGAGCTGCACTGTTTGAGTGAGTGCTCTTCCTCTGTGGTTTCTGCACAGTTTAGAGCTGAGAACTAACCACATAAGCATTTTTCATGACCATGACTGATTTTGACTCTCATTTCTGTTTATTTGCCTTGAAAATCATAGGAAAATGAACTGTATGTACAAATGAAAATCACAAGACAAATTGCTCTACGTCTGGTTTATTTAGTGTTAGTTGCCACAGTCTCAGAGCAACATAATCTATGTTTTGATGAGATTCACATCCTCATAAAAAAATTAGACCTGCTTTTTTACTTCTTCATGAAGTTCATTCCTACTCATCTCACAAAAGTATAATCTGAAGAGGTATTTCCACATTTTAGAGCTTTCCAGAAAAAAGAAGGCTGACTCTTTTTATGAATCCAACACTTGCATGACATTGAGCACATTTACAAAGTCCTTTCAAGGCTTTATGACAGTCATGTAAAGAGCATACATTACAACTAGCAATGTTTATGAAGTGGACATAATACCTTTTAAAGTTACGAGTAATAATGTGTCATAATTTAATGCAAAACTAATAACAGCATCTTTTTAATTCTGGGTCTCATAACACAGAACAACTTCCATAACTTTAACCAGTTATAAAATGTAATTATCACAATTATTATGAAACGTTTCCAAAAATAAAGTATTTAATTGTTCAACCTCACAGGTTCGTGGGTCATTGTTTGCTGTTTCTTGTCTGTTTTTGAAAACTTATCTTTGTCCTTTCTTTTTTTCTTCAGAGAAAAAGTGTCCTCCAGGATGGACCATGTTTGGATATTCCTGTTATTTCTTCTCCACACAGAAAAAGTCTTGGGATGACAGCAGAGCAGACTGTAGAGACAAAGGAGCAGATCTGGTTATCATAGAAAGTTTCACAGAACAGGTAATGTATTTACCGGGGAGTTTTCAGGGACAAACTAGTGACTCAAGAATTGACTCAACATGTCTTCTCACTCTGTTCAATCTTAATCTACAATCTACGATTAAACGCCGTAAAGTTTCCCAGAGGCAAAATGAAAACATGTTGAGCTCCCCCTATTGACTGGCTGCAGTAAAGGTGTTTACAATTGGATATCATTTCTTGAAACGATAATTGTTGCTATATTTTCATAGATTTGTCCTTCTTAATTCACTTAGATCTAACATTTAAAACTTTAAAGCACTTATATTAATAATTTTAAAACAAAATAATGTGTTGAAGTTTTTGTCCACCATAGTTACTCTTTATTTAAAAGCAGTTTTCTAAAAAGAAAAGTACAAAAAGACAGAAATAAATGCAGAACATGTTCATGTGACTCTCATTTTACATATTTATGTTTAAAACATTGAGAAAAATTTTGACACAGGTTGGTGTAAACTAAAATATAATAAACACAGGTTTTATATCTTCTACAGGAATTCCTCACTAATAATAAGAAAGGAGACACATGGATTGGTTTGAGTGATAGAGATGATGAAGGGACCTGGAAATGGATAGATGACACTCCACTGACTCAGGGGTAAGAAGCACTGTGGATGTTAAACACCTTGGTTTGTATTCAGGCTTCATATTTTCTATGATGATCTTGACAATTTTGACAATCAAACAATTAAAGGGACAACATTTTCTTTTAACAATGTTTCTGGAAAAATGAGAACTCTCCTATATCTTGAAAAAAAATAACTGAGCGAATTCACTGTCCTGTCTCTCCCTTGTAGGTTCTGGTGGAGGGAGCAGCCCGATAACGGTGGTGGATTTCCACAATATGGGGAAGAAGACTGTGCTCATCTAAGAGCCGACAGGAGCAAAGTGGACAATTGGAATGATCGCAGGTGTGATGTGACCATGCTGTGGATCTGTGAAAAATAGCTTATAAGAGTACAAATACATCAATGTAGAGATTTTTTGTTCAAATGAAGAGCTCTGAGTTAACTTTGGTGTGGTATAGGAAGAGGTCATGGGCGGGGGGAAGTTGCATTTTGTGTGATAAGAAACTAAGTTGTGTCAGGGTGGGACCTGTGATCTTAGGGGCTCTCTCATTTTCTCAAATGTTTTCAAATGTTCTCTGGTGTCAAATAACACCAGACACCCCAGGCTTTCACCAACACCTTTGCCTCTCTACATTTGCTATGTGATGTATTATGCTGCTGTGTATATCTGCTATTTGGGTCTTAAAGTGTTATAGCACACATTTAACTCAAATGTCATTGGCCATTTCTTACGGTGTTCAAATCCTTATTTATCCATATCACCAGCCCTGTGTCTAAAACTTTTTTTAAAAGACATCACTTCATAAAGTGATTGTTTTTCATGCTTTTATTTTGGTCATTTTCTCTGTATTTCAGTTGATTCATTCCTGCATTACAAGAACATGCTTTTATTTTGAAGCAATTTTGTCAAAAATGTACGTGATATATACATTAAAACTGGAAAAAGAAGAGTTAGAAAGTAAAATAGGAAAAAAAAATAGAAAAAAATAAAAAAGCTCCTGTGAGGAATTTTTTATGTTGATGAAATAGCCTAAAACTTATATTGATGTTTTTTCATATTTAAAAAGAAAAAAAAAGGGACAAGATTGACAGTTTTGATGTCTTCATTTTTAATTCCTAAAACCAGTGCAAGGGGGTAGGCATCATCCAAGCAGCTTTACTTTTATAATTTCCACATAAAATATTTACTAGATAATTCATTTGACTGTCAAAAGGCAGCAGGACGCAATCTATTAGTCAGAGGTCACGACTGAAGTATCTAATACAGTGATTTCTAAATTCTCTTAAAGCAGCTTGAGGAGGCATTTCCTTCACCTTGGCCAAATACTCTATACAGATTCCTTAAAAGGCACAACTACAGGATTAGAAAAAGCTAGATTCAAATCAATCAGTGATTGAAACAATTCAACAAGCAACCACAGTCATCTAATTTTTAAAAGTTCATCCTTTTTTTGTTAAAAAAAAAAAAAAGTCCACACTTTGTTTCTGCTTTTAACAGTATTTTGTTTTTGTTTTTTCTTATTTACTGTCTTTTCAACTACTTACTTGAACAGCTGGCTCAAGTAAAGCTGGAAAAACTGGATCCTGCAGACATGATAATATAAAGCCATCACACAGTTACAAGTGTGGGTCAAGATAAAGGTGAGAACATTGACAAACTCAGGTTATATTTAAACCTACATGTCGTCTAACATGAAGGACTGGACTATGCTGTTGTTGTCTCAGTTCACAAACACTGGGCAAAAAGTGAATTATAAACAGAAGCACATCTGCCAACTTAACAGTAGGTGGCGTCATGCCCCTTTTCTGTTCATAACTACTTGACCTACGACATCATGTACCAAACAATCGTGTTGATAAGAGGCAAACGGGTTGTTCATTGAACAGTAAGATATTCTGTGACTTTGACATGAGACAGCTTTGCATTTTTTGATGTCCTTTCTTTCTTCTGTCAAAGTTTTTTTTTGACTACTTGGTTTCCTTTCATTATCACGTAATCATATCATAACATGTTTACATGTTGGACTAATACCATTGATCAATTTTGTCTTAACAGCATGTTAACTTTCTGACTTTGTAAAATGTTGATGGCAGATTTTTATGGTTTTTAAATGACTGAAACCCTAGATTTAGATGGAAACAGTACAAAGACAACAAATCAAATTTAAAATTAAAAAGTTTATTTTTTTTGTTCAAAAATATACACTCATTTTAAATTTGATTCCAGCAACATGTTTCAAAAAAGTTGAAACATAGAATAAAACTCTGAAAAAAAAAAAAAAAAAAACTTAAAAACTCTCATGGAGGAACACCTCCCAACTGATCACATTAATATGCAACAGGTGATTGGATTGAATGGGAGTGAAAGGGTGACAACAGGAAGGCTCAGTCTCTGGATGAAAAACATCACCACTCTATGAGAGACAGTGTGAGCAAGAAGTTCAACAAATTTAACAAGAATAAGATTTAAACAGAAAACATTTTTCTAAAACTTGTTTTTTTTTTGTTTGTTTTTTGTTTTTTGTTTTTTTGTTTGTTTTTTTACAAATCTGGCAGCAGCAACAAGTTTTAAGAGGTTGAAAAAAAATGCCTCGACATTTCTCATCCTAGGAATGAGGTAGTTGTTAACCACCCTTACTAACTTCTCTTATTTGACTTCATGGTAAACTCCTGCCACCCATTACTTTTTTGGCTTACACCGGGACAGAGAATTGTACTCGCTCTTCACCTCCAACTCCTCTTCCTCTTTTGTTATAGAGACCAGATGAAACCTGACCCCACCAAGGCTTATTTTTCATGAATCTTATCAGTGCTTTGGCCTGTTCAACTTTAGGACAGGATGGGAGTGGAAATTCTCACACATCCTGCCTCTATCAGCAAGACATTCCCTCTTCACTGTCCTCTTTCACCATATGGCATGAGTATGTATTACCATGTCCAAAACACCTAATGAAGAATCAAACATCTGGTTCCTGTTCCGCTCTTAGGAAAATAAGAAACTATCCTGCTTTCTAGACCAAAACATGATCTTTTCTGAGGGACTTTTATTCAACTCCTGCCCTCATTAGCTTACAAGTGTTGATTTTCTTACACAGACAGATGCAAAAGTCTAAGACAAAGGCAACATTAAAAACAAATGTAAATAATGGAAAAATAAAACAATTAAACAACTGCGATAACCGCAAACAGGCTGCAAATATATAAAAAATGCAAAGTGAAAATTGCACAGTGCTGCTAATTAAGCTTCTCCACGAAACCACAAATCACTACTACAGAAGAGCTGTTAACAATCTAATGGGTAAATCAGCCTACATATTGTGACGGCAGGGAAATGATCAAACTGATAACCCACTCTGAATAATCAATTTTACCTCTAGATGCCATTTTTATTCCTCTTTCCAATTATCATTTGCTAAAGAGAGTTCATCTTTGTAGTAAGCGTCGAAAGAAGTGGTAGACTGCAGTCCCTATATCTCTTAAAAATCGTATAACCTTTGATTCAGACGTTATCACATGAAAATCAAAGTCAGAAATACTCCACCAGGCATCCAAAGTTTCTATGTCACTGTGGTTTCCATCTTGGGCCTTGATCTTCTTAAGGAAAGGCTCACAGATGGCTTCTGCTCTTTCTTTTGCAATTTCTGACAGCTTGGTTTTCAAATGGCTGCTCACATGCTCTTCCAAAAGGTCTTCATAAACCCCTTTGTAGTAGGGAAGAGGTGGTTGTTTGGAACAGCAAAGTCCATTGCAAATCTTGCTCCTAACGCAACAAATGCAAATGTGTTCACAAATGAACCAGAGAACTACAAAGGAACAGATGACGTAGAGGCCGTAGTTCTGGAAAGAAAGACACAAAAGTTTAAGATGGTCGCTCAAAACTTCAAGAATCACAAAAGCTCAAGACATTTAAAGTTTTAGTCAAACTAGTCAAAGTTTCTTTCAGTTCTTTAACTTCAACAGAAAATAGAGAACAGACACAACTGTTGTGCTAATTAAGGAGCAGATTTGAACTGTGAACAAAAGCTCAGCTGTTCACACTTCAGTCAGCCAAATTCAACTGTTTCTCATTTCCTTTTTCATTCTTTTCTTTATTTCAAGCTGCAGAGTGGGATCACACTGGCAAAATGAGAGTGATGCAGGGGCTGGAATTTTTTATCAACTACGGTTAAAAAAATGTATACATACGTGATTCAATAATTTTGTAAAATCCTACAATATCAGAGACACTTGGATGTTTTTATCTCTCCCTCTCAAATCAATATCATGTCCCAGCAACCTTAATAATGTGGTTAAAAACTAAGTCATGTTACTCACAAGCGATTCAATCTTAATTTCAGCTTTGATGCGGCTCTCCTTGTCAGTCAGGTTTGACCTGCAAGGAATTTCAGTTTGGGAAGGGTCCTTCATTGTACTTATGCACAAGTACCAGTCTCCATCAAAGAAAACAGCGGTGATCCATATGACTAACAGAATGATATAGTCCATCGGGAACTTCAGAAAACTGCAGCAGAAACCGTTTCCACACTGAAAACACCAGTGTGAAAAAATCCTCCTCTGGTGGATGGGCTCAGTGATGTTGACCAACCATGCAAGAATAACAGGAGGGAGAAAGATGTACAGTAGACCATTCAGATATTCACCCTCTTTGCACGAGCACACAAAATCCATGTCAAAAATGTATTGTAGTATGAAGAAGACGCCGATCAAAAGGACTGCACTCATAGCATGAGTGAAAACTGCGACGAGCCTTTGAGGAAAATCGTGAGTGAAATGAGGCATGCTGGTAAAAATGTCAGATATTCTGTTGAAAAACAGCTCCAAGTTTGTTTTTTGCCTGCCCTGAAAAGACTTAGCCTGCACAGCTGATGAAACTCTCTATTCTAATGACTGAGAGAGGAGGTCTTAGTTTTATGCCCAGAAGTGAAAGGTGAACAGAGTGCCAATGTTTTGACCTCATCAAACCAGCCTCCAGTATTTGCATGATCGAGACATTTTGCTTTCTCTTTTGAAACCAAAACAAAACCACTAAAGACTTATAAGTGTATTGAGAGTACTAATAGTAAAAAGTTCCTTTTACAACAGATCATTATTTTCTAAACAACGGGCAGAAATGCTTCACAAAATTCAGAATCTAAAAGAGTTTCCCCTCTAAACTCTATTTTTGGTGTGATTCTGGAGAGGTCCCTAAGGTTTCTAGAAATGGAAATTTTACCTTTCCTCATTTGTTAGAGATGTGTGTGCATGTTCAAGTTGTATCATGTTATCCCAAGATGATCCAGTTGGTCATGGATGATGATACAGATTTTTCTCCAGGCTTTGTGCTCATGGAAAGCTCCTGAGGTCTGATAACTGTCTCTATCTGATTTTCTCTCATCTTGTTGTCTGCATCAAAGTTTAAATGTTTAAAGAACTTCTCTCAGTAAGGGTATAACAATAGAAGACATAAGACTCTAGGTATGAGATTACACCTAAAATGAATTCCCACCACCCTCTCATGTACCTGCAATGTCTTTAGCGGAAATGTGCATGTGGTTTTTGTGTGCGTCTAGATACTGAAACAAAACAATGCAAAAATACCAACACTTATTTTCCCATGGTGCTGTTTCTCTAATTTGGTTAGACTTTGCACGCATTACATCTGTCACATGAAGACTTGTGGTTGGCAAAACCTCCTTGCAGTTTTAAAATATGCCTGCGCCTCAGCTCTATCAGGTGATTTCCACTGAAAACAGATTGTACCAAACCTCAGAGCTCAGCACAGAATAACCTCTTCTCAAAGATTGAAGTACAACTTCTCTTCTAACTCAGGATTATAACCCTGAATGGACTTCGACTCCTGCCAAATTTAGGGCCTCTGTCTGATTAAAAAAATGATTTGGTCAAAGCTTTTGTCCTGTCACTGAAGATGTAATATGAAAGAAGGCAATGAATTACGTGTCATGTTTAGTCTAGTTTTAGTCGACAAAAACTGATGACGTTTTAGTCTAGTATTAGTCAATGATTTTAATCTCTTTTTAGTAATGTAATTCTGTGTAACCCAGTTAAAATAGTATAATTACCTAGTTAAGTATAGAACAGATAAAACCAAATTTTTAATTGAGTCAAATCAAACGCAGTTATTTTATTGTTATCGTATTGTTACCTTATAGACTACGTCTATTCCAAATGTGGAAGATGCTCTGCTGAGCAGACTGCTCAACATATTTATTTAACCAAACATGTAGGTACACACACGTGAATTTAAATCAAATAAATAAATGAAATACTGTAGCATCATATGACTGACAACACGCACTAGACACATGCTAAACACACACGCTAGGCTAGACACACGCTGTCTTAACTAAGCTTGAGTTCAGCACGGAAGACTGTGGGCTCTATTTTCGTGCCCGCTGGCGGTGCGGCAGACGGTGGCGCACCCCGCACAGTGGTATTTTCATCTGCCAGAGCCTGGCGCACTGCCAGTTTGGTATTTTCGTAGACTGAGGCGCACCAAGGTCCACCAAGCTGGGCGTGGTGGCGCGGTAGGTGGAGGTGTCGACAGAATCAGCTGGCACAGGGACATTTTCGTGCAGGCCTTTTTTTTTTTTTGGTGATTTACAGAGAAAACTTGTCCGCCAGAATGGAGGATGTTTGGTTGCTCCTGTTACTTTTTCTCCACAAAGTCTGCATCTTGGGAAATGAGCAGGAAAGACTTCAGAGACAGAGGAGCAGATCTGGTGATCATAAACAGTGTGGAAGAACAAGCTCTTTTGCTCAGAATTCCAACTTTAATCTTAGAATTTTGACTTTTCTCTCAGAATTCTGATTTTAATCTCAGAATTCTGACTTTTATTTCAGAATTCTGATTTTTTTTTTCCCCAAGATAATTCTTCAAAAACATATATCCAACCTTTTTTTGACAGTGGTAATGTTCTCTGCATTATAGTCTAAGTAAATAGTTTAGAAATGCTTAATTTCATCACTTATACAGATGCTTGTATATCTCAACACTTGCCTGCTCTCAAAGTTGTTGCCTAGTTTGTGAAGGGTACTGGTGGGTCCAGCACAGGTTAGCTAAAGGGATTGAGAAACATACTCTAAAACATCATCTTGCATGTTTCCTGTGGCACAAACGTCCCCTGTGCCTATTAGTAAGACTGTTTATCTCCATAAATATCTCATTAACTCGTTTATCTCCACATTTCCACCAATCGTAAAGTAAGAGTCCTTTCTATGTCAGATTTTAAGTTTCCTTCATGTCTGTGCTCCTGATTAAAGATGATGCCAGTTTCATTCAGCTCCTCGTGCCTTTGTAGCTCTTTCACTGGTTCTGCATTCTGTCTCTAATGTGAGTTCAGGGGAAACAGGCCGCAGTGTTTGTGGTGAGTGGTTTTTATTCACACTTTTTTCATCACGTCGCAAATTTGTGAATGTATGACTTCCTCATAAGTGGATAAAAGTCTGACCCAGAGAGCAGAAGAAGTTTTACAGCATTCAGACTCTGTCCATGCTGCAGACCAGACCTTTAGGAAACATCCAGTATCTTTTGGAGCAATGGAGGAAATCTATGTCAATGTTGAGATGAAAGACAAAACTGTTACACCTGTTGACTGCATACATCAGACAGGTGAGAGTGTTCAGTCTGAGCTAAGTAAAGACACACATTTCCTCCTTACATTTCCTGTACAGTCTGCTCTGCGTTTCAGGTCCAAGGAGCTCAAAGAGGAGATTTCATGAAGCTGTTATTTGGTTTTTGGGGCTGCTGAGTCTTCTCCTCCTTGCTGGGGTCATCGCCCTTGGAGTCTACTGTGAGTCAGTTTTTGTATTATTTTAAATCATTAGTTGGAAACTTGTTTTTAAGAGTTCATGTTCTCCTGTAAAGCATCCACTTAACCAAGTTATCTTGTCCTTGCTGTTCTGGCCTCTCTATTTTCCTTTGCAAACTTTTTCTTTATGCTCACATTTTAGGTGTTTTGAAAATCATGATAGTTTATGGGGGCTTTCTGGAATCAAATCACATTATTCTGGTGACTCTAAGCAGAAAAAAACATTCAGCAAAATTAGTGAAGTCTGATGTACTCTTGTTTTAAACCATTGACAATCTCTTGGTTTTCACAGTGTCTATATCTCAACCTCATAACACCTTCTGATGCATTTCAGCATAAACCTCTTTTTAAAGAATACATTTAACATAGACTGTGAAATGGAGATATAATGCCATTTTAAAACATAACTCTTTATTAGTAAAGTTATTTTTACAAGCAAAATCACAGATATATATCTGGTCATCTGTCACAACAGAGCATTTCTGAGAAACAAAAAAAGACAAAAAAAACAAAATTCTTTCCTTGCAGTGGTTTGCAGAATAATATTAGGTCAAGATGAGTTGTTTCAATATCAATCAATCAATCGATCACTTTATTTATAAAGCACTTTTCATACATAAACTTGTATCACAGAGTGCTGTACACTTTGGGAACACAAAATAAAATACAAAATAAAATACCAACTGCAAAACCCCACCCACAGCCCACATTTAACTGAGACCCCCCCCCCCCCCCCACACACACACACACACACACACACACACACACACACACACATACACACACTGACAACCACCGAGACACCAAGTCAGGGCTCAACAGGAAGCCGCAGAGGACCAAGGAAATGCTATCTTAAACTAAAATGGCGAAACACAGGAGCTGAGGCTAAACTGATAAAACCATGACAAGATATAAAAATTAAAATGAAATAAAACAACAGCAATAATAATAATAATAATAATAATAATAATAATAATAATAAAATATTATATCATAAAACCGTTTTAAAATCAAACAATAAAAGAAAGTAAACAAATAGTGTTAAAATATAAGGTAATAATTCTAGGACTAAAGTGGAGTAAAATACTTAAGATAAAAAGAGTAGACTAAAAGAGAGGCTAGAAGAATAAAACAATAATCAGCTAAAGGCCAGACTAAAAAGGAAGGTCTTGAGTTTGCGTTTAAAAATATGAACTGTAGGTGTCGCTCTCAGGCCTTCAGGCAGACTGTTCCACAGAGAGGGGCCATGATAATAAAACGATACTTCAACGTATGTTTTGGTTCTAACTTTGGGGACTATTAAAAGACCACTACCTGAAAACCTGAGGGCTCTACTGGGCTCATATCGTAAAAGCAAATCAGATGAATAAGAAGGACCAAGACCATTAAGACATTTATAAACTAAGAAAAGAATCTTAAAATGTACTCTAAAAGATACAGGAAGCAAGTGCGTAGACTTTAAAATTGGTGTAATGTGGGCTCTTCTCCTCGTCTTCGTCAGCATGGCCAATAAGAAAAGGACATCACCTCCAAAATGAGATACTGCATCTCCTGGGCCTATCCTTCAATAGATAGATTTTAAAAATCTGCAAAAATTGTTACTCGAGTGTCTGGATTTGTCATCCCTTCATAACAAAAAGTGCTGGACTGATGTAGTTAAAAAATACTTCATAATCTTAAAATATGTATCTTTAATTAATTGCAGGCTACATCTCAACCCGGGATTCATCTGCAGAGTTCTCTACCGTCATAGCCAATCTTACTGAGCGTCTGTCCTCCCTGACTGAACAGAGAGACCTGCTGAATGTCAGCCTCTCTGAAGTGTCCAAAGAGCTGCAGTCTTTGAGTGAGTGCTCTTCCTCTGTGGTTTCTGCACACAGTTTAGAGCTGAGAACTAACCACACTGTCATTTTTCATGACCGTGACTGATTTTGACTCTCACTTCTGTTTATTTGCCTTGAAAATCATAGGAAAATGAACTGTATGTGCAAATGAAAATCACAAGACAAATGGCTCTATGTCTGGTTTATTTAGTGTTAGTTGCCACAGTCTCAGAGCAACATTATCTATGTTTTGATGAGTTTCACATCCTCATAAAAAAATTGGACCTGCTTTTCTACTTCTTCATGAAGTTCATTCATTCCTACTCATCTAACATAAAAAGTGGAACATAAAAGTGATAACGGGTGAAAACGATAGGGAGACAAAGAGGTAGACCTCTCAGGGGTTTCATATGTAACAAGTTAAAAGACTTTTTCCACATTTTAGAGCTTTCCAGAAAAAAGAAGGCTGACTCTTTTTATGAATCCAACACTTGCATGACATTGAGCACAAAAAAGTGTTACAAGGTCCTTTCAAGGCTTTATGACAGTCATGTAAAGAGCATACATTACAACTAGCAATGTTTATAAAGTGGACATAATACCTTTTAAAGTTATGAGTGATAATGTGTCATAATTTAATGCAAAACTAATAACAGCATCTTTTTAATTTTGGGTCTCATAACACAGAACAACTTCCACAACTTTAACCAGTTATAAAATGTAATTATCACAATTATTATGAAACGTTTCCAAAAATAAAGTATTTAATTGTTCAACCCTACAGGTTCGTGGGTCATTGTTTGCTGTTTTTTGTCTCTTTGTGAAAACTTATCTTTGTCCTTTCTTTTTTTTTTTTCTTCAGAGAAACAGTGTCCTCCAGGATGGACCGTGTTTGGATGTTCCTGTTATTTCTTCTCCACACAGAAAAAGTCTTGGGATGACAGCAGAGCAGACTGTAGAGACAAAGGAGCAGATCTGGTTATCATAGAAAGTTTCACAGAACAGGTAATGTATTTACCGGGGAGTTTTCAGGGACAAACTGGTGACTCAAGAATTGACTCAACATGTCTTCTCACTCTGTTCAATCTTAATCTACAATCTACGATTAGACGCCATAAAGTTTCCCAGAGGCAAAATGAAAACATGTTGAGCTCCCCCTATTGACTGGCTGCAGTAAAGGTGTTTAAAATTGGATATCATTTCTTGAAACGATAATTGTTGCTATATTTTCATAGATTTGTCCTTCTTGATTCACTTAGATCTAACGTTTAAAGCTTTAAAGCACTTATATTAATAATTTTAAAACAAAATAATGTGTTGAAGTTTTTGTCCACCATAGTTACTGTTTATTTAAAAACAGCTTTCTAAAAAGAAAAGTACAAAAAGTCAGAAATAAATGCAAAACATGTTCATGTGACTCTCATTTTACAAATTTATGTTTAAAACATTAAGAAAAATTTTGACACAGGTTGGTGTAAACTAAAATATAATAAACACAGGTTTTATATCTTCTACAGGAATTCCTCACTAATAATAAGAAAGGAGACACATGGATTGGTTTGAGTGATAGAGATGATGAAGGGACCTGGAAATGGATAGATGACACTCCACTGACTCAGGGGTAAGAAGCACTGTGGATGTTAAACACCTTGGTTTGGATTCAGGCTTTATATTTTCTAAGATGATCTTGACAATTTTGACAATCAAACAATTAAAGGGACAACATTTTCTTTGGACAATGTTTCTGGAAAAATGCTAACTCTCCTATATCTTGAAAAAAAATAACTGAGCGAATTCACTGTCCTGTCTCTCCCTTGTAGGTTCTGGTGGAGGGAGCAGCCTGATAACGGTGGTGGATTTCCACAATATGGGGAAGAAGACTGTGCTCATCTAAGAGCCGACAGGAGCAAAGCGGACAATTGGAATGATCGCAGGTGTGATGTGACCATGCTGTGGATCTGTGAAAAATAGCTTATAAGAGTACAAATACATCAATGTAGAGATTTTTTGTTCAAATGAAGAGCTCTGAGTTAACTTTGGTGTGGTATAGGAAGAGGTCATGGGCGGGGGGAAGTTGCATTTTGTGTGATAAGAAACTAAGTTGTGTCAGGGTGGGACCTGTGATCTTAGGGGCTCTCTCATTTTCTCAAATGTTTTCAAATGTTCTCTGGTGTCAAATAACACCAGACACCCCAGGCTTTCACCAACACCTTTGCCTCTCTACATTTGCTATGTGATGTATTATGCTGCTGTGTATATCTGCTATTTGGGTCTTAAAGTGTTATAGCACACATTTAACTCAAATGTCATTGGCCATTTCTTACGGTGTTCAAATCCTAATTTATCTATATCACCAGCCCTGTGTCTAAAACTTTTTTTAAAAGACATCACTTCATAAAGTGATTGTTTTTCATGCTTTTATTTTGGTCATTTTCTCTGTATTTCAGTTGATTCATTCCTGCATTACAAGAACATGCTTTTATTTTGAAGCAATTTTGTCAAAAATGTACGTGATATATACATTAAAACTGGAAAAAGAAGAGTTAGAAAGTAAAATAGGAAAAAAAAATAGAAAAAAATAAAAAAGCTCCTGTGAGGAATTTTTTATGTTGATGAAATAGCCTAAAACTTATATTGATGTTTTTTCATATTTAAAAGGAAAAAAAAAGGGACAAGATTGACAGTTTTGATGTCTTCATTTTTAATTCCTAAAACCAGTGCAAGGGGGTAGGCATCATCCAAGCAGCTTTACTTTTATAATTTCCACATAAAATATTTACTAGATAATTCATTTGACTGTCAAAAGGCAGCAGGACGCAATCTATTAGTCAGAGGTCACGACTGAAGTATCTAATACAGTGATTTCTAAATTCTCTTAAAGCAGCTTGAGGAGGCATTTCCTTCACCTTGGCCAAATACTCTATACAGATTCCTCAAAAGGCACAACTACAGGATTAGGAAAAAAGCTAGATTCAAATCAATCAGTGATTGAAACAATTCAACAATTCAATTTTGTTTGTTTCCCTTATTTACTGTCTCTTCAACTACTTACTTGAACAGCTGGCTCAAGTAAAGCTGGAAAAACTGGATCCTGCAGACATGATAATATAAAGTCATCACACAGTTACAAGTGTGGGTCAAGATAAAGGTGAGAACATCGACAAACCCAGGTTATATTTAAACCTACATGTCGTCTGACATGAAGGACTGGACTATGCTGTTCTTGTCTCAGTTCACAAACACTGGGCAACAAGTGAATTATAAACAGAAATACATCTGCCAACTTAACAGTAGGTGGCATCATGCCCCTTTTCTGCTCATAACTACTTGACCTACGACATCATGTACCAAACAATCGTGTTGATAAGAGGCAAACGGGTTGTTCATTGAACAGTAAGATATTCTGTGACTTTGACATGAGACAGCTTTGCATTTTTTGATGTCCTTTCTTTTTCTGTCAAAGTTTTTTTTTTACTACTTGGTTTCCTTTCATTATCTGGTTATGTTAGTCCAACTTTGAAAAGTTGGATTTAGTTCAGACTAACATGTTTACATGTTGGACTAAAACCATTGATCAATTTTGTCTTAACAGCATATAAAAATCCTGACTTTGTAAACTGTTGATGGCAGATTTTTATGGTTTTTAAATTATTTAAACTCTAGATTTTGATGGAAACAGTACAAAGACAAAAAATCAAACTTTGAAATTAAAAAGTTTATTTTTTTGTTCAAAAATATACACTCAGTTTAAATTTGATTCCAGCAACATGTTTCAAAATAGTTGAAACTTACAATAAAACTCTGAAAAAAAAAAAAAAATTAAAAGCACTCATGGAGGAACACCTCCCAACTGATCACATTAATATGCAACAGGTGATTGGATTGAATGGAAGTAAAAGGGTGATAACAGGGAGGCTCAGTCTCTGGATGAAAAACATCACCACTCAACGAGGGACAGTGTGAGCAAGAAGTTCAACAAATTTAACAAAAATAAGATTTAAACAGAAAACATTTTTATACAACTTGTATTTTTTTGTTTAAAAAATGTTTTTTCTAAATCTGATATCAGCAACAAGTTTTTAAAAGTTGAAGAATCAAAACATTTAAAAATGCCTCAATATTCCTTAACCTGGGGAGGAAGTTGTTAACCACCCTAACTTATTTCTCTTATTTGACTTCATGGTAAACTCCTGCCACCCATTACTTTTTTGGCTCACTCAGAGAATTGTACTCATTCTTCACCTCCAACTCCTCTTCCTCTTTTGTGATAGAGATCAGATGAAACCTGACTCCACCAAGGCTTATTTTTCATGAATCTTATCAGTGCTTTGGCCTGTTCAACTTTAGGACAGGGTAGGAGTGGAAATTCTCACACATCCTGCCTTCATTAGCAAGAAATTCCCTCTTCGTTGTTTCCTTTTCACCACACAGCACGAGTATGTTTTGCATGATCACGTCCAAAACACCTGCTAAAGAATCAAACATCTGATGCCTGTCCTGCTCATAGGAAAATAAGAAACTATCCTGCTTTCTAGACCAAAACATGATCTTTTCCGAGGGACTTTTATTCAACCCCTGCCCTCATTAGCTTAGAAGTGTTGATTTTCATACACAAACAGATACAAACGTCTACGACAAAGGCAACATTAAAATTAATGTAAATAATGAAAAATAAAACAATTAAACAACTGTGATAACTGCAAAGAGGTTTAAAATTTCACAGAACCAAGAGGGGAGTGCTGCTAATTTAGCCTCTCCACAAAACCACATATCACTACTATGATAGAGTAATTAACAATCTAATGTGGCAGGGAAAATGATCAAACTGGCAGCCCACTCTGAATAATCAATTCCCCTCTAAGTGCCATGTATATTACCCTCTTCAATTATCATTTATCTGAGAGAGTGATATACCGCTGTTGACATTATGGCTGGTTGCAAACGGTCTATCTTCATCTGATCATGTGTTTCCTCTTGATTTAGAATTCTCCAAATGAAAATCAAATTCAGAAATATTCCACCAGGCACCCAAAGCTTTTATGTCGCTGCGGTTTTCATCCTCACTGTTGTCCATCTGCAGCTCTTGGGCCTCGATCTTCTCAAGGAAAGGCTCACAGATGGCTTCTGCTCTTTTTTCTGCAATTTCTGACAGCTTAGTTTTCAAATGGCTGCTCACCTTCTCATCCAAAAGGTCTTCATAAACCCCTCTGTAGTAGGGAAGAGGTGACAGGTTGGAACAGCAACGTCCATTGCAAATCTTGCTCCTTACGTAACAATTGCGAATTTGTTCGTAAATGAACCAGAGACTTATTAAGGAACACATGATGCCGAGGCCTATGTTCTGGAAAGAAAGACACAAAAGTTTAAGATGGTCGCTCAAAACTTCAAGAATCACAAAAGGTCAAGAAATTTGAAGTTTTAGTCAAACTAGTCAAAGTTTCTTTCAGTTCTTTAACTTTGAAAGAAAATAAAGGACAAACACTACTTTTGTGCTAATTAAGGAGCAAATTTGAAATGTGAACAAAAGCTCAGCTGTCCACACTTCAATCAGCCAAACTCAATTGTTTTTCAGTTCTTACCTATGTATGTTTTCAACCATTATTTAAAAAAAAGCAGAGTGGGACTGCACAGCCAAAATGAAAGTAATGGCATTTTTATCTGGCATTTATTATTTTCAGTCAGTTAAGTCCATCTGTCCTATCGTCTGTCTGTTTGTCTGTCATTCATTCATGAGTTTTACTGACTTATGAAAAATAGACGCTCATTTTAAAGCTCCTATGAGCAGTTTTTTAATGTGTGTGCAACAAACTAAAACTCATATTAGTATCTTTTTATGATATATAAAAATATACAAGAACATTTCTTTCAGCTGACATTGCCTTAGGTCAGAGCAAGTGGGTAGGTGTCAGCCAAGCAGCCGTAGAAACAGATAATAATTCATAATCAAACATTTAATAATTTCTGAACGGATTAGATTATTTTTGTATAAAGACACAACTCAAACATGTGGAGAACATTATTTGCAAAGACCACCACAATAGGACAAGGACAACAAGGCCGGACTAAAAAAGCTGCATGATCATAATGAAAACACTTAGAGACATTTCTCCCAACCAGTGACATGAGAGCCACTATGATCCTGGAATAACGTTCCTGAGCGTTAAATTACCAAAAATGTTTGGATTTTTATCAACTACGGTAAAAATTTTGTGATAGATGGAGTACGTAAGAGGGAGCACATTACTCCCATCCTGGCCTCCCTCCACAGGTTACCCGTGCATTTTAGAGTTCATTTTAAGATTCTTTTATTTGTTTTTAAATCTTTAAATGGTCTGGCTCCATCATACCTCTCTGAGCTTCTCCACCCCTACACCCCTGCTCGGTGCCTCAGGTCAGCTGATCAGCTGCTCCTGGAGGTACCGAGGTCCAAACTGAAGCTCAGAGGGGATAGATCTTTACTGTTGCAGCCCCAAAATTATGGAACGAGCTACCCCTCCAAATAAGACAAGCCCCCACACTGTCCATTTTTAAAACTCGTCTTATAACCCATTTTTATTCATTGGCTTTTTACCCTGCATGAGACTCGGCTCCTGTTTTAGTGTTTTATGGTTTGTTTTTAGTTATTTGTTTCTATGTTTTTAAATTAGTTTTTAAAAACATTGAAACTTTATTTTACTTTTTAATTCTGCTTTTATTTTATCCATTGTTTTAATTGTTTTTTGATTGTTTTTTATGTCTAGTTGTTTTGTCTATTATGTGCAGCACTTTGTTCAGCTGTGGTTGTTTTAAAGTTCTTTACAAATAAAGTTGAGTTGAGTTGAGTTGAGTAGATAGATAGATAGGTGATTCAATAATTGAGTTAAATCCTACAAAATCTTTTCCATATGGGCAGAGACACCTGGATGTTTTTATCTCTCAAATCAATTTCATGTCCCAGCAATCTTGATAATATGGTAAAAAGCTAAGTCATGTTACTTACGAGCGATGTAGCCTTAATATCATCTTTGATGCGGCTCTCCTTGTCAGTCAGGTTTGACCTGCAAGGAATTCCAGTTTGGGAAGGGTCCAGGTTTGTTCTTATGCACAAGTACCAGTCTCCATCAAAGAAAACAGCAGTGATCCATATGACTCCCAGACTGACATAGTCTATTGGGAAGTTTAGAATACTGCTGAGGAAAACGTTTCCACGCTGAAAACACCAAAGTGAAAAAATTCTCCTCCGGTGGATGGGCTTAGTGATGTTGACCAACCATGCGAGAATGACAGGAGGGAGAAAGATGTACAGTAGACCATTCAGATATTCACCCTTTTTGCACGAGCACACAAAATCCTTGTCAAATAGATATTGCACCATGAAGTAGACGCCGATCAACAGGACTGAACTCACAGCATGAGTGAAAACTGTGATGAGCCTTTGAGGAAAACCCTTTTTTAAACGAGGCATGTTGGTAAAAATGTCAGAAATTCTGTTGAAAAACAGCTCCAAGTTTGTTTGTTTTTTTGCCTGCACAGCCGATGAAACTCTCTATTCTAATGACTGAGAGAGGAGGTTTCAAGTTTATATCCAGAAATGAAAGGTGAACAGAGTGCCAATGTTTTGACCATATCAAACCAGCCTCCATCATTTGCATGATCGAAACATTATACTTTCTCTTTTGAAACCAAAACAAAACCATAAAGGACATTACAAAGGACTAGCCCTGTGTCAAATTTTTTGTTTTTTAAAAGAATCACCTTATAGTGATTGTTTTTCATGCTTTTATTTTGGTAATTTTCTATGTGTATTTCAGTTGATTCATTCCTGCGTTATAAGGACATGCTTTTATTATTTATTCTCATTTTCAAAGATTTGTTCTTCTTAATTCACGTAGATCTAATTCTTGAAGCTTTAAAGCACTTATAATAATAATTTTAAAACAAAATAATGTGTTGAAGTTTTTGTCCACCGTAGTTATTTAGTTTATTACATAGTTTGGTGACTTAAGAATTGTTAGGATATATTGTAAATTTGGAGATGATTTGATGAAGCTGCATAAAGAATTAACAATTGTGCTCATTGCAGTCATGTACTGATGGATAACAGGAAGAAGGATAAAAGCTCCAGTGAGGCTATAGATCACCCTGTACAGAGGAAAAGAACAGTATCCATAGTATGGAGGTTTTAGCTTTGGCTTTTCTTGAAAGTTGGTAAGTGTGACTCCCTTCCAGTCGAAAACAGACACAAGGCGTTCTTCTGTCACGGGCATTTATTCCCGCTCCTTAGCTTTGAGCATGCCGTGAGAACTAAAAACAATTTAAAAAACATAATCTTAGTTTGGTAAAGCTCCAATCCAAAAATAACACTCTTCAGCAACAAATGAATCTCATGAAACATAACATGTATAAGATAAACTTCACAACATAACTTAAAATTACATAAACAGAACAGAAATCTGCCACATAAAGTCTTGCTAGTAAAAACTTAACTCAATAAACACATTCCACACATACCTCATTGGCTGCTTCAACTAAAAAAGGAGAAAACCTGATGTTAAGTCATTTTATCGTCTTCCTATCAGTGCTGCTTGACCCTCCATCTTCAGTGAATGTATCATGTGGACTGCTGTTCTCTTCTCTGTGTTCTCTTCTGCTGTTCTCTTCTCTGTGTGATAAGCAACATCAAAATCAAGCATTCAGCGTTGTGTCAGGGTGGGACCTGTGATCTCAGGGGCTCTCTCATTTTCTCAAACGTTTTCAAATGTTCTCCGGTGTCAAATGACACCAGACACCCCAGGCTTTCACCAACACTTTTGCCTCTCTACATTTGCTATGTGATGTATTATGCTGCTGTGTATATCTGCTATTTGGGTCTGAAAGTGTAATAGCACACATTTCTTTTTTTTAAGAATCACCTTATAATGATTGTTTTTCATGCTTTTATTTTGGTAATTTTCTATGATTCATTCAAGAACATGCTTTTATTTTGAAGCAATTTTGGCAAAATGTATGTGAAAGATGGGTTTAACAAAAAACAGTTAACAGAACAGTTAGAAAGTAAAATAAAATTTAAAAAAAATTTAATTCATCACAGAGGCACATGCCATTACATTGTTTTTGGATTCACATAGAGTCTTTAAAGAAATAAATTAATATCTTTTCAAAAAGTAAGAGAGGCTACAGCTAGATCACTGGCAGCTCCTGTTTCCTCTTCTACTTTCTATTTCAATTTTGTTTGTTTCCCTTATTTACTGTCTCTTCAACTACTTACTGGAACAGCTGGCTCAAGTAAAGCTGGAAAAACTGGATCCTGCAGACATGATAATATAAAGCCATCACACAGTTACAAGTGTGGGTCAAGATAAAGGTGAGAGCATCGACAAACTCAGGTTATATTTAAACCTACATGTCGTCTGACATGAAGGACTGGACTATGCTTTCCTGGCTTAAAAAACACTGGGCAAAAAGTGAATTATAAACAGAAGCACATCCACCAACTTAACAGTAGGTGGCGTCATGCCCCTTTTCTGCTCATAACTACTTGACCTACAAAATCATGCACCAAACAATCGTGTTGGTGAGGCTTACGGGTTGTTCTTTGAACAGTAAGATATCCTGTGACTTTGACATGAGACAGCTTTGCATTTTTTGATTTCCTTTCTTTCTTCTGTCAAAGTTTCTTTTTACTACTTGGTTTCCTTTCATTATCTGGGTATTTCTTAAATGTTAGTCGAACTTTGAAAAGTTGGATTTAGTTCAGACTAACATGTTTACATGTTGGACTAAAACCATTGATCAATTTTCTCTTAACAGCATAAAAACATCCTGACTTTGTAAAATGTTGATGGCAGATTTTTATGGTTTTTAAATGATTGAAACCCTAGATTTAGATGGAAACAGTACAAAGACAACAAATCAAATTTTAAATTAAAAAGTTAATTTTTTTGTTCAAAAATATACACTCAGTTTAAATTTGATTCCAGCAACATGTTTCAAAAAAGTTGAACTACAGGATCAGATGACATAGAGGCCGTAGTTCTGGAAAGAAAAACACAAAAGTTTAAGATGGTCACTCAAAACTTCAGGAATTACAAAAGGTCAAGAAATTTAAAGTTTTAGTCAAACCAGTCAAAGTTTCTTTCAGTTCTTCAACTTTAACAGAAAATAAAGGACAAACACAACTTTTGTGCTTATCAAGGAGCAGATTTGAAACGTGAACAAAAGCTCAGCTGTCCACGCTTTAATCAGCCAAATTCAACTGTTTTTCATTTCATACCTATGTATGTTTTCAACCATTATTTAAAAAGCAGCAGAGTGGGACTGCACAGGCAAAATGGCATTTTGATTTTCAATCAGTTAAGTCCATCTGTCTTATCGTCTGTCTGTTTGTCTGTCATTCATTCATGGGTTTTACTGACGTATGAAAAATAGACGCTCATTTAAAAAAAAAAGCTGCATTATCATAATGAAAACACTTAAAGATATTTCCCCCAACTAGTGACATGTGACACAAGCCACTGTGATCCTGGAATAACATTCCTGAGCATTAAATTACCAAAATTGTTTGGATTTTTATCAACTATGGTAAAAAAAAAATTATAGACAGGAGATTTAATTATTTAGTAAAATTCTACAATATCTTTTCCATATACGGTTAATGGTTAATAGCTAAGTTGTGTTACTTACGATCAATTTAATCTTCATGTCAGCTTTGATGCGGCTCTCCATGTAAGTCAGGTTTGAACTGCAAGGAATTCCAGTTTGGGAAGGGTCCAGGTTTGTACTTATTCACAAGTACCAGTCTCCATCAAAGAGAACAGCGGTGATCCATATGACTCCCAGAATTACATAGTCTATCGGGAACTTTAGAAGACTGCTGAGGAAAACGTTTCCATGCTGAAAACACCAGTGTGAAAAAATCCTCCTCTGGTGGATGGGCTCAGTGATGTTGACCGACCATGCAAGAATAACAGGAGGGAGAAAGATGTACAGTAGACCATTCAGATATTCACCCTCTTTGCACGAGCACACAAAATCCATGTCAAAAATGTATTGTAATATGAAGAAGACGCCGATCAACAGGACTACACTCACAGCATGAGTGAAAACTGCGACGAGCCTTTGAGGAAAATCGTGAGTGAAATGAGGCATGCTGGTAAAAATGTCAGATATTCTGTTGAAAAACAGCTCCAAGTTTGTTTTTTTGCCTGCCCTGAAAAGACTTAGCCTGCACAGCCGATGAAACTCTCTATTCTAATGACTGAGAGAGGAGGTTTCAAGTTTACACCCAGAAATGAAAGGAGAACAGAGTGCAAATGTTTTGACCTCATCAAACCAGCCTCCAGTATTTGCATGATTGAGACATTTTACTTTCTCTTTTGAAACCAAAACAAAACCACTAAGGACTTATAAGTGTATTGAGAGTACTAATAGTAAAAAGGTCCTTTTACAACAGATCATTATTTTCTAATCAACAGGCAGAAATACTTCACAAAATTCAGAATCTAAAAAGGTTTCCCCTCTAAACTCTATTTTTTTGGTGTGATTCTGGAGAGGTCCCTAAGGTTTCTAGAAATGGAAATTTTACCTTTCCTCATTTGTCAGAGATATGTGTGCATGTTCAAGTTGTATCATGTTAGCCCAAGAAGATCCAGTTGGTCATGGATGATGATACAGATTTTTCTCCAGGCTTTGTGCTCATGGAAAGTTCCTGAGGTCTGTTAACTGTCTCTATCTGATTTTCTCTCATCTTGTTGTCCGCATCAAAGTTTAAATGTTTAAAGAACTACTCTCAATAATGTTATAACAATAGAAGACGTAAGACTCTAGGTATGAGATTACACCTAAAATGAATTCCCACCACCCTCTCATGTACCTGCAATGTCTTTAGCGGAAATGTGCATGTGGTTTTTGTGTGCGTCTAGATACTGAAACAAAACAATGCAAAAATACCAACACTTATTTTCCCATGGTGCTGTTCTCTAATTTGGTTAGACTTTGCACGCATTACATCTGTCACATGAAGACTTGTGGTTGGCAAAACCTCCTTGCAGTTTTAAAATATGCCTGCGCCTCAGCTCTATCAGGTGATTTCCACTGAAGACAGATTGTACCAAACCTCAGAGCTCAGCACAGAATAACCTCTTCTCAAAGATTGAAGTACAACTTCTCTTCTAACTCAGGATTATAACCCTGAATGGACTTCGACTCCTGCCAAATTTAGGGCCTCTGTCTGATTAAAAAAATGATTTGGTCAAAGCTTTTGTCCTGTCACTGAAGATGTAATATGAAAGAAGGCAATGAATTACGTGTCATGTTTAGTCTAGTTTTAGTCGACAAAAACTGATGACGTTTTAGTCTAGTATTAGTCAATGATTTTAATCTCTTTTTAGTAATGTAATTCTGTGTAACCCAGTTAAAATAGTATAATTACCTAGTTAAGTATAGAACAGATAAAACCAAATTTTTAATTGAGTCAAATCAAACGCAGTTATTTTATTGTTATCGTATTGTTACCTTATAGACTACGTCTATTCCACATGTGGAAGATGCTCTGCTGAGCAGACTGCTCAACATATTTTTTTAACCAAACATGTAGGTACTCACACGTGAATTTAAATCAAATAAATAAATGAAATACTGTAGCATCATATGACTGACAACACGCACTAGACACATGCTAAACACACACGCTAGGCTAGACACACGCTGTCTTAACTAAGCTTGAGTTCAGCACGGAAGACTGTGGGCTCTATTTTCGTGCCCGCTGGCGGTGCGGCAGACGGTGGCGCACCCCGCACAGTGGTATTTTCATCTGCCAGAGCCCGGCGCACTGCCAGTTTGGTATTTTCGTAGACTGAGGCGCACCAAGGTCCACCAAGCTGGGCGTGGTGGCGCGGTAGGTGGAGGTGTCGACAGAATCAGCTGGCACAGGGACATTTTCGTGCAGGCATGTCTTTTGTTGGTGATTTACAGAGAAAACTTCAGAATGGAGGATGTTTGGTTGCTCCTGTTACTTTTTCTCCACAAAGTCTGCATCTTGGGAAATGAGCAGGAAAGACTTCAGAGACAGAGGAGCAGATCTGGTGATCATAAACAGTGTGGAAGAACAAGCTCTTTTGCTCAGAATTCCAACTTTAATCTCAGAATTTTGACTTTTCTCTCAGAATTCTGATTTTAATCTCAGAATTCTGACTTTTATTTCAGAATTCTGATTTTTTTTTTCCCCAAGATAATTCTTCAAAAACATATATCCAACCTTTTTTTGACAGTGGTAATGTTCTCTGCATTACAGTCTAAGTAAATAGTTTAGAAATGCTTAATTTCATCACATATACATATGCTTGTATATCTCAACACTTGCCTGCTCTCAAAGTTGTTGCCTAGTTTGTGAAGGGTACTGGTGGGTCCAGCACAGGTTAGCTAAAGGGATTGAGAAACATACTCTAAAACATCATCTTGCATGTTTCCTGTGGCACAAACGTCCCCTGTGCCTATTAGTAAGACTGTTTATCTCCATAAATATCTCATTAACTCGTTTATCTCCACATTTCCACCAATCGTAAAGTAAGAGTCCTTTCTATGTCAGATTTTAAGTTTCCTTCATGTCTGTGCTCCTAATTTAAGATGATGCCAGTTTCATTCAGCTCCTCGTGCCTTTGTAGCTCTTTCACTGGTTCTGCATTCTGTCTCTAATGTGAGTTCAGGGGAAACAGGCCGCAGTGTTTGTGGTGAGTGGTTTTTATTCACACTTTTTTCATCACGTCGCAAATTTGTGAATGTATGACTTCCTCATAAGTGGATAAAAGTCTGACCCAGAGAGCAGAAGAAGTTTTACAGCATTCAGACTCTGTCCATACTGCAGACCAGACCTTTAGGAAACATCCAGTATCTCTTGGAGCAATGGAGGAAATCTATGTCAATGTTGAGATGAAAGACAAAACTGTTACACCTGTTGACTGCATACATCAGACAGGTGAGAGTGTTCAGTCTGCGCTAAGTAAAGACACACATTTCCTCCTTACATTTCCTGTACAGTCTGCTCTGTGTTTCAGGTCCAAGGAGCTCAAAGAGGAGATTTCATGAAGCTGCTATTTGGTTTTTGGGGCTGCTGAGTCTTCTCCTCCTTGCTGGGGTCATCGCCCTTGGAGTCTACTGTGAGTCAGTTTTTGTATTATTTTAAATCATTAGTTGGAAACTTGTTTTTAAGAGTTCATGTTCTCCTGTAAAGCATACACGTAACCACGTTATCTTGCCCTTGCTTCTGGCCTCTCTATTTTCGTTTGCAAACTTTTTCTTTATGCTCACATTTTAGGTGTTTTGAAAATCATGATAGTTTATGGGGGCTTTCTGGAATCAAATCACATTATTCTGGTGACTGAGCAAAACAAACATTCAGCAAAAATAAGTGAAGTCTGATGCACTCTCGTTTTAAACCATTGACAATTTCTTGGTTGTCACAGTGTCTAGATCTCAACCTCATAACACCTTCTGATGCATTTCAGCATAAACCTTTTTTTAAAGAATACATTTAACATTGACTTTGAAATGGAGATATAATGCCATTTTAAAACACAACTCTTTATTAGTAAAGTTATTTTTTACAAGCAAAATCACAGATATATATCTGGTCATCTGTCACAACAGAGCATTTCTGAGAAACAAAAAAAGACAAACAAAAAAAACAAAATTCTTTCCTTGCAGTGGTTTGCAGAATAATATACACACACACACACACACACACACACATACACACACTGACAACCACCGAGACACCAAGTCAGGGCTCAACAGGAAGCCGCAGAGGACCAAGGAAATGCTATCTTAAACTAAAATGGCGAAACACAGGAGCTGAGGCTAAACTGATAAAACCATGACAAGATATAAAAAATAAAATGAAATAAAACAACAGCAATAATAATAATAATAATAATAATAATAATAATAATAATAAAATATTATATCATAAAACCGTTTTAAAATCAAACAATAAAAGAAAGTAAACAAATAGTGTTAAAATATAAGGTAATAATTCTAGGACTAAAGTGGAGTAAAATACTTAAGATAAAAAGAGTAGACTAAAAGAGAGGCTAGAAGAATAAAACAATAATCAGCTAAAGGCCAGACTAAAAAGGAAGGTCTTGAGTTTGCGTTTAAAAATATGAACTGTAGGTGTCGCTCTCAGGCCTTCAGGCAGACTGTTCCACAGAGAGGGGCCATGATAATAAAACGATACTTCAACGTATGTTTTGGTTCTAACTTTGGGGACTATTAAAAGACCACTACCTGAAAACCTGAGGGTTCTACTGGGCTCATATCGTAAAAGCAAATCAGATGAATAAGAAGGACCAAGACCATTAAGACATTTATAAACTAAGAAAAGAATCTTAAAATGTACTCTAAAAGATACAGGAAGCAAGTGCGTAGACTTTAAAATTGGTGTAATGTGGGCTCTTCTCCTCGTCTTCGTCAGCATGGCCAATAAGAAAAGGACATCACCTCCAAAATGAGATACTGCATCTCCTGGGCCTATCCTTCAATAGATAGATTTTAAAAATCTGCAAAAATTGTTACTCGAGTGTCTGGATTTGTCATCCCTTCATAACAAAAAGTGCTGGACTGATGTAGTTAAAAAATACTTCATAATCTTAAAATATGTATCTTTAATTAATTGCAGGCTACATCTCAACCCGGGATTCATCTGCAGAGTTCTCTACCGTCATAGCCAATCTTACTGAGCGTCTGTCCTCCCTGACTGAACAGAGAGACCTGCTGAATGTCAGCCTCTCTGAAGTGTCCAAAGAGCTGCAGTCTTTGAGTGAGTGCTCTTCCTCTGTGGTTTCTGCACACAGTTTAGAGCTGAGAACTAACCACACTGTCATTTTTCATGACCGTGACTGATTTTGACTCTCACTTCTGTTTATTTGCCTTGAAAATCATAGGAAAATGAACTGTATGTGCAAATGAAAATCACAAGACAAATGGCTCTATGTCTGGTTTATTTAGTGTTAGTTGCCACAGTCTCAGAGCAACATTATCTATGTTTTGATGAGTTTCACATCCTCATAAAAAAATTGGACCTGCTTTTCTACTTCTTCATGAAGTTCATTCATTCCTACTCATCTAACATAAAAAGTGGAACATAAAAGTGATAACGGGTGAAAACGATAGGGAGACAAAGAGGTAGACCTCTCAGGGGTTTCATATGTAACAAGTTAAAAGACTTTTTCCACATTTTAGAGCTTTCCAGAAAAAAGAAGGCTGACTCTTTTTATGAATCCAACACTTGCATGACATTGAGCACATTTACAAAGTCCTTTCAAGGCTTTATGACAGTCATGTAAAGAGCATACATTACAACTAGCAATGTTTATAAAGTGGACATAATACCTTTTAAAGTTATGAGTGATAATGTGTCATAATTTAATGCAAAACTAATAACAGCATCTTTTTAATTTTGGGTCTCATAACACAGAACAACTTCCACAACTTTAACCAGTTATAAAATGTAATTATCACAATTATTATGAAACGTTTCCAAAAATAAAGTATTTAATTGCTCAACCCTACAGGTTCGTGGGTCATTGTTTGCTGTTTTTTGTCTCTTTGTGAAAACTTATCTTTGTCCTTTCTTTTTTTTTTTTCTTCAGAGAAACAGTGTCCTCCAGGATGGACCGTGTTTGGATGTTCCTGTTATTTCTTCTCCACACAGAAAAAGTCTTGGGATGACAGCAGAGCAGACTGTAGAGACAAAGGAGCAGATCTGGTTATCATAGAAAGTTTCACAGAACAGGTAATGTATTTACCGGGGAGTTTTCAGGGACAAACTGGTGACTCAAGAATTGACTCAACATGTCTTCTCACTCTGTTCAGTCTTAATCTACAATCTAAGATTAGACGCCATAAAGTTTCCCAGAGGCAAAATGAAAACATGTTGAGCTCCCCCTATTGACTGGCTGCAGTAAAGGTGTTTAAAATTGGATATCATTTCTTGAAACGATAATTGTTGCTATATTTTCATAGATTTGTCCTTCTTGATTCACTTAGATCTAACGTTTAAAGCTTTAAAGCACTTATATTAATAATTTTAAAACAAAATAATGTGTTGAAGTTTTTGTCCACCATAGTTACTCTTTATTTAAAAACAGCTTTCTAAAAAGAAAAGTACAAAAAGTCAGAAATAAATGCAAAACATGTTCATGTGACTCTCATTTTACAAATTTATGTTTAAAACATTAAGAAAAATTTTGACACAGGTTGGTGTAAACTAAAATATAATAAACACAGGTTTTATATCTTCTACAGGAATTCCTCACTAATAATAAGAAAGGAGACACATGGATTGGTTTGAGTGATAGAGATGATGAAGGGACCTGGAAATGGATAGATGACACTCCACTGACTCAGGGGTAAGAAGCACTGTGGATGTTAAACACCTTGGTTTGGATTCAGGCTTTATATTTTCTAAGATGATCTTGACAATTTTGACAATCAAACAATTAAAGGGACAACATTTTCTTTGGACAATGTTTCTGGAAAAATGAGAACTCTCCTATATCTTGAAAAAAAATAACTGAGCGAATTCACTGTCCTGTCTCTCCCTTGTAGGTTCTGGTGGAGGGAGCAGCCCGATAACGGTGGTGGATTTCCACAAAATGGGGAAGAAGACTGTGCTCATCTAAGAGCCGACAGGAGCAAAGCGGACAATTGGAATGATCGCAGGTGTGATGTGACCATGCTGTGGATCTGTGAAAAATAGCTTATAAGAGTACAAATACATCAATGTAGAGATTTTTTGTTCAAATGAAGAGCTCTGAGTTAACTTTGGTGTGGTATAGGAAGAGGTCATGGGCGGGGGGAAGTTGCATTTTGTGTGATAAGAAACTAAGTTGTGTCAGGGTGGTACCTGTGATCTTAGGGGCTCTCTCATTTTCTCAAATGTTTTCAAATGTTCTCTGGTGTCAAATAACACCAGACACCCCAGGCTTTCACCAACACCTTTGCCTCTCTACATTTGCTATGTGATGTATTATACTGCTGTGTATATCTGCTATTTGGGTCTTAAAGTGTTATAGCACACATTTAACTCAAATGTCATTGGCCATTTCTTACGGTGTTCAAATCCTAATTTATCTATATCACCAGCCCTGTGTCTAAAACTTTTTTTAAAAGACATCACTTCATAAAGTGATTGTTTTTCATGCTTTTATTTTGGTCATTTTCTCTGTATTTCAGTTGATTCATTCCTGCATTACAAGAACATGCTTTTATTTTGAAGCAATTTTGTCAAAAATGTACGTGATATATACATTAAAACTGGAAAAAGAAGAGTTAGAAAGTAAAATAGGAAAAAAAAATAGAAAAAAATAAAAAAGCTCCTGTGAGGATTTTTTTATGTTGATGAAATAGCCTAAAACTTATATTGATGTTTTTTCATATTTAAAAGGAAAAAAAAAGGGACAAGATTGACAGTTTTGATGTCTTCATTTTTAATTCCTAAAACCAGTGCAAGGGGGTAGGCATCATCCAAGCAGCTTTACTTTTATAATTTCCACATAAAATATTTACTAGATAATTCATTTGACTGTCAAAAGGCAGCAGGACGCAATCTATTAGTCAGAGGTCACGACTGAAGTATCTAATACAGTGATTTCTAAATTCTCTTAAAGCAGCTTGAGGAGGCATTTCCTTCACCTTGGCCAAATACTCTATACAGATTCCTTAAAAGGCACAACTACAGGATTAGAAAAAGCTAGATTCAAATCAATCAGTGATTGAAACAATTCAACAAGCAACCACAGTAATCTAATTTTAAAAAGTTCATCCTTTTTTTGTTAAAAAAAAAAAAAAAAAAAGTCCACACTTTGTTTCTGCTTTTAACAGTATTTTGTTTTTGTTTTTTCTTATTTACTGTCTTTTCAACTACTTACTTGAACAGCTGGCTCAAGTAAAGCTGGAAAAACTGGATCCTGCAGACATGATAATATAAAGCCATCACACAGTTACAAGTGTGGGTCAAGATAAAGGTGAGAACATTGACAAACTCAGGTTATATTTAAACCTACATGTCGTCTAACATGAAGGACTGGACTATGCTGTTGTTGTCTCAGTTCACAAACACTGGGCAAAAAGTGAATTATAAACAGAAGCACATCTGCCAACTTAACAGTAGGTGGCGTCATGCCCCTTTTCTGTTCATAACTACTTGACCTACGACATCATGTACCAAACAATCGTGTTGATAAGAGGCAAACGGGTTGTTCATTGAACAGTAAGATATTCTGTGACTTTGACATGAGACAGCTTTGCATTTTTTGATGTCCTTTCTTTCTTCTGTCAAAGTTTTTTTTTGACTACTTGGTTTCCTTTCATTATCACGTAATCATATCATAACATGTTTACATGTTGGACTAATACCATTGATCAATTTTGTCTTAACAGCATGTTAACTTTCTGACTTTGTAAAATGTTGATGGCAGATTTTTATGGTTTTTAAATGACTGAAACCCTAGATTTAGATGGAAACAGTACAAAGACAACAAATCAAATTTTAAATTAAAAAGTTTATTTTTTTGTTCAAAAATATACACTCATTTTAAATTTGATTCCAGCAACATGTTTCAAAAAAGTTGAAACATAGAATAAAACTCTGAAAAAAAAAAAAAAAAACTTAAAAACTCTCATGGAGGAACACCTCCCAACTGATCACATTAATATGCAACAGGTGATTGGATTGAATGGGAGTGAAAGGGTGACAACAGGAAGGCTCAGTCTCTGGATGAAAAACATCACCACTCTATGAGAGACAGTGTGAGCAAGAAGTTCAACAAATTTAACAAGAATAAGATTTAAACAGAAAACATTTTTCTAAAACTTGTTTTTTTTTTTTGTTTGTTTTTTGTTTTTTGTTTTTTTGTTTTTTTTTACAAATCTGGCAGCAGCAACAAGTTTTAAGAGGTTGAAAAAAAATGCCTCGACATTTCTCATCCTAGGAATGAGGAAGTTGTTAACCACCCTTACTAACTTCTCTTATTTGACTTCATGGTAAACTCCTGCCACCCATTACTTTTTTGGCTTACACTGGGACAGAGAATTGTACTCGCTCTTCACCTCCAACTCCTCTTCCTCTTTTGTTATAGAGACCAGATGAAACCTGACCCCACCAAGGCTTATTTTTCATGAATCTTATCAGTGCTTTGGCCTGTTCAACTTTAGGACAGGATGGGAGTGGAAATTCTCACACATCCTGCCTCTATCAGCAAGACATTCCCTCTTCACTGTCCTCTTTCACCATATGGCATGAGTATGTATTACCATGTCCAAAACACCTAATGAAGAATCAAACATCTGGTTCCTGTTCCGCTCTTAGGAAAATAAGAAACTATCCTGCTTTCTAGACCAAAACATGATCTTTTCTGAGGGACTTTTATTCAACTCCTGCCCTCATTAGCTTACAAGTGTTGATTTTCTTACACAGACAGATGCAAAAGTCTAAGACAAAGGCAACATTAAAAACAAATGTAAATAATGGAAAAATAAAACAATTAAACAACTGCGATAACCGCAAACAGGCTGCAAATATATAAAAAATGCAAAGTGAAAATTGCACAGTGCTGCTAATTAAGCTTCTCCACGAAACCACAAATCACTACTACAGAAGAGCTGTTAACAATCTAATGGGTAAATCAGCCTACATATTGTGACGGCAGGGAAATGATCAAACTGATAACCCACTCTGAATAATCAATTTTACCTCTAGATGCCATTTTTATTCCTCTTTCCAATTATCATTTGCTAAAGAGAGTTCATCTTTGTAGTAAGCGTCGAAAGAAGTGGTAGACTGCAGTCCCTATATCTCTTAAAAATCGTATAACCTTTGATTCAGACGTTATCACATGAAAATCAAAGTCAGAAATACTCCACCAGGCATCCAAAGTTTCTATGTCACTGTGGTTTCCATCTTGGGCCTTGATCTTCTTAAGGAAAGGCTCACAGATGGCTTCTGCTCTTTCTTTTGCAATTTCTGACAGCTTGGTTTTCAAATGGCTGCTCACATGCTCTTCCAAAAGGTCTTCATAAACCCCTTTGTAGTAGGGAAGAGGTGGTTGTTTGGAACAGCAAAGTCCATTGCAAATCTTGCTCCTAACGCAACAAATGCAAATGTGTTCACAAATGAACCAGAGAACTACAAAGGAACAGATGACGTAGAGGCCGTAGTTCTGGAAAGAAAGACACAAAAGTTTAAGATGGTCGCTCAAAACTTCAAGAATCACAAAAGCTCAAGACATTTAAAGTTTTAGTCAAACTAGTCAAAGTTTCTTTCAGTTCTTTAACTTCAACAGAAAATAGAGAACAGACACAACTGTTGTGCTAATTAAGGAGCAGATTTGAACTGTGAACAAAAGCTCAGCTGTTCACACTTCAGTCAGCCAAATTCAACTGTTTCTCATTTCCTTTTTCATTCTTTTCTTTATTTCAAGCTGCAGAGTGGGATCACACTGGCAAAATGAGAGTGATGCAGGGGCTGGAATTTTTATCAACTACGGTTAAAAAAATGTATACATACGTGATTCAATAATTTAGTAAAATCCTACAATATCAGAGACACTTGGATGTTTTTATCTCTCCCTCTCAAATCAATATCATGTCCCAGCAACCTTAATAATGTGGTTAAAAACTAAGTCATGTTACTCACAAGCGATTCAATCTTAATTTCAGCTTTGATGCGGCTCTCCTTGTCAGTCAGGTTTGACCTGCAAGGAATTTCAGTTTGGGAAGGGTCCTTCATTGTACTTATGCACAAGTACCAGTCTCCATCAAAGAAAACAGCGGTGATCCATGTGACTAACAGAATGATATAGTCCATCGGGAACTTCAGAAAACTGCAGCAGAAACCGTTTCCATGCTGAAAACACCAGTGTGAAAAAATCCTCCTCTGGTGGATGGGCTCAGTGATGTTGACCAACCATGCAAGAATAACAGGAGGGAGAAAGATGTACAGTAGACCATTCCCATATTCACCCTCTTTGCACGAGCACACAAAATCCATGTCAAAAATGTATTGTAGTATGAAGAAGATGCCGATCAACAGGACTGCACTCACAGCATGATTGAAAACTGCGATGAGCCTTTGAGGAAAATTGTGTGTAAAATGAGGCATGCTGGTAAAAATGTCAGATATTCTGTTGAAAAACAGCTCCAAGTTTGTTTTTTTGCCTGCCCTGAAAAGACTTAGCCTGCACAGCTGATGAAACTCTCTATTCTAATGACTGAGAGAGGAGGTTTCAAGTTTACACCCAGAAATGAAAGGTGAACAGAGTGCCAAATTTTGACCTCATCAAACCAGCCAACAGCATTTGCATGGTCGAGACATTCCACCTTTTGTCATTTGTCAGAGATGTTTGGGCACGATCAAGTTGTATCATGTTATCCAGTTGTTATCCAAGGTTGTTATGGCTTTGTGCTCATGGAAAATTCCTGAGGTCTGTTAAAGGTGGGATAGGCAGGATCTGAGGAAGTGCCAGTTTTTGGGTGAAATCTTGAACATTAACACTGCCCCTCCAAAACAGTTTTCCCCTCAGCTCCTCCTCTTCACTCCCACTCTGCTCCAGAAAGCCCCGCCCACAAACAGACGCTCCTGCTCGCTCGTATCTTTTCAATTAAATCCAGATATAATGCAGATAAATACTTCAGATAATTACAAATGTGGCCCAGTAGATGTGAAAGTAAAAAGCATTGGTGCTACTGTAGATGCCAACA